TTTTCTCCTTTGTCCAGGCTAGTGAAGCGACTATACAAGCGAGTGATTTGACTGTGGGAGACTGAAGGACGAAAAAGAACAAACAGATTAGCACGTCAGTGTTTCCTTGTAGGCATAGAACTCATTACACTGAATTACTGTTACCAGAAGATTTGAATTACAGTTCTACTGTATTTCCTTACATTCCTTTGTGGCTAGAAATAGTCTTAACACCTCTACCAATCTCTTCTACTTCATTCAGAAAACTAAAACCTTTCCTGTAGCATCTTTCCTTCTCTTTTGTTCATCTCTACTCCTGTTGTCTGTTTTCTGTCCTTAAATGGAGAATGTACTGTTTCTCTGCATTTGGCAAATGGTCAAACTTTATACCTGGTCACCATTTGTCCTTTAGAGAACTGCCTGAATCTAGACACAATTTCATTTTAGGTTTCACAAAATGAATTTGCAGGCTTCTGGGACAATGAATTAAAAGTTGAAAAGTCTATTTTTAAACAAGTTCAGGAGGAAGTTGGACAAAGCAAGCAGAAAGTTATTGCAGGCTAAATCTCCAATTTGTAATAAAGATGCCAAAGCCACTTGTTAGATTTAGCATAGTGGTGTTGATATTATCATGATTAAAATATACCAGACATCTAGATCTTTAGATTAGTCCATGGTGGAAACAGGGGAATCTGTCTAGAGCATCAGTTCCTGTAACATCAGAAAATTGTCTAACAGAAGATGCTGGCTATTCAGAGTCCCTTCAAAAGTTAATAAATAGATGGAGTAAGACTGCATTGAACTGTAATGTTTACTCAGTAAAGGTGTGATTTCACACAATGTTGAACCAGTACTTCGTGTAATGTTTGGATTCAATTGTTTTAAAAGCCTTCACCAGCCCATGTATAAAACTTATTTGGGAACAGGTTGCACAGCAGTTTTCTGACCTGTAACTACTGAGGCAATTTTGTTGTTGTTTCAATCAGGTTTGTTCTTTCTCTAGCCTATTTGTTTAGGTTCAAACATTCCTTCCAACTGTTTCTTCCTTTAGGATGACCTGCCAGTAACTTTTTTTCCCATATCTACTCAGCAACCTACATTCTTTGCACTGGGTTGGGCAATTTGCTCAGTTCCACATAAGGCAACTTCTCTACAATCAGATCAGACAGCTTGCTCAATTTCAAGTTAAGCAACACACACATAGAAAGCAGACACTACTATTTTAAAGACTTCTAATTTCTGTGTTTCTAATTTATTATTTTAGATACTACATGCAAACACAACAATGGATTATGAAACAATAGTAGCCTGGGGTTACACCTCTGGTAAGAAGCCTTGCACTTCCACAGCTCCTGGAAAGAGTGATGAGATTTCCATTCATCTACCAGTTTCAAGCCAGTGTATGCAACTCCATTTTTTGAACACCTCCGTAATAGTTAGAATGGGATGAATTTGCAGCTATTGACAGGAGAAGCAGTGTTTTTGTTAACGTCATACTAGACAAACAGCAAATCACAGCAATACGACAAAGGAAGATGATTCAGATCAACCACTGTATTTTCAAAATTTCCTTTTGACTCCTATCCTTCACATAAGTTGCAGCACTGGACACTTTTCAAAGCTTTCTCATGCAAAATAAAGATTCCTGACACTCTGCTGACCAAAAGAAAACCAGAACAAGATTTACAATTTATGACTGCTTCTTAAAATCAAAAGCTAAGGCTTAAAGCTACTTGAAACAGGATTTTATCTATTCTGCTGTTATTAAGGCCCTTCTAAACATTTAAGTCAAGCCCCCTATGTTAGTAGCTGTATGTTATTTTACTTCTGCCAAAATCATTAGCAAGGTGTTTCTAATTAGATACTCTGAAAGTTTTGTCCAAAACAGTAGCACAAGATATATCTTTATATTTTTCCTAAATACACCATAGAGTATAAAATAACAGGAGAAAAAGGGTCAAACCTTCTGGAAGAGCATTCCAGATTCAGGGTTTGTTTTTTAAAGCATCTTTAACAGGGAGACTGCTTGTACTTTCTGATACATGTATTACTTACATATTTCCTAAATATATAAATAACCATCAGAAAATCCATCACCTTTGGCCACTGAAATATTTTTTCTTCTATGCTGTCATTGAGCATTAGTTTATTATTAAATGTTACGTGAACAGTTTCAAAGCATAGGAACAAAGGCTATGAATTAGAGTTTGAATACTGTTACATTCCAATGGCTTTCCAAAAAAGCTTTCAAGAGTGCTGACAAGTAACATACATCTTGGTCCTTTCATTTGTTTTTTATAGTCATACTGAAATGAAAAAATAATTAGGAGTACTTGAGTTTGTTTTTTTTTTTTCAAACTCAAATTTCAAAATACTTATATGCAAAACAAAAGTTCCACAACACATGTAAGGTTTCAGACCGTCAACTTCAGACTTAACTCTTATAACTGAGAGCCTACTGAAGATTACCTGCCACTAAGTAGAGGTTTTCATGGACACATTATTCCTCAGTTCTCGGAAGCATTGCCTTTGTAGATATTTCTAAATTTATTATGCTAAGAAGTGTTCTTAATCACAATAAAAAACAAGTAGCATAGAATTTGACTCCAGATTTATAAGTTTATTCAAGAGATTTTTAGACATCACTGTATGGCTTGTAACACATTATGCTTCTCAGAGCTCTCTCAGATTTTTTTAGTCTCTTCAGCTAAAGAATATTAACATATAGTTTATCACTCATTAGTATCATCAGCTATTCAGTTTTGTGCTATATAAAAATGAAGCATGAGGATAGCAAAATTCATTCCAATAGGTTAAATGTAATATTCACTCTGTTGTACTTACCCCAGAAAAACTGGAAAAGACATTTTTCCATAATAAAGAAACCAAGACAGAAAAAATCCTTAGTAGTGCTCACCAGAGCATCAATTCAAGATGGACATGTATTACTGCCAAATCAGGTCACTTCTACAAAGACTGTTTCTCAAACTCTTAATAGGTGAAGTATCATCAGCATTAGGTTTCTAACAAGTTATAGGATACTCTATTCAATTAAACTACATTCCTGCTGTGAACTTCATTCCAGATAACCTACAGTCCTGTTTTTCTCCCATCTTGTACCTTACTTAAATATTTGCACTTACGTGAAGTGTTTAAGTGCTAAAGCTTGGTGGAATTTTCCATCTACCTATAAAAGTACAGAAGGCAGAGGAGAATCACATTCCTGGACTGTTTATAGACATAGGAAAAAAGATTTGATCAAGCCAAAGAGACACCCTATGATGACTTATGAGCATGAGTCAGAGATCAGCAATACTTGATTAACAAAATTGTATTTAACAACTAATAGAACTGAATAGTAAGAACACAGGGAAATGAAGCAAAAATCAGGCCACAAGGCTTAAACATACTGATCACAATCTTAACCCTCCCAAATTAAAGATATAATCAAAGCATTTAGAGCTGGGTGGCTTTATTGCTTAGAATGTCATGTCTATACAGCTATCTTAATAGTATTTATTTAGCCATCATATAAGCAAAATTCTAGGGATCAAACTGCATCAATAATAAAACAAGGGAAGAAAGAAGTACAGCCTTCTGAAAGAGCATTCCAGCTTTGGTGTTTGTTTTTTAAAGTGTGATTAATAGCCAGGCTACCTTTACCCTATAATTTTCTTGTTTAAGAAGAAAAAAACATTAAGTTCTTGCTGAATAAGCAGACTTCTATATTCTAACTTGTTTATCATGACCCTCCTGTAGAATGTTCCCTTGACAAATGGAAAAACGATCATGACGGAAAGTATGTTAACTCACTCAGCTGTCCATTACACTGGCCAATACAGTCTTAATTTTCTTGCATTCCTTTTCAGTACTCACTTGTTTACCTGACACACAAAATGCTATCACCTAAAACAAATACATGACGCTTTTGTTGAAAAGAAAGCAAATGAAATTATTTATGTAGCATGAAGAGATGGGTAAGCATGAGGACAAACACATGACCTAAAAGACATTGTTACCTGAAGAAAGAGAAGAAAAAACAAGCAGCAAAGTGATACCATGATGTCATGACCTTCCTGTCTGATTAGTTTAAAAGGTACCCTGTGTTTATAGAATTTGTTTGCCAGAATTCTCAGCTTAATCCATCTGACTGGAATAGACAGCAGCAAAACTGAATTCTACCTCTTCTGAAGTACTTTATGGAGAGCAACTTGTTCAAGTACCATACAGCAGAAGGGTGATATGTTCTGGTCCAACTAGAATAATACTCTCAGCTTCTGACTAAAACAAGAATTTCCTTTTTCATCTGTTAAACATGCCAAACTTACACAAGTGTCGCTACCTCCTTTATGCTCCCAGTGCCAACGAGGGTATTCACTCTGAATACACTTAAGGCAACTTTTTTAAAAAAATTACAACGAGAGCACTCTGGGGGGCTCCAGCAGCTGCTGGAGACAAACTCCAGCCCCAGAGCCCACCTCAAATCGCGGCAATGGCTCCTGCGGCAGCCCGGGGCCGGCCGGTGACAGCTCCCGGGGACGGCTGCGACCGAGGGGCACCCGCCGAGCCGGGATTTCGGGCAGGCGGCACCCCCCCACTGCACACAGGCCTACGGGAGGCGCCTCGCACCCCCACAGCCGCCGGTGCCCGGTTGGGAGCGCGGCGCCGGCTCCTTCCCTCCCCGCCCTGAGGAGCCCCCGGCCCGCCCGCACTCACAGCCCGTCTCCTTCTTGATCTCCTCGATCTCCTCATCCCGCAGCAGCGTAGACGCCCGGGAACCCATCTCCGCAGAGACCTCACCAGCACTCCGCACCCACAAGGCGTCCTACAGCCGAAAACCCACAGCGGTGCCGGTGCCGCCACCCCCGGGCCGGGCCCGGCCGCGCAGCGTTTAGTCAGAAGGCCCCGCTGCGGAGCCGCCTCTTATCGGCCCGGCTCGGCCCCGCCGCCCGCCCCTCGGCCGCCCCGCGCACGCGCGCCCCGCCGCCATTTTGTGTGGCGCCTCAGGTGCGCGGCTGGGGGGTCCGCACCGCCCTCATGGCGCTCAGCAGCCCGCGGCTCGGCGCTGCCCTGGGCAAGCCCGTCAGGCTCACCCTGCGTGGTGGTGCCTTCCAGGGCGTGCTGCAGTACCTCAGCCCCGACCGGAGGCTGTTCCTGCGGACAGGTCGAGGCTGCCTGTGGTACCCCAGCGCCCTGGCTTGGTGTGGGGCTGGAGGCTGAGGCGCTGTTGTGGGCGTTTGTGGTGCCTCACGGCCCCGGGGCGGCTTGCTTGGGGTGCTCCTGTTCTTTTTTTTTTTTTTTTTTTTTGAGGAAAGCAGCTCTATGTGAGGCTGACTTCTGGGGGACAAGCACCAGTAACTCGTTCCGTCGTTAAAAGCGGTGTTTGATGCTCCTGCCCCCCGCTGTTTGAACCCCTTGGTCTGAAAATAGCCGTGGGTGACTTCTGCAGGGGCTGCCTGGGGACAGCGTGTGCGGCCTCCAGCCCACAGCCTGCCCAGCACTTGCTGTGCCTGCCACAACGCGTGTGTGTGGTTCCCCAGAGCCTAAACAGCCCTGGGATAAATAAAACACAGCCTTAAAGCTGAGATAAAAGTAGTTGGATCTGCCTGTGCTCTCTGGTTCGAGATGATGTGGGTATAGCAGACCAAAAGTCTGTCCTGTTAAGCACGCAGAGTAATTGTATGGAAGTGCTGTTAACGTAGAGTGAACATATTGTCCTTTAAAATCCCCATTTTATTGACTTTATTGTAATTAATAGAGCTAGCTGGTCCTCTGTTCTTGCTTTGTTCAGTAAATGCTAAGTTTTTACCTGTACAGCAGAACTTGACATACCTATTTTTTCTACTCCCTGATTGCAGTGAAGAACTTGGAAACTGGCAGAAGCACCCCAGGAGTAAAGCTGTTCTTTGAACATGAAATAGCCAGTGGTGAGGCCCTAATGTGTGTTAAGACACGGGGATCATGGACACTTGGTTCAGCATTTCAGTTTTGGTCACTGCTGGAGTCTTCAGTTGCACAACTTTCTTCTAAAGTCAGTAGGAATCAGAATGTTGTAGAAATCACACACCTTTTGTTCCCCAGTTACCTGTTAGTGAAATAGCAGTCGCGTACTTCATGAAGGTTTTGTGACTGTACTGCATTAAGGCTTACAAGCTGATGAGCTAATGAATAAAGTTCAGTAAGACCACTAATGGAAATAACAATCAGGAAGTTGAGCTATGCATGCTCCCTGTTTACTTCCTGAAGGTGGAAGGCGTAATTAAACGTTTATTGTGCATTCTCTTACAAGTGCAAGATGTTCTGTGCTGGGAAGTTAAATTGCTGAAAGTTCTAGTTAATTTGGTTTTGCTTTTACTTGCACAGGTGAAAGGAATCTCCACTAAGTGGTCTGTTTATGTGAGCCTTTTTCTGTGATTCACTAGTCATAAAATACAGAATTACACACACAAAAAAAAGTTTCTAGTGTTTAAAGGTCCTGTGCATTTATTTCTATGGGCATCTGCTATCAAGTTTTGATTTGGGGACAAAGGGCAAAGTGCTGAGGGGAAAGTAGTTAGAAGGCAGCTTATCAAGTACTTACCTGTGTCCATCTGCCTTTTTCCATTGTAGTTTTTATATCTGTACTGTTTTATGTTTTTAATAGTAAGTAGCGTAATTAGTTGTAGTTCAATATTGACTTCATTTTTGGTGGGATGCTAAGCCCACTGCTTATTGTTTAAATATTAAAGTTCTGATACCTTTTTTGTAAGCTACTTATATGAGCTATTTTATATAAGTTGTACATCAGAGTGAATTTAAAAATATTTAAGCTGTATTTTGAGTTTCTTTTCTTGTATATATGTCTGTACTATGCTGTTTATTATTCATTATAGTTCTCCTTTTTTTTTAACACTTGTTATTTCCTGAAAGTTGCTTGTCAGCAGCAGGATATAAATTGTTTATTTCTATTGTAGTGGAAGTGCTGGATGAACTGGATTCAGGGAACGGAGCAGCAATGCTTACTGAGTATGTTGAAATGCCTGCATCCTTTTGTGGTAGGAGATGGGGATAGGAATGCAATTGGTAGGGGAGGCACCACCTGAATATCTTACAGATGTTCAGACCCAGCTGTGCCAAGTTTGTATTTGCTCTAAAGAGATTAATAAGGTGATGAGTAGAAGGCCTCCACTGTTTAAAAGACTCTTTCAAACTATAACTTGGTATTTCTCTTTTTTTTTTATTATTATTATTTTTTGTTAGTTCCCATTAATGTTCCGGAGTAGAATAATTTCCTTGGTTTGTTTGCAGGTCAGCTTGTGGTTTCAGGGAGGGTTTCCCATGAACATTTCTTCTGCCTGAATAGTTCTAGGCGAATTGTACATGGAAGTTATGTTTGTGTACATGCTGTAAAATGCTTATAAACATGACTTTAGGAAGCTGGTAAAGCTATGTTTTAGACTTCTACAGTCTCCTGCTCTTAAATGGCTTTGCTTTGGGTCTTCTCACAAGACCACATTTTTTTTTTTTCTCCTAAGAAAAGTAGGAATGAAGAGGTATCTACTGAATAGTCCTTAAAATATAGTTAGCATATAGAATTGTGATTAGCAGCACTTGTCTTGTTTGCTGCTGCCTCATCTCCTTCTTCCCTGTCAAATAAACATACATACTGTGCTCACTTGTGTGACAGGTTTATTTTTGCACTAATCTTTTAATATGCCATTTTAGATACAAGATTTTTCAGACACGTCTAAATGTTGATCATTTATTTTTACAAATAAGGAGTTATTTTTATGTTTTATTATATTGAGATAGGGATATACGCTGTAGGAGCTCTCTATTTGTAACAGGAGGGTTTTATATCAGTATACAGAAATTTATACTAATAAGGCATATTTCGCAGTGAAGTGCTCTTAATGTTGGAATGTCCTGTTTTAGAAATCAGAATTTAAGAATTTAGAAATCTTATACGTGATTTGGTAAACATTCACCTTACTGAAACGTCAATTTCCGGCCTTGACTTGCTACCATCTCTACTAAATATGTAATAACTTGAGCTTGATTATAGTAACGTTTCAGTGGGTAAAGCTGTTCTACTGATCTATTAACTTGTAATCCAACTTGTAACTGAAACCTCTGATTATAATCAGAGGGTGATTATAATGATTAAATAATGGATCAAATACTAAGGTTTCAGTTTCAAGATTTGCAGATTTTTCAACTGTGTGGTTCTCGGGCTTAGATCAGGTACTTCATTCATGGTACTCTTAGCTCTTTCTTCTCTTGAAACCTTCATTGCTGACCTTTGCCGTGAATATGTTCAGGTTATATTTTCACCTTTTAGTTTTAGAAATAAATCTGAAATTTCATGTGAAATAAAGATCCTGTGGGCAAAATAACCATGTAGTGGGGTAGCTTCAAAGTCTCCTGTAAGAATCATGCACATGGGATTAGGAAGTTGCTTCAGTGCAGCAGTTTATTGTCTAGATGCAGGTAGATGGCATTGGCTGAAATAATTTTCGTTATTAAAATATCCATGCTGGTGAAATGTGTAATGTTTTGACTTTTGTGTTATGTATGTTTGTTTTGCTCTGGCAGGTGCACTTCAGATGCTGAGGGGAATGGGAACAAAGGAGCAGACACAGGACAAGCAGATCATAGCCCATGGAGTTCTCCAGGCGTTTTCCCTGAGAGCCAGCCCAGAGCCTTGAATAGCTTAAAGTACTCCCTCTCAGGTAACACGAATATTAGTCAAGCAATGTAGTTAGTGTGTGTCACACAGGATCTTCCCCCAAAGCTGTGCGCTCTTGGCTTGCCTGTATCTGGACAGGCTGTATTCTGAAAGAACAGTGGTCGCAGGCAGATAGGCACAGAGCTCGGTATCAGCACACGTGCCTTTTGCCTGCAAATATGTACACAACATCAGAAAAACTTGTTTGCTTTCCAGAATGTGGTTTTCCTGTGGTTCTCATCAGCTGTAAAAGTGGCTGAGCAGCATAACTGATTTCTGGAGAAGTCAAGCGCTTCAGCCAGTGAGCATTCCTCTGTGGTGGCTGTTTAATCTTACCCTTGTACCTGAAATGTACATGGCACGACAAATAAGTGAAAGCTCACTACGACTCTTGCTGTTCTGTACTGCGCTGGCTGTCACGCTTGGAAGGCACTTGCATTGATTTGATTGAGCGGTTCCTGCTGTATGCACACCCACAGGTGCAGGTCTAAAACGCAGTTGGCTCGCCCTGTTCACATAGAGCTGTGACAGGCATGCAAGGCCTGTACAGGCTAAAGGAAGGTCGGTTGCCTTTGCCTGGGAGGTGGGGAAGAAAATGAGTGAGACTGACGTACTCTGGGAGAGCCTTTTAAAATGTTGTCATGTGATTTTGCAATAGGATGTTATTTCAGAGTTTGGAAGACTGTCCTTGTGTTGTCATGGGTGCATGTTATTAATGTTTGCATCTTACTCAAAGGGAAAGAAAATCTTTTGAGAGCCCTTTATCTGTACATTAGACTTTGTTAAGCAGGTGTTCTGAAATACTAAAATCTGTCTTAAATTCTGTTAGCCCTCTGTTAACAGATGCAGTTTCTTGAACTGAAATCTTTGTTTTCTTTATACATCACAAAAAAACAAACAAAAAAAAAAACACTGCAACTTTTGAACAGTCAATATTTCTGTGAAAAATTTAGAATTTTGGCTCATGCTCAAGACTATGTATATCTGAAGCAGACAGTCCAGTAAACTGAACGTGAAGTTATGGCTGTTCCATCCCTGAAGGTGTGCAAGGCTGGGTTGGATGGGGCTTTGAGCAACCTGGTCTAGTGAGAGGTGTCCCTGCTTGTGGCAGGGGGGTTGGGACCAGATGATCTTTAAGGTCCTTTCAACCCAAACCATTCTGTGATTCTATGATCTGTTTGGATGTGTTCAGGGAGTAGAGAAGAGCTGAGAAGCTAAACTGGAGAAGTAGATCGATTATATGACTGAAATACATACTCTGTGCAGAGTTCATTCAATCATATGAAGCTTCTAATGCTTTTTTAACTTCATTTTAGAGAAAGAAGAAGAGAAGGTAGAGTACACAGTTATTGATTGCTTCCCGCAGAAATTTGGCCCAGCAGTAAGTATTAACTAAAGCTTTTGCTTAGCATATATGACTTTTTTAAGCCCATTCTGTTGGGTTTGTCAGTAGCTCTATTAGGTGCAGGATGGTGAGCACTGCTCCATGAGGTCTTGTATTGGAAATTGTTTCTGCAGACTGTAGTGAAAATTTGGTAGTAAGTAGTAACTGGCTTCTTAAGTCAAGTAGAGATGGTATCCCTGGTGGTATTAAAGTATGTTTAAATTGTACATACATGCAGGGAAAGAGTGCAGTGCACAAGTTTGTAGCAGATACGAATTTGTACCACTGTGTGCTGGTTGCTGTTCTCAGAATCTGTTTCACCTGTAAACTAGGATGAGGAGTCAGTATGACTAGTTAGTGAGCAGTTATTTTCTTTAGAAAGAGAACAACATGAGGAATTGTTGGTGTTTGGAGAGGGAATCATTTTCATGGGTGTTTAGAACTTCAGAAGTGTCTGGATGTGGTAGGAAGAATTTCAGAACCCATGGTAGATTTATTGAACCGAATAGTATTTTTAGGTCTGACTTAGACCAGCAATGCTATGCCTTCCAAGCCATTTTCTCTTGCAGTTACATCATCTGGGATTTGGGTTTTTATTATGATAAATTGAGAGTGCACACAGAGGAAAAAGTTCTTTTACCACAGGGCAAGATTTCCCTGCTTACAAATTAATTTATTTTTTGCTTGAAAAAGAAGCTGACTTTTTATTTCTGCCGCTCTTATGCAGCATGTGCAGTATGGGTTAATTTATCTTAATTCTCTTGAAACTTCTTGTGTCTGTGAGGGTAACAGGTTTATCTGAATACCTTAGAAGATGAGTTCCTGTTCTTATCTAACAGGAACACCTTCTTTGTGATCTTGAGGAAGCTCCTTAAACCTAGTTAAGAGAATTTCTTCTGAGGAGGTATGGGGAGTTTATAATCTTTAGTTAATGATCTCTATTAAATGTGTTGTTTCTAGCTGCAGAATATCCAGCTATCTATCTGTAACTGGACTGATACTGCATCTGTTTGGATCACTATATCCACGGGATTCATCGTGTTCCCGATTTGTATTTAGCTTACATATGGATCGTGACCAGAAAAATCCAGCTTTACTATTTGTCCCTCTGCTTATCATTCTCTGGCACAGATTATTTTTGTCCCTGTTTTTCATTAGGTGCTACACCTGAAACAGCAGCGTGTTGTTAGTGTAGTTGGAGAAGGTGTTAATTTATGTCGTCATGGAAAACTCTCCTGGCTTCAGGTAAGAAGCAGGTGTTTCCCTAGATGTGCCCCTACACAGATGCAAAACTAATAAGTGTTTGGGGATTAGCCTGTACTTAAGATGTACTAATGTGACTCTTTTGGTAAGGGATATGGTTTTCGTCAAGACAATTAATTTTTTTCATGCGCTACCTGTTACAGGAAGAATTATGCCATTGTAAAGCAATATAATAATTACTTGTATATCACATATATTTGTATATAACAAATAACTTGGTTGGTTTGCCATCTTTATTTACTTGAATAGAGGTAGAGGTAGTACAATAGTACAGCTGTTGCCTATGGAAAAACTGCAAAACCCACCTAATCGCAATGCCAATATAACTGGAGAAGTAAAATCCAGCTAAAGATGATAAAATATCTTGATTAGCTGTGATGATATAAATATCTGACCAGGAAGGGATGGAAATTAATATTGTTTTATATACTCAAAAGTATCCTGGTTTATTTTTAAGGAGGTTTAAAGTGGGGGTGGTTAATCCAAAGCAAAAACTTGTGTGGGAGTTCAAACTTGCAGAAGTAAGTGTCTACAGAATGTTTGCTTTGGCATGGCTAAACTGTATTCATATATCAGCTTTTGTTAAGCCATTATGAGTTTGAGAATAGACAACATCTAAATATTATGGCCTATGTTGAATGGTGTAGTGGAAAACAATGTCCTTTTTTTTTTTTTTGTAGCAGTTTTTGACACCTAAAGGAATGTCATAGGAACAATATTTTTTCTTGATCGGATTCCTTAGAAATGACATTGAGGTACATGTAGGAATTTATGCAAAGTGCTTTGGATAGGGCTTGCTCTTAAAATGCAGCAAAATGCTACCTTTAAATGTGTATAGTAGACTACTAGGTCGTTTTTCCTAATTATTGTGAGTTATCTCTGAAAAAAGCAAGTCTTTCTCATAGATTAGCATTAAGGAGAGTGTGCTGCTTAATGTGTACTTGTATATAAGGTTGTCTTGTATGTGACAGTGTGCTTTCTCCTACCTTAAAATCCATTGGTCTTGTCTCTCACTCATCTTCTTTCTAATTCAATTTGTCGTAGATAGCAACAAAGAGCCGTATTTTTCTGTTTGATATTTTCCTTCTGGGACCTCAAGCTTTCAAAAATGGATTACAGATGGTGCTGGAAGATAAAAACATCTTGAAGGTAAGGGTTAAGGGTGTGTGAGGACATCTGAGGTAGGAGGGGTTGCATATAGATGTAGTGATTACCAGAAAAATTGCAGTTTGATACAGGTTTGTCTGACAGCTCTTTCTTGCTCCAGGTCATACATGACTGCCGTTGGATCTCAGACTGCCTTTTTCACCAGTACAGCGTCCTTCTCTGCAATGTCTTTGATACGCAGGTACCCTTCACATACTCTTGTTGGCAACAAAAGTTTTGATGAGAGAAAACTGAGCCTTATTCAGAGCCTTCTTTCAAGGAAAGTTTAATGTCAGTGGAATGTGGTGATAGTTGAGCCTTCTAAATGTATTTTCGTTCCAGGTGAGAATTGCCAGGCAAGGCTGCTATTTAGAGCTTGTCTTGTGTAGACCAGAATAGATTAAAAATACTAGTTTTTCACAGAAGAAGCTTTTATCTTAGTCAAGAGAAGCATCGATCTATGAGAGGCGCTTTGGGTATCTCTAAATCCCCATTTTAAGAGATTGTTAATATCCAGTACTAGCAGCATTTTTTTATTATTATTATTTTTTTAATACATGCTAATGGGTCTTGATAAAACTTGGCACAACCTGATGCTACTGTGGCTTTAACTGGAGCCAGATAGACTTGTATTTTATATTTCTGGTTACCCTTTCTGACCCTTTCACAAGTGCAGAAAACAGTCAGGCTTACAGGTATCCAGGAATGGGAGTGTCTGTTAATAAACACAGTGGTGGAAGTGAGAGTATAGGCCAGATAATCACAAAAATCTTTGCTTTTGCTAGTGCTAGCTCTGGTAATTGTGGTAGTTAAAATGTTGCGTGACTAAGTGGAAAATTAGAGCATTTTCAGAGAAGAAAATAACAAAATGGCTATCATTGTTTGTATTTGGTGTGGGTGTGTTATTCTTGTCCTTATGTGTGCACTGATTTTTCATGTCATAAACATGACTGTCTGTAGTAGTTCTTCAAAGTCCTAGTCTGGGCTATATAGTAAATGTTATACAACAAAACTTTCTTTCAGTCCCTCTCTGATGTTAGTTTGGCCTTCTGCCCCTAAAAATTTGTAGTGTTCTACTACAAATCAAGTATCAATCAATGTCAGTGTTAAGTCTTGACTGTATGAAAAAGGTCAAGAAGAAAATTCCTACCAGTGCTGCTAATGTATTAACTAGGCAATTGTACTGCCTAGAACATGTAACTGGTACAGTGGAAATGCCTAACCAGACCGACCCATGCTAGGACCTCTGAGGCCCGTAAATGGCTCTCATAGTTCTGTTTCAGAGTGAGCATGCTTTTCTTGCATTAATAGATCTTTAGGCTTAGATTCAATTACTCTGATCCATTGATCTGAGTCTGAATCATACATCCAATATAAGTAAGCTAGGGGAGCAGTTTGGTTTTGACTGCCCTAAAGCGTGCCTGTTATTGCAGTATTGAGCTGTCATCTACTGTCTGGAGACAGTAACTGGGAAATTCCTGTGAGCAAACTCTCACAGAGGCTCTTTGTGAAGCACTTAACACTAAGAAGCTCTTCTTAAAATTGGAGCAGGCTGCGTACACAAGTGCACGTGCAAGTGAGACTGTTTAAAAACACAGCAGTGAATTGAAGAATTCTGGTTTAAATGGGATTCTGCCTGCATCATTTGAAAAGTTTTACCCATGGTTTTGGCCAGTTGCTGCAACTGTTTGTTGCTTGTAATAATATACATATAGTGCACGTCAGTGAAAGGTTTCTAATGTGCATCCATAATGCTGCCTTCTCTGACACTTCCGTGCTGCATCATGAGATTAGAGCATTCTCATGCTCTGAAATCTCTGCCTCTTTTAAAATGTTGTTGGCAGCATAGTTGTTTACAATTAAATGAAATAATGCAATTCTTAGATGTGTGTACCAGAAGAATAAAGAAAGGACAACAACTTGAGACTGTCCATAAAACAGAGGTTCATGCTAAGTTTAATCATAAAATGTGGAAGTGACGTATTTGCGGTCTGGTTCCACAGATCAACACACGTACACACCTCTTCAGCATGTAGTAGTCAGTTTCTGCCCTTGAATCCAAGCCATTAGCATGCAATGACTAAGATTTTCTGAGAGAGTTCAGTGATAGCTAAAACACTGTTTTCATTGTTAAGTTTATTTTCTAATCTTGTGCATTCAGATTAGGCTTTTTATGAATAGACTGCATTTTTGTTTAAATACATGTATTTAAGTCTATTATCTTCTTGTTTGGAAAGCATTGACTTTTTTTTAAAAAAAAAACTAATAATTCCCTCTCTAACCTTCTGGAGGAATGGAATATTCATCTCTGTATATTTGAAAGTCTTTATCTTGACTTTGAGTAAAAATAACTGACTGCTTCAGAAGGTCTTTCCTGAGGTTCCTCTTCATCTGCATTTGGCCATTGAGAGCTAAAAGCCAGATGAGTTCTTAGTGGTCAGAGGTACAGTAAAAAGGTCAGTTCAGTAAGGATTGATGGAAACTCCCTCTTTACCTGGTTATTTGTGCTTACAAACCAGTGAAAGTCAGCTTTCACTGGGTCTTAATTTTCCTGTCTTCAGTGAATTAATCAGATTGAATTATTGCAGTTCCTTTCTCTCCATGTATACTGTTACTTTTTAGCTGATGCTTGTAGACTTCTTTGGACTACAGCAGCGTAGTCAGCATACCAGAAGTATAGGCAGTCCTAGATCCTTTGTTCTACTACGGAGCGTCGGAGGTCTGACATCATTTCCTTCCTTAGTCCAAGATGGCTTGTTCTACTTGTGGTGCACTAGCATTTTGCATCTTCCTCAATGCTTTAGTAAAAGCTTTTATTCCTTGGGAATTCAGTAAACGGATTTGCTTACTGCTTTCTTCTGATAAGCACAGTAAATACATGGCTTCTCTCCCAGAGAAGGCAGCTGATGCCTTAGAGTCAGCTTTACTCAGTAGTAAATCATACCAGCTTGTTTGCCTTTGCTATTGGATGGGAAAAGAGATGTATTTTCAAAAGACTTTACAGATAAGTCAGGAACTGGGGGGCTAGTCTTGGAATTTGCACTCAGTGTAAGTGGCCAGAAGAAGTCAAAGCTAGAAAATCCTGTTGTCACCACTGCAGGGGTTGGGCTGGGGCTGTAAAGCGCTGCATGACCTGGTCTAGATAGCACATGGACAGCTCCTGGTGGAACAGCTCAAACAGCAGCTTCAGCTGTAACGCTTGCAGTAAAACTGGGCTAGCATGTAAACTCCAGGTTTTGTTGGCAGGTCTGTAGATACTTGTGTTAAGAGTTTGGCTCCAGGTTTCTTAACAAAGTTAGACAAGGATTATGAGAGGTCAGCGGGGATTCCAGAGGACCAGAGTAGGAGTCTGGGGTTTTGAGTAGGAGATAAAGTCTGAGAACTTGGTTCCAATGATGCATCACTCAAGTATTAGATTTTGAAGGTGGATCTAGCCTTTTCAGTTTCTCTTCTCTGCTTCCCTGGTGGGTAGACTCTCTTCCAAGCTTCTGTTTTCCATTGTCACCGCTCTGCACCTGGTAAAATAGTCCCAGTCATCTTTGTGTTCCCTAATTAGTAGCAAAAATTGGAGCCTGATACTATGAAGGGTAAAAAGGATAAAACCAACATAGGAAACAAGCAAAAAATATGACATGCAGTTACTGCTGTAGGTTGTTGTCTCTTTCAGTTTTGGGTCTGTATGCTGTCAAAGATGAGTTTTACTGGCAAAATCAGTTTTTCGTCGAAAGGTTTTAGACCATTTACATATTCTTTCATCATGTTTTCCTTGCATTGCATCACTACTTTGTGTTTTTAAAAAAGCAACAAGAAGTAGGGGAAGTATCACTGTGTGCTTGCTTTCTTCTGATACTATTCCTAATGTGCTGTCTGGAGAAATCATTCTTATAACCTGATTTACTCTTCATTTAACTTGATGGCTTTAAGGAGTCAGACTACTACTTCTGCGGTTTGTATACAGTCAAAATGAGGATTAATGTGTCTGCAGTATATTTTTTGTATTGTAATATGCTTCCCCACTGTCAAATCTCCACATTCTCTGCTTTTGCTCAGCAGACACTGGGGAGGACATACTGATCTCTTCCATCACAGGTGGCTGATGTTCTGCAGTTCTCAATGGCAACAGGTGGCTACTTTCCACACCGTGTCTGCACGTTGCAGGAGTGTTTGATGCAGCACTTGAAGATACCTTCCAAATGGGATGCCCTCATGAAGTGCAGGCAGGAAGTGGCTTCAGTGAGTTGATTCAGTGAGGCACCTCTGAAGACTAAATTGTGAGCTGTGCTGTGCCCCTTTTCAGATTCTTTTTTTTTTTTTTTTTTTTAAGAGCGTGGTACTGTTTAATAGTCAAATTGCTGTAGTTCAGGACATTTTGTAATAGTCATTTGGGAGACAGATGCATGCTTCAGCTCCTGTCAGTGCTTATGCTAGTATTTCCTAATAGTACATTTGAAATTGAGGTATTGAAGAAACACAAAGCTTGTGCAATAGAAGTTTTGCGTAACTGGTAAAAAATGGTCTGGATATCTTAATATACTTGACTAATTCTGAAACCTAGCTCCAAAAGAACAAAATGGGTAAAATGAACCCTGAGTCATGTAGGGAAAGAGGAAACACTCTAGCCAGCACTGCGAGAATGGAAAAACGAGAGTAACAGCACAGTTCAGTGTCATTTGCTCTATAATTGTCCGTGTTTTTGTTAATCTTTCAGAGAGGGAGAAGCAAGGGAAGTCTTAATAGGCAAGAAGTTCACAAGATTTGGGGAGTGTAAGCTGGATAAATAGCGTGTAAATAGGTTGGTGCCAGGTGTGATATCTCTTTGTTGAATTTTTAATCACCTGACCTTTCTTTTAGTTGAGGGGGCTGGGAGGAGGACTTCCAAAGAGGAGCTAGATACTTAATGAGACCCCACTATGCAGACAGGATTTATTTTGTGAATGGGAACAAGCTCTGTTCTGCCAGATCATCTTTTCTGCCTTTATACTAGTTTTGTAACTTCCTGAGTAAATCTGAGTGGTTTTGCACAATCTATTCATTGATAGGAAGTTTTCATCAAAAGCCTTAATTATATATCTTTTGCTATGGCTATCATTTGTTCAGGCAAATTATTTTTAAACTGATAGCTGCTCAGTGAAATATCAAATTTGAACACGTTTATATTTTACTTTGGTGTTTGAATTCCAATAGCGTCTGTCAGAATTTCATTTTAGAGAATTCTGTATGGCAAATCTAAGCCAAATGACAACAGGCTTGCCTTCCATATTTAGCTTTCACAAATCATTCTATTGGTCTGAAGATTAAAAGCAAAAAATGACTGTGTAATACGTGTATAGTAAGTATACCACCATAAGGGACTGTAGCGATACTTTTGCTCACAGTATCATGGTCATGCTGCTTCACTGGGACTTACAGAACATAGTTTTAGTTGTGCTGACTGAAATTGTTCCTATCCCTGGCTGCTTCCCTGATGGGAGATTTTTTTCCAACTTGATCATTAGGTTTCTCTCTTTAAAAGACGCACCTAGTTTCCTGCCTTGTTTTAGACAGATGAGAGACAACCTAGCATTACACACTGTAGTAGGTGTACGTTGTTTTTTCTGTTATTTTTTTAAGAAGTAATTCCTCCTCTCACAGTTCCTCTTCTCTGATATCCCCAGGGTTGTATGCAGATGGCCGCAGATGGCCTTAGAAACTGCAAGCATTCAATAGCACTGAAATAGAGATCAGGATCTGGCGGTATTGTTTAAACTGCAGAAGAACGTGATGAAAAGTTTTGTTATAATTCTTGCTACTGGAATAACTGTTTTCATTTGTATTGGGATACACAGGAGAATCCCGATATATGGTTCTTGAGACCCTTTCCACCTTCTCTGCTTCAAGCGCTTGCTCTGAAGGCTATGTACCTTCTGATGGTCCACTCATCTCTAATGGATAATTTGATGTCTGACCTAACAGCTGTGGTGAATGATTACTTAAATGCTTATCGGAATGGATCTGGAGATCACCTTAGGAGCACAAAGGTGGGTATGTCCTAGCTTGTTTCTCAGCCTGGTAATGTGATCTAAGGCTCTAATGGATGAACTCTGGAGGACACAGTTAAATTAGCTTCCTCTTCTGCAGCTGTGCACCCTACTTCATGCCGCATCTTGCTTCTGGAGCACAGCAGCAGAAGTGATGGTGTCTGCATATATCTGCCTGCCTTTCACGTCAGTCTATTTGCACAAATGCACCTTAACTTAGTACTGTGGGTGGTGAGCTGCAACTGTTAAGGAATGGACACGTGCCTTCTGTTCATTCTGATCTGAGTTTGAGAACTGCTGGGCTCAGTGGAGGGTACGTGTGTTTGTGGACATGAAGAGCAACAGGCAGTTGCAAAGTGGTGTTATTTGGAGCTGCCAGAGTTGCTTTGGTTTGATAAGAAGTTTTACTCCCCAAAAGTTGTTAATTTTTTTTTTTCTCCAGTTGTTCATCCTTACTGCTGAGTTATTTGAATATCCTGTGTGTTTCTGAGAAATGTTATGTTTTGTTGCCCAAAGGTTTTTATTTCTGTAAGGACATGAGTTACTTTTTTCTTTCAAATCTATTGTCATCTGAGTTATCTAAAAAATCCAGTCAAGTAACACTTTTCATCTTTGGTTATGTAGAGCCAGTAGTATTGCTGTCCAGATAACTTTTAGTGGCTTTTGTATGGCAGACATTTCAGTAATTCCTTCTTCATTTATAGAGGTGGTGGGGTGCGGGATTTTTGGTTAGGGAACTTGACCTTTTTCACTGATGGGAAGAAAGTTCCATGCAAACCAAATAGGCAGTGGTGATGGTGTGGTCTTTTTCAGTGTCTTTAGTGAAGAAATCATAGCAGGGCATGTAATAACTATGTAAGATATGGCTGCTGTTAAGATAGAGCAAAAGGTAAGTTGCCAGACATCTTCATTCATCATGAGGAGATTGAACTAACATGATTAGATCATGTCATTAGCTCATTTTTGCGGTTGTAAATACCTTGAAATATTTGTTTGGAAAAGTGAATACAGGTCTATCTTAAGGGACAGGTTTATCTGTTTCTTTGCCCTGGTTTAACAAAGCACTTGAGTGCAGACTTGAATCCTTTGAGAACTATGTAAGGGCTCAGAGCAGTAAATCCCATTAGTGAGGATTTAAGAGGAGATGAATGTAGATAACCACAAGAGGTCACAGTTGCTTCACAGATCATATCTGAAAACCTTTTCTTTTGAAAGAAATTTTCAAAAACAGAAGGTTGTATATACCTCCTTGAAAAACATGAGCATGACATCTGAATTTCCAGTGTAAAATGCTTGTGAACATAGGAACTGATAGAGGGGAAAAGAAATGTTTTTTAAAAGTGAAAAGACTACAGAGTAATTCTACTTAACATTGGGCTATTTGTTTGTAGAATTTTCAAACAGTAGTCAGGTTAACAGTTGCTGAAGCCAATCCTTTCTTAAATCCATTTACTGCATAAGATTAGCCAAGGGATTAATTTGATCATGAGCATTTCAAATGGCATTTTTAAGGCTTATTTAATATCACATCTGATGGTCATACTTGCAGTTGCTTTAGGAATCTTGTAGTATGGACAGTAAGAATAGCCATTTTTACCATCATTTCACTGTTAATCATTTTCCTTTTTATATCTTGTAAGAGGATCACACAGATGAAAGTCCCATACTAGAACAAAAATCTGCTTGATACGTATTTAAAGCCCAAGCAAACCTCCATGGTTTGGTGTTTTTTTTTTTTTCTGTTGTTTGTTGTTTCTTTTTTTTTTTTTTTTGAGTTTTTTGTTTTTTTTTCAAAAAAGTAAGAAATCAAAGTTAATTTTAAGGACATCCTTTGTGAGTTGACAAGTTCAACTAAATCTGGTTAAAAATAATAAATAGTTTTATGCAACTTGTAGTTTCTCTGACTGTTTATTAATTCCCTGAATCAAAGAGCCTTTATTCAGATCTGGTTCTCTTGTGGAGGTAGAGTATAAAGCTACTTGGAAAATCCTTTTACTGTAAAAGAGCTATTTTACTTCTTATACCGACTAGTTAAAATTTAAGTTAAGCTCTGTGGGATTTACTGGCTTGTAGTTGGGATATAGTTCTACAAAATTAAATATCACTTGAAGAGGTCTCATACCAACTAAAAGAATACAGAGCAGACTGATAGAAAGCACTGAATGAAGAGAGTCAACCTCTTGAAGTTAGTTTTTTTTTTTTTTTAAGGTGACTTGAATCTAGCAGGCTTTATTCATGGGTGGACATTGTCCTTCCTTTCTTATTTGACCTTCCATAGTTAACTTCTAGTCTACTGTACTTAGTTGTTCAACATCCTAATTCTTCAATATAGCTGCCTTTCTTTATTAGTAAAGTGGGCCTATTTTTACTTGGAATTTGCTGGAGTCTTCATGCATCATGCCAGCCTTGGAGAACCAGGAGTCCTCAGTTGCTGAAGCAGGACTGCAGCAAAGCCCATGAATGCTCCGGGGCCATAAAGTTATTTTGCAAAAGCTGCCATGGTGAATCGCAGCTTCTAGATCAGAGCTGACACCATTGAACTTCATGAAGCACCATTGAACTTCAGCTCAGACTAGTGTTGTAGCATCCTCCTAATCTTTCCTGGGTCACTGCTGCATCCAGAAATTCATCATGCCAACAGCTATTGTGTCTTACAACAGTATCAGGATATATGTGGTGAAAAAGATGTTTTGGCTTTCCAGACCAAGGTTGCCTGTGAATTGAGTAATGCTGAGTACTGAGGAATAATGCTGAAGAATGGCTATCAGGGCAACTAGCAACTCCCTCCTTTCTTTGTCTAATCAGGGGATTCTGCCTCTGGGAGCAGATCTGGGTGGGGCCCTCTGTTGTTCCTATTCTCAGGAACAGAAAAAGAAAGGAAAAGTGAACATGCATAATCAAGGAGAAAGAGCCAAGCCTCCTCAGTTGCCCTGCAGCGAGGTCACTGTGTTCCCTTAGGGGTTGCTGCATCCAGTACAAGATGAGGAAAGATAGGTGTGAATTAGGCTGATGAATGTAATTGTGCTGTAAAGTGTAACTTCTTTACCGAAAGGGTTGTTAGACATTGGAACAGGCTGCCCAGGGAAGTGGTGGAGTCACCATCCCTGAAAGTCTTCAAAAGACGTTTAGATGTAGAGCTTAGGGATATGGTTTAGTGGGGACTGTTAGTGTTAGGTCAGAGGTTGGACTTGATGATCTTGAGGTCTCTTCCAACGTAGAAATTCTGTGATTCTGTGTGATTCTGTCTTTCTCAAGTGGTGATCTTCCCTCACCGCTGAGAGCGAGCTCATCCTAGACTTCCCAACTCTGGGTCTCTGCTATTTCCTGTTTTGTTTTTTTTTTAGCATCGCTTTCTGCCAGGAGTAATTACTCTCTTTGTGGACGCAGAAATGAAGTAAAATGGATTTCTGTGCCTCTGCAGCTCTGTCTCTAGAAACAAGCCTAGTACAGGGGCTGTGTGTGAAATTTCCAGTTGTCCTTGTAGGTTTCTGTTGTGTGTGTTTAGGGGTTTGGAAGTATCACTGCCTTCTGATGTGTAGGACTTAGATTCAAAGAAGCAAATGCTGCCTGGGAGCACATTGGTGTTAAGAAGCAAGTGATCTCTTAGAAGCGCAGCACTCTAACTGGTGGTTGTTCACAAGCAGAGCTTTGGTACTGTAGCATAGTTGTGGCAGTCAGGAAGCTGGATGCAGGTTCTTCTGGCTAAACAGAACAGAAGGTGGGGTGTTTGCAACTAAGCGCATCTGCTTTTTTTCCTTAATGCTGTCTGAACTATTTTGCCTTCCTCTGGATCTGTGCGGACTTCTAGACGCAGGTTTTGTGAGGCATGGCTTCCCTTTACAAAGGCTATGATAACTCCCATAGAGTATCCTATCTGTATTTTTACTTCTCCTGCTCTTGGTGTTTCTGCCAGTGTGCCCATACTGACAGCTGCCTGAACCAGCATGAAGCTTTCCCCTGTCTTCCCCTGGCCTGTCTTTAAACATGCACCATCTTCCAGTCCCTGGATATCAAGGCAGGTTTTAAGCAAGTTACTACAGTTGCTTGTTCAGCTGTTTCATCACCACTTCAGGAATCTTGGGTGAAATGCACCTTGCTGTTTCTGTTTAAAGTATCAGGACAAATATTTATGCAACAATGTGAAACATTCTGGATACACAACAAGTGTGTTTGGTGTGGCAGCCTCCACATTTTTTCATGTTGAATGCAGAAGTGAAAATATGTTGTGTTTGTTCCTGTGCTGCTTTTGTGTTCTGACCATCGCTTGGCCCAGCAGCGTGGCTGATGTTTTGTGTGCTTCTTGTGTTTACAGAAAGTTTTGTTTTTGCTAAATAATAATTAAATTATTCTGGCCTGCCTTTTGTTCTGCAACTTCATCCTTCCTGATTTCTTCATTTGGATGGGGCTTTACTGTTCTGAAGGGTAATTATTTAATAGTTTCTGTTCCCCTGCTCTGCAGTCCTGCCAGTTTCCTTTCACTTTCTGTGATGTTTTGCTGTTAAGTAATGTTTGCTCTGTGCTGCCTGTGTGTTGTCTTGAAGTTGTCCCCATGCAACCTGCTAGAATTGAATTTGCTTGGCTGCTTGTTAGCAAGCTTCCTTATTTATGTGTAACTCCCCTTTCTATAGATGAAAGCAGTTGTGGATATTTTTGTTGTTCCTACAAACACGGCGAGCACTGCAGTCCTTGTTAATAGCAGATCCTCAAATGTTTTTGAATGAAAATGAATGAAAATATGATGTTTTGTACAGAGTTCCATGCACTGCTCAGAACCAAGTCAAGGAATCGTAGAATCATTCAAGTTGGAAAAGACGTCCAAGATCATCTAGTCCAACCTTTAAGGAGAGCATTTCTTCTCATGTTCTTCCTAAGCAGCTGTTCTATTGATTTATAAACTACGTTGTTGTTTTTTTTATATATATACATTTGTTTTTAGGATACAAATACCATGTTTTTAAAGAAAAGCCAGAAAAGTTGCCTTTGCAGTGGCTCCTACCAGGAAACCTGAACTGGTCATGCCTCTATGGGGGCTTTACACCTTTATAGTGCAAAAGATCTCAGGAGAAATCTAAATCCCATATGCAAAATATTACTTAAATCTTGAAGATCTGCGTAATAAAGGAACAAACAATAAAGCAGGCCTAATCTTTGGGTTGCCTTTGAAAGGGAGAGGAGTGTCTCCCCCTCCCTCCCCCCAAGATAGTGTTTGCAGGTAGTTAATGCATTCAGTAGATGTAATGGGAGATGATTATTCTATTTCATTGGCTAATTACAGAGGGAGCTCTTATCTGATATTAACAAAAGTAGAGCATGTGTATGCATATGTATTGTTTTGATTTCTTTTCTCTTTCTTTTCTTTTTCCCTTATCAGCCCACTTGCAGGGAGCTGCCAAAGGAGCTGCGTCAGCTGGCAAGCGACCAGAAGCTGCGAAGGGAGAAAGCAGTGAAAGACTACAGGATGAATGAGGATGGGCTTTTGATCAGGCCAGCCATGAAAATAAATGAGAAAAACGGTCCACAGAAGGATGGGGCGCATAGAGATGACAGGGACTGTCTTCCCCCAAATGAAGCAGTGCCTCGAACATCCTTCAACAATCAGGATCTACTTTGTCAGTGAGCTCAAATTGCAAATCTGAGGACATCCAAATGAATGAAAAGGGGCTGTTCCCCGTGTAGAAGTACCAAAGGAAAACTCCTCTCTTTAAAAGGACAGATAAACAGGTTGTTGATGGGAAATAATGATGGTGTCTGTAATGCCAAGGCAATTCTTGCTGTGTGATTTGTCAAGATCTGTTTTGAGATCTTTTTTTTTTTTTTTTTTTTAATGAGCTGGTTTTGCTCTTGACTTTTTTTATTAGACAAGTGTCTTCAGTTGTATTGGTTCTTTTGTTGTCAACTGTTGCAGCGTATGTAAAACTCCCACACAAACCAAACATCTAAATAGGGGAGCTCCTTACATGTCTGTTCATTGAGATTAGAAAGGGCTTGCTTGGAAAAAAAAAGAGTTCTGGCCAACTAACGTGGGCTTGGTTTATACACAGATAAGTCTCTTGGCATATCTAAACAACAGCCACACTTAGGAGAGTGCAAAGGATCCCACCCTAATCAACAGCTCTGCTGGCAATAAACAGCAGAGGTGTACTCAACTAAAAGGACTCTTCTGCCAACTCAGGGAGATTTTGGGCTAGCTGACAAAAGAAGCATTCTGCTTATTATGCTGCACTCCGCCATTGTGTTAGCCCTACTCTATCAGACTCTGTAGATAAGGCAGAAGTAATGTGTGTATATGCACAAGTGTCTGTATTCTAAAAGTGGGAGGGGAACAGTTAAATTAGTTGCAAAGGTGTCTAGCATTTTCCTCAAAGTTAGATATAACAGCAAAACTAGTTTATTCTCGGTGTGCTTGCTTTGGCTGTTATTCAGTAAAACTTCTCCAGCTGATAGTGCTCTGCCACAGTGACAAAGGACGTGCAGGCAGTGCCTGAGTCTTGGACCATTTTTTGATGTAACCTTAACGGTATTCTGTAACCAAATTGTATAGGTACTTTGTCTCAGTTTGCTGTAGAAGAAATAAACCAGGTTGGAAACAAGTTTCGTACAGGTGTTTATGTGGAGATGGAGTCTGTTTCACTTGGGCTGCTAGGAGATGCTGGCAGTGGACTGGGCCCCTTCTCAGCACTGGAGTTCGTGCCATTCACCTGGAACAAGACTTCCCTAGGCAGGTGGATGGTGTGGAACACGCAGGCTCCTCAGAGCCCGGCATTTCACAACTGAACTCGGTCCTCTCAGAACAGAGCCCACGGCAGCGCCTCAGACAGGGGCGGGAGGGCCGCTGGGCGCAGGGCTTCGAGGAGGCCCAGGCGGGGCCGGCCTGGCTGCAGGACGCAGCCTGAGCTCCGCGGGCGGCCTACCAGGGGGGAGCCTGAGCCGCGCTCTTGCTCTTGGCCTCCTCAAGGAGCCTCAGGAGCCGCGCGGGGATGGGGGGTCCCTGAGGGGGTCCCCGCGGGGGCCCCCGGTGCCTCCCGCCGGCAGCGCCCCCCTCCCGGTCCCCCCCCCCGCCCTTCCGGCGGCTCAAGGGCGAGCGCGGCCCTGAGCTTCCGGCGCCCCCGCCCCCCCCACCGCGTCCCGCAGGCATCGCGAGAGCTCCCCCGCCTCCCGCGAGACCCGCCGGCTCAGCCGGCCGCTTCGGCCGAGTCCCTTCGGCAATTTCCGTCAGCGCCAGGCGCGACCAATCGCGCGGCGGAGCGCATCGATGCGCGCGGGCCCCCCGCCGGCCGGCCGCGGGGCCGGGGCCCGCCGAGGGGGCGGCGGGGGCGGCGGGGAGGCGGCGGCGGCGCGGGCGGGGCGGCGGGGCCGGGCGGCGGGCCGGGGGCGGCGGGGGGCGGCGCGGGGCTCGATTGTTCAGGCCTGGGCATGGCGCCTCTCCTCCCCCCCGCCATGGCTCCCCGTGTCCCTGCTCCTCTCCTCGCAGTGAGCCAAAGTGGCCGCCGCCGCCGTCCCCGCGCCCGCAGCCGCCGCCTCCTCCTCAGCAGCAGCAGCAGCCGCGCGGGCGCCATCTTGGCGAGGCGGCAGCCGGCAGCGCCCCGCGCCACGACACGGGCGGCGCCAGCCCCGGCAGCGCGGGGCCAGAGGCCGGGCGGAGCGGAGCCCCGCGGCGCGCACGGACCCCAAGACGCCCCCGGCCCTCCCGCCGCCGCCGCCGCCGCCCCGCGCCCGGACCCGGACCCCCCTGCCGCCGCCTCCGCCGCCGCCGCCGCCCAGGTGAGCCGCACGGCGCCGCCGCCTCCGCGCCGCCCGCACCGGGGGCAGCGCGGCCGGGCCGGGGCCGAGCGGCGGGGACAGGCCGCGGCCCCCCCCCCCCCCCCACTATCTTGGCGGCGGCGGCCGGGCCTCTTCTTAAAGGCGCCGGCCCCGCAGCGCCGGGGGGGGGCTCCCCGGTACCCCCCCCTCCCCCATCCCCATCCCCGCACCGGGGCCGTGGGGGGGGGGGGTTGGGGCGGGGGGGGGTGGGGCGCCGCCGGCACCTGCGGCCGCACGTGCGCGTGGGGGGCGGCGGCGCGTGCGCGAAGCAGGGGGGGGGGGGGGAGGAGGAGGAGGAGGAGGGGGAGGGGGATGGGGATGGGGGGGGAGCGGGCGGTGCCCGCGGGCACGGCTCGGGAGCGGGGGGGGGAGGAGGAGGAGGAGGAGGAGGAGGAGGAAGGCGGCGGGTGCGGGCACCGGGGGCAGGGAGGCGCCGCGGGGGGCGCTGCACGGCCCCTGCCCGCCCGGCCCCTCCCGGCCCGGCCCGTTGGCCCCTTCAGGCAGCTCGGCCACGTGCTCGCGAAATAACGAGACTGAAATAATTACGTCGAAATAATTAAACCGGACCCCCCTTTTATAGCCATACTTTCAGCTGTTTCTACGATTTTACTTTTCTCTCAGACGAAATCTGTGGCGTGGAGCTGTGCCCCGTAACGCTCGCAGCTCCCCACAACGTGATACAATCAAACATCGCCTTTGCACTGTCATCGCTCGCACGCCTACACGGCAGCGTAAAGCCTGATCCCCCCCATTGCCACCGATCCCCCCCGATTGCCCAGGTAGCGAGCAGCAAGGGAGGGAGCCCCAGGGAGGCCTGCCTGCACCCCCAGCCCTTCCCCAGGGCTTAGGAGCGTTTCCTTCCATTCACTTCTGGGCATCCCTGGCTCGTGCTTGATTAAAGTTGCTTCAAACCCTGCCTTGCGTTTCTTGGCTGTCTGAACGAGCAAGTTGTGCTCCGCTTGGGGATAACGTAACAAGCTGTAAATCCTGCAGCAAGCACGCTGCCCGACGAGCTAAATTACATGCTAGGGGTTATTTTAGATGGCAGGAAGAAAATGGTCCTCTCAGAGCTTGCTTGGGCACAGTTCCCCTTCCGTGGGCTGGGACGGAGGGAGCAAAAACCAAACCGGCCGTCTGCAGCTCGTGCTCTGTGTACACAGCCAGGGGTGAAGCAATGTCAGAGCACGAGGGTAACAGGGTAACAGGCGTGTGCTTGCACAGCACAGGGTCTGGAAGCGCCATCAGAGGTCTCTAAGCACTGGAGGCTGCCCTCCTGGGGCAAGACGTAATCTCCCTGAGCGACTACGACATAGTTTGATGTCTTGGTTTCTTCTGGTTGGTTTCCTGCTAGTTTAAACGTGGAAGCAGAGCCGCGACATGCCAGCTTCAGCGCTTGGTATCTCTGAAGGTGTTCTGTGGTTTGCTTACGTGTGCGCTTCCAGTAAGGTTTTTGCAGAGCTGTACGGCATTTTTTTCTTTTTTAATAGTCTGTGACCATTATTTCTGCAATTAGAAAATTCAGGGCCTGTATCCCAGTGGCTCTTCTCTGTGTTTAAAAGCAATTAAAAAGTGAAGCGGAGATCAATGAAGTGCTGTCTCATTCCTTGGAAAGCAATATAAAACCTTGCCACAAAAGCAAATCAGCAAAGTACCATAAATAGAACAGTATCTAGGTTTAACTAATTTAATTACTCAGAAAAGCAATTAAAAATGACTTCTTATCCATTTCAAACCAAAAAGGTGCAAACGTGTCTTCAGTTGCATGTGCTTGTTGTTTATTCATTCAGCTTGAATTTAGTGGAGACCGAGGGCTTTAAATTCATATAAATATCCTTCTCTGGTTTTTGAAAAGCAATAATCTCTTGTGTATCAAAGTTATACTTAAGAAACTTACTGCCATAAAAAGACTAGACAGGGATTATGTTTTACTTTAAGATCTGGCATATAGTGTACCACAGAGAACAGTTGTCAGTGTAACTATACGCTTATCAAAGCAAATAAAATGCTCGTCTCTTTTCCCTCTCAATGTTTTAATTCTCTTCCAAGCAAAATACCTCCTCAGGCTGTTTTATGCCACCACAATTGCCTGTATTAGAGATTACATGCATGTAAGGAAATTGACAGAAATATACCAAACTGATAGTACTGTACTCATGTACATTTTCCATGTAAATCTTGATTTATTTGTGTGGATTTACATGTTTGTCAGGAGTTGTTCTGGAGATGTTACTAAGATGTCCTTACAGTATTCTGCTATTCTGATGAGAGTTTGCCTGATTGATTCGTAAATTTCTTCAAGGAAAAAAAAAAAACAGGATCTTAGATGTTCATTTCAGTTTGGAAAGTCTTGGTGAGTTGGTGCCAAAATGCAAAACACGAGAAGACCACACAAGAAAAAATAGAGGATTGCTAAAGTTGTGAGAGAACAACAAAAAAAAAACATAGAAGGTTATTTTCTTGCTCCCTTGGCTTTACTTCTTCATCCTGGTCTATGGATAAAACTTTGAATGATGTAAACAGGGATTTGAGAGACACATAATTTCCTTGGGTAAGCTGGGATTTCAGCTTTTTGTCCGTTTAATCGTGTTGCCTGTGTGCTTGCGCTAGTTAGAGGGAGGTGAGAAACTGCTTTTGTGGACTGTAATATTTGAGTATGTAAGGGTGCTCTCCTGCCAGCTGGTAACAGTTCATATACATATGCGTAGTGTGTGACAACTGAGACCCTTTGGATTAGTTTTACCTTGCTGATTTGCCTTGCATCTTAGACTTAGTCAGAGGCTAAGAACAGGCACTGTGGATTAGCTGCTGTGCTCTGCCTTGTACCTGCACGGTAGCTTGTGTTTGTGCATGTGCCCTCAGGAGTGCAATTACTGTCAGTATTTGCTATAATGTTTGATGCCAGCATTAGGTGTAAAAAAAAGAAAAAGTAATCTTCTGGCCCTTACCCGAGATGTAGAGATGCCAGTGACCGAGGAGAAGACGACTCCAGAGAACCCATCCAAAGCAAAAATCCTTCCCAGCTGGTGGGCAGGCAGAACTTCTGACCTGCAGCGTGCCCCTGACGGGGCTTTAAACTGATACTGGGAGCAAAAACCTGCTGGGCTTCATTCAGAAATGGCCAGTAGGTATTTATTTAAACTGGGAGAGTCTACCTTTAAAGCTAGGCTGCTTCATGAAAACAGTGGTTTTGCTCCTTTGTTTGTGCACGTTGATGGGTATAAAAATTAGAAACCTTGTTATAAAGCATAATTCTGCTTTCCAATGGTGTCCTTGAAGGGTTCCTCTCCAGTGCTGGGTGTTTGCTTACTGACTAGACATCGTGATGGACAGACCTGAAAAGCAAAGTAAATGAATAAACCCCACACCTGCATTAACATGGAATTGAGCAACGCGATTTAAAGAAGGACAAGGAGGGTGTCTTAAAAGTGAACTTAGCTCTTTGAAAAAACATATCATTTTGAAGGTTATTTTTATGGATTTGGTAGCTGAACTCAGAACCTTGTGGTGGCGTTTGACTTGTGCCTTTAATAATTCAAAGGGCCACGTGATGCAATTAAATAGTTTCAGTGTGAACTTCTGATTAGGTAAGAACGCTGAAGGATTCAAAGTGCGAGCCAGCCAGCGCAGCAGCTATTCGGTTCCAAGTGCGCGTTTTCTAGACTGTTACTGCTTTGGGGGAGATGAAGGGAGAAGAGAGAAAGCAAATAACTACTGAATTTGATACAGAAACTTCTTATCAAGTGGGAGTACATGGGTAAGAAAGGTGTGATGGCAGAAGGATTGCCCAGCAACATCCAGTCATTTTACCACCTGTAACACAGTATTTACCTAAATGTTGCCACCAGTAATGAAAAATTTCCTTAAACTGAGGAAGCAAAAGGGTAGCTTTGTTTCCAAGATGGCAAGGAAAGCATGTCCTCACCATACAAATCCAGTGAAACAGTGTCTTGGTGCAGTTTCCTGCCCGCTGTTCCCTACTGCAGTGGGTAGGGCTGTTGAGTACATCCCTTTTGGTTGTTCCCCCCTTCTCTCAAATTGGTATACAAGCAGGTTTCGCCTTTGGAAATCTTTGTTTCTTAAAACCTAGAATGGGAACAAAAAGAACAGAGAATAAAGATGGATCTGTTAGCATCCCAGGTTACTACTTTGATCAGCAGAGAAGCCCTGAGTGGCTCTTAGTGTATAAATAAATAAAAGCCCAAACCATCCTGTATTTAAGATGCCTCTATAACACTGAATTTGTTTTGGGCATTTTTAATGTATTTAAGAATATTGTTAGGCTTGCCTGTGAGTATTTGATTATTCAGTAGGCGGGATACCAACCAGTAACTGTTCTGAAGACAAGAGTAATTAACTTTGTGTGTACAGGAGCCTCTCGGGACAAGGAAAATAGGAAGACAAGCAAAAGCTTGTCCTCTGGGGTGAAACGAAGAGCTCTTTTACACTGTCAGCATGAGGAGGACTTGGAGTATGGAAACATAAGGCTTCCAGGACTGGGAAATAATGTTTAAGAACACAGGTATCTGGAAGAAGTGCAGACAAGACAGGTACTTGGCATGTCTCTAGCACACAATGGGGGAGTTTAGCTTGTTAGGATAGGGAAGGAACGACTGCGGTCGTTGCAGAAGGGGTGTTACCACTCGCTTTCACGTTTACCTATGAAGCTCATGCAGTAGGAGTGAGCTGCTCCTGAGGAAATCTCAAAGTTTTCTGGTTAGTGAACGCATTTGATGGCATCCCCTTTTCTTGGGGCCCTTAGTGCCATGCAGATAAGGAAGCGGTGTTCGGCTGGGCCGTCTCTGGAGCCCGAGGAGCCCCACGGCAGGTCGGGGATGCGGCCTGGTGGCAGCTCCGAGCCCTGGGTCCCTGGGAAGCTGGAGGAGCATCCAGCTGCTCCTTTTAGATCAGGTAAATGGTTACCTTTGCCATGCCTCCAACCCGCCTGCCGTCTGGCAGTTAAGGGCTTCACCTCAAATCTCTCTCATTATTTTCCCTTCATTTTGCTGTTAAGCTCTTATAGTTTTTTTTAGGCTAAGTCTCACTGGGGTGAAGAAGAGCGTGTTCAGACTGTCGTTGTCCTCAGAAGTGCTGAATCCATTTGAAGGCATGGGTGCTTATTGCCCTCTTCTAGGCACAGGAGGCAGGTTGCTTTCCTGCAGTGCTACCAGGTGCTGACTTTGGGGAAAGGGCTCTTATGCAAAGAGCCGAGAGGTGCCGGATGCTCTATGCTTCTGAGCAAAACCATTAAACAGTGGTTGTGCGTGGTGTGTTGGTTGGGAAACTGGGATAATACAGCATTAACATAACTCGTGCTAGTTCTTGTTTTATTGCTCCTTTTCAAAACATCTGTAAAGGGATCACCATGTTTTTTTCTGGTATGATACTAGGTGTTGAATCTTGCTCCTTACTATATATCATTTTTTGTTGAGCTGCTCATATGATACAAATCAGTGTTACTAATGGGAAAGGAATGTCTTCCTTTTTGATTCCTTTTCTGTCCCCTCCCACAATGATTTCTTCCACCAGAAGCATAAATTTCACGTTTCCTCTCATTTTCTAACCTCTTTATTTTCTTCATGACTATACCCTGTCTCTTAGAAGACAGTCAGTCTTTGATGTAAGGTAGTGCTTGTTTGTGGGTGGTTGGGTTGATTTTATTTTCAGACAGTTGTTAAAAAATGGGACACACATAGGTGATAGTTTCTTGGAAAACACAAATCTTAATCCTTTTTTTTTATGGAAGGCTTTTGGGTCCTTTCTTCTTCTGTTAACCTCTGCTTGAAACATATTTCATGACAGAGGTCATCTATTCTATTTCTGTCAGGTGTAAGAAGATCTAGCATACAGAAAATTGAACCTAGATAGCCTGAGTCTAGAAGTCATTTTTAACTGAGGGCTGTTATCCTGTCTAACAGCTCCTGGCATGCTGCTGTTTATTCTGTGTGAGTAAAGACATTAAATCATGGCTGGGTGTTTATTAAGAAATAATAAAATTTGCTCTTGTTCAACCACTGCTAATAGTCTCAAGGTGGTAATTGCAGTTCTTTTGTAATATTGGAAGTTTTGAATCTGCTTTGTATATTGTTTTGGGGGGGGGTTAACGGACTTGGAAAATTTTAGATGCTGATTTTTGGACTGTGTACATGGAGAGAACAATTTGAAGAGGAGATGCTCAATTCATGTTTTCACTTGGATAAGCTTAAAAAAATTAGTAACAATTCAATAATTGAACAGATACGAAATCCTGTGCAGTAAAATAATGTGAACTTTACTTCAGATTTGTAGTATCTCTAAGAACTAATATAAACCAGAAGAATCTTAGAAGAGCATTTAATCCAAGTCTTTCAAAAACTCTTTATATTTTTTTTGTCATCCAACATGTGCAGAAGCTTTAGTTAAAGGCACTTATTTGTTAGTAAATACCATATTTATGGCATTGACAGCATTTTCATTTGCAGTTACAACTCTGAGTTTGGAGATCAGTTAAAATTATCTTGCTGTTACTGTATCACTCACGACATCTTGCCTAATCAAAGAAAACTACAATTCCAGTTGATGGACTTACTACTGTAACGATTGATATGACATCTTGTGCAATAAACAAAAGTAAAACCGCAGTTGACAGAACAATAAAACGATAGCTTTGGTTTTAAAGTACATATGATGCAAATACTGTGGGGTATTTTTTTTGGGGGGGGTGGGGGAGTCTGAGAATCCAAAGTCCTGGGAACAAGTGAAAAAAAGTCAGGAAGGCTATTTTTATTAGTTGAAAAAACAACGCTGGAGTAGAGTCTAAATTTGTAAATGGAAAAGGGTTGTAGTACATTGCTAACTATGTATTCCTTTTTCTTTAATGAAGATAACAATTCAGAGAGGCAGGTTTTCTGGTCAAGCATTGTAGCTTGCGCAACAGGTAGCAGCGGTATTCTGAGGGCTGTAAGGCTAGTGTTGTCTCTACGTAAGGGAAAGGTCTTACAAGTATTCTGTAGACTGCAGCTGTGAATTGAACGATTTAAAAAAAAAAACAAAAACAAAACATAAAAGTATTTTTAGTATTTCCTTTCTGGAGGAAAACAGCTTAATATACATATATAATTCAACTAAATAATTTAATTGCACTCATTTGACTTTCATGATACATGGCTGCCTTTTTGTAAGAGTTAAATATATTTAACGGTGAAGAAGGTTTGCTTTAGATGTTCAAGGACTGGATTCATCTTACCTTCCATTTCTTTGTCCTCATTTGCTAAGGCATCTGAATTATCATGCTAGGTCAGCGCGGTGCTCATTCTTATCAAATAGCATCCATAAACTCATAATTTTGTGGTGGAGAGTTTAGTCTGAATTTCTGCTTGTTTGGTGAATATACCTATTAACCGCAACCTCAGCCTTTTGCCCCACACTTCTTTGGGTACATGTTAAATATTGGCATTTGGTGTAGCATGTGTTTGCCTACTCACCTAGTTCTTCCTTGTTGGAGGTGGTGGTGATGATGATGATTGTTGTTTCCTCTTGACAGCTGTGTGTTCTGAGGCATCTGTGCATGAGGAGAAGTTTGTTCTATGGCCTCGGAGCTGGGCGCCAGGGAGGATGGCAGCTGCTCAGAGCTGGCAAAACCCCTCTATCTGCAATATCTGGAGAAAGCTCTGCAATTGGATCAGTTTTTACGACAGACGTCTGCCATCTTTAACAGGAGTATATCCAGGTACCAAAATCTTCTCATTAGGATTACCAAGGACAGACAAGCATTTTTATAATATTGTTCCCAGGCAACACTGCAGTAGGAGTTTTATTAGTGATTTGCTCATTATAAACTCATTCCCTGTAAAGATTTTGCGCTATACTTTTTACTTCACATTGATAATCAGCATATTGTCAGCCCAGGTTCAACTTGGCAAGATGTTTTAAAGCTCTTTCATAGTTGAGTGGCCCAAACTTTCTTTGCCAGCAAAAAATAGGATGAGCAAGCATTAAGTTGATTTTTCAGGGAACTGGCACGTAGCCTTAAGCAAAATGCAGACTGTGTTCTCGGATGCAGCATTTATACGACAGTAGGTTGTACCACTGAGAAGTGAGTCATCAGAGGTACACTTCTGTCCCAAAACAACTTACATTTAATTTCGTCAGTGTTTTGGAACTGCAGGCTTACCGAACTGTAAAGTGTGTGAGTAATAGATAACAGGTGTATTACAGGCATGTAATAAGATCCACACGAGGAACAGAGGGGAAAATAATGCCTTATATCTTTCACATGTAAGGTAGTGCTGAGAATGAGTGTTGTGCTTTGGTTTGACTCAACACTTAGCTTCTCGGTTAGTTCATGCTTTTCAAATTAAATAATCTAGTTAGAGACTGGGGGTGTGGGTTGATAGCGTAGCCAGACTGGTCTGATCATTAACTGGTGCTGAGAAGGAAATTATTAACAGTCCTATTTCTAACGTGTGGACTTAAAGCTGAGGCTGACTCAGTTCACAGGCTTGCAGGCAAATGGCTGCATGCAAGGAAAGTTGCGTATGTGCCTCCTATTTTGTATATTTTCCCTTCGTTGTCACCGTATTATGTTTCTTCTTGCAGTGATGAAAGTGAGGATGGATTGGATGACAATCCTTTGCTGCCTCAAGCTGGGGATTCCCTGATGCAAGTTAAAGAAGAGCCTCCAAACTCTTTGCTTGGGGAATCTTCTGGAGTAGGAAATTCTGGGATGCTGAACACACATTCCCTGAATGGAGTATTGCAGCCAGGTAGTCATCCACTAAATTGAATCTCTGCTTACTTTGTGTTAAGCTGGAAAAAGCATTATTTCTTAGGAAATTTGTTATCTTTTTTTCTCTAAACAGAACCAAAGTCTGAAAAAGGGAGCTTGTATAACTTTTCTAAGCTGAAGAAAAGCAGAAAGTGGCTGAAGGTAAGAATATTGCAAAGAAATGCAGGTCTTAGGAAATATGAGGAGGGTCCCAGTTAATGTTGACAGTGGTAAATGAGGGATTCTGTCTTGTCATTTAGTGTAGATCATGGAGATCCAAACGTGTAAGAAAGTAGATAGCGGAAAAAAAGTTGAGTGCAGGTCAGAGCATTACCTCACATGAAATTGGCAAATACAGTAAGTTTACAGTAAGCTTATTTGTTCTCATCTCAGTAGTCCATTTAATTTTACTTTACATGTGCTATCAAGAGCTCAGAAAGCTAGACAAATGTGTTTAAGAGCTGCCCTAAATGATCAGACACAGTTTTAATTGATGCAAAATATCATGTTGAAGAATAAGCCTAAGGTGATACAGAAGTGTATTAATATTTGATATCTTGCTGAGAAGAGGCCTTCAAAGGAATTCTTTACTCTTGTACTATATTGGTCTGTTTGCTGCACTATCTTTTTATGTAATTGGAGTTAGACTAATGTCCCTTGCTAAGAAGAAACGAATGTGTTTTTTTTTTCCTTTCTACATAAAAAAAAAACACAGACCAAAGTTTAAAAAAAAAAAGACATTCTACAGAGACTTCTCATCTGAGAAACATGGGGAAAGAAGAAAATGTGATGGTTGATAATAAGAACTGTTAAGATCTTGAGTAGAACAAAATAGAATTATAGTCTCTGTAGATTTAAGGCTTTCATTTCCATCAGGTAATGAAATGGACCGTAGACGTTTCAGTTTTGGTAGCAGCAGCACTGAAGTTAAATTTCAGAGAATATACATTCAGTAGCATGAAGTGATTGTAGTGCACTATACAAATTACAGTGAGCTATTACGAAGTACATTAAATGGACATTTGGGACTGAGCTGAAAGTTTGTTTCCTAAGACGTACTCAGTACAAGGTCCAGATGAGGAAGGAAGGAGAGAGTAGAAAGGTGGCATTATGCCATCTTTGCCTTTTCATTGTACTGCAGCCTTCTCTAGTTAGCAAAAACAGCTTGCCTAGAGGTCAGTTGAGAGCCAAACCTGGTGCAGGTGGTAGAATAGCAGGAATATGTGTAGCAGGAGAGGCTTTACAAATGCGGTAGCAAAGCACCTATAACCATGCAGCATAAAATACCCCTGCTTATATGCTGATTTTTCTCACTACTGGAAAGAATCTTCCACGATCAGGAGCATCTGCAATGAGTTTTGAAATATCTTAATTTTCATTAAACTTTCAGAAAACTACCTCCCTGAAAATCAGAAAACACGCGTTTGATTAGCTATTAAACAGTATTGTATGTCAGAAAATGATTTTCCATTGGAGGCATTTCAGATGTAAAACACTTTGTAAAGGCTGAGTATTGTGGCTGGGCTAGGTCTGCCAGCTCTTTATTAGATAAAGGCTTAAGAGCATTCTGCATAAATAAACAATTCAGTACAGGGACTTGTGATTGTTAAATTAGTCTTCGTTTATTCTTTTTAGAGTATCCTTCTGAGCGATGACTCCAGTGACACAGATTCACCAAGTGATGAGGATGGAGAGGATGAAGAAGAGTTTTCTCTTTCAAGGGAGGAGCTTCACAATATGCTGCGATTACACAAATATAAGAAACTACATCAAAGTAAATATAGCAAAGACAAAGAGGTAAAAATCCAGACCTTTTGTATTTCCTTGATTTTTATTTTCTCTTTCAGTTGCATTATTTTAATTGCTTTTACCTTTTTCTGAAAAATGGTAACATTCTGTGGCTTAGAAAATACCCTAGTGTTTGATAAACTAGAACAATCTAATATCAGTTTCAGACAAGGGTTATTTAATTAATTATGTACAGATTGAAAAGCTGTTGATCCCTTATGCTGAGAACCTCTTGATAACTTATGTAGATCGTATAGGTACATGTGTACATACAGCTTCTGCAACACTCTGTTGTGGTCATTAGAGCAAATGTAGAGTGCTAGATTTGGATAATACATACTAAAACTGAGATGCCGTGGGTTTCAAGTCTAAAATTAAGCCTAAAGCAGTATGTTTGCATCATCATCGAGGCAGCAAGTAATAAGGTGATGTTTACCTTCCTGAAAAAGAGTTCTTTACTGTTTTGTGTAATTCTTTTGGGTTTTACTTGACTTCATTTTTTGTCTTTCCTTTCTGTTTTAGATTTTTTTTCTTGTGTTCTTTGTTTCCTCTTCCCTATAAGAACTGCTCCATTTCTGTGTTTTTCGATGTTGTGCCAAGTTTTGACTATTTTGATTCAATAATGTATTTCTTTGAATTGTAAGAGCTTTGGCAAAAAAATAATTGCTGTTTTGAATTGTGCCAGAAAGTGGGTCTCAGATGAAAGAAGTCATCCTACTCTGCTAGCACAAGATGTGTATGAAACGAAAATTTGTCATTGCTTTGAAATTTCTCCAGAGGAGTGGAGAAACAGTTTTCCCACCCAAGTCTTTGCTTGTGTCCACTTCTTTCCTTTGCTTTCTCATTAACTTTTAAACCCAGATTGTGTTGGCTTCTCTTGAAATACTATGTAACTACACAAACATTTATACATCCAGTTTTCAGATAGGTCATAATTTTCATGTTTATATGTAACTTCTATATAATTCTTAATATTTTAGTTAAATATTGCTTTGAATATACCGTGGAAATCCTTTAAATGCCTTTTATCTAAACCCATTCTTTGTTATCCTTTGGCATGATCAAGTAGGACATGTATGTGATTTGGGAATGCAAGCAAAACAAAGAGGAAGTCCTTGATTGGGCCGCTGCCCATAACGTGCTGCCTTGCTGGGCAGCACCTGTATAGAGCAGTATGTTTTGCAAGTGTAAGCTTCACTGCCCGTTCTTCCCTTCTTATTTAACTGGGTGGGTTTGGTTGCCTACGTAGAACGTTGGAGCTACCTCTGTACACAAAGTAGGTTCACTTTGGACACCTCAATCCTTGATAACAATGCTAAATATGGAGATGCGTGTTTACTGATCTCTTATTTACAATCAAAACGTGAATTTGTTTATCTCCTATCTCTGTTATCTGCTGTATCTGCTTTCCATGAGTGTGCTCATTTACATCCACTTCAGTTGCAGCAATATCAGTACTACAGTGCGGGATTGCTGTCTACACATGACCCTTACTATGAGCAGCAGCGCCACCTGCTAGGGCCCAAGAAAAAGAAGTTTAAAGAGGAGAAAAAATTAAAAGGTAAAGTCACTAATCTTGTGTTTTTTAAATGATTGCTGTGATTTAAACTCCTTTCCTGTATTATTTGTTTTGAATAAACATAAATGCTCAAAACCTTTGAGTTTTGGATGGAAAGCTAGTAGACAGTTGTATCAAGGAGAAATCAGAAAATACTGAACTTTATCTTCTGGCCTCTAGAGTTAGGGTAAAAAAGAGTAATATAAATTGAAAGTTCATGGTTTTAGATCTTCTTTGTGGACCTCTGGATCTAGAATGAAATTGTCATGTAATAAATACTTGATGGTTCCCAATAGTGCTTGGCAGAGTTTCAAAATTCATAAATATTGTTATGTATCAATGTCCATTTGTTCATTTTTTTTGAAAACGTGATAGTTTCTTGAAAAAAATATAAGCTATGCAGTACCCGATGCAGTTATTCATGAATGAGTAATTCTAGTGACATGGAAATAATAGGAAGTGAGATTGTTTGGGGAAATTAGGGAACTCAGAATTGATGTCCAAAATGAGTTAAAATAGAACTACTTCTGGAACCTCTCAGCTGGAGTTTCTCAGATGCATGTATGGTGGGAATGACAGTTTCCTTTCTTGTTTGTGCTGGCTGCATCTGTTGATCTGTAAGGAGGAAGGAAGAAAAGGCTGTGAACTGTCAGTGTAACGTAGATTCTCTCTAGTGCAAGTACTTTAGTTTGAGCTGTTTTTTTTTGTTGTTGTTTGTTTGTTTTAAGGAGATTATTTTGGACTTGCCTTCTTCCTTCCTGTCTATCTGCAAGTTCCTTTAATGTTGATTTTTTTTTTCTTCCCTAATCTTGTAGCATCCATGGTTTTGCATGCTCTCAAAGAGCATTTTTAATATCTGATAATAGTGTCTGGTAGTTCCCTTTGAAAGCTGTATCTGCAGTGAGAGATAACATGCCAGTCTCTTTCAACTAATGACAAGTTTGGTTTGAAACTTATCCTACCAAATGCTGATTTTGTTACCCTTAGATGTGTTACCTTTACATGTCTTAAATAAATTTTTACCACAGAACAAGAAGCACTATACCAGCTCCTAGGGTATGTTTCCATGCAGGGAAACATGCTATAGGAGTTAGTTTCAAAACAAGGAATTAAGTGGATGGTACTAGAATTGGCAAGCATGGATAAGTTTGGCTTTTTGTTGGTTCCATGCGAAAATCAGCTAGGATAGCTTATTTATGACAAATGTCTGACTAAATGTGGAAGGTCCCGAAAAAAGAGGAAAAAGAAAAAGATTTTCACGATCATTATTTTCATGCAGGCAAGTTGAAAAAAGTAAAGAAAAAGAGGAGACGGGATGAAGATCTCTCTTCAGAGGAGTCACCACGACGCCACCATCACCAGACCAAAGTTTTTGCCAAGTTTTCTCATGATACACCACCACCTGGGTCCAAGAAAAAGCATTTGACTATTGAACAACTTAATGCTCGTCGACGGAAAGTTTGGCTTAGCATTGTTAAAAAAGAGTTGCCAAAGGTGAGCTTGGCTAGTGGCACTGCATTAGTGATGATAACAAGAAAGGATAAGAAGATAGGAAATTAATTCAGTGGAGAGGTGACACTTGGAAAACCAGAGTAAAGTGAGAGCTGATTTTCTGGTGGTCATCAATGGCCATGCTGATATGCTGTTATCTGTAAGCAAACTGCAGTTCTAATTTCTTATCACCAATGATATCTGAGTGGATCATGCAGTGCTTTAGCCAAATTTCATTTGGCTATCCAACCCTTTTCTGCGAACAGCAAACTTGAGCAAGTACTCCCACTAATCAGCAGGGTAGCTATGTAATGCAAGCCAGTATCTTGGTCTTGTGCTAAGTTCAGGAGAGGCACTTTCAATCATTACAGCTTGCGCATTTTTTGAAACTTACTTCAGAAACAGCCTAGGGAAAACTTTGTCATTTACAGGAGAAGCTTTAGGCACATTTGTGATAGCTCAGTTTTCTATCACTAGTTCTCTGAGATGTCGTCAGTGGATCTTAAATCCTGTTTTTTGGAGTACACAGTTAACAGACTTTGAATTTCTAGCAAGTTGAGTATGACTGATGGCTGTATCATCCTTTATGGACTTGTACACCAGGCAGAGGATAGCTGCAGAGTGTCAGACCTTGTATTTTCAAAAGACTGATTTTGGTGATGTGAACAATATGGGATCTACATTAACTCTTAACATCTTTGGGAAACAGTGGAAACATCTTTTAAGTGATGACAGTGGAGTAGGACAGCCCTATTTTGCAAAACTAATAATTAAAGAAATCTTCCTGAAAATGGAGGTGTTTTACATGCTTCCTTTAGGAGTTGGAGTACATTTATGTGCCTTTGACTGTGAAGGATGAAAGGTGTTTCCATCAAAATGAAAAATAGTTACAGAACATGTATGCAGTTATACAATAAAGGGTTGACAGGTGTAACAGCTAAAAAATGGATAGTGATATTTTAAAATACTCTAAAGCTATTACCCTTTAAGTAATTTTAGGCTGGTGTTCTTTTATAGGCATACAAACAAAAAGCCTCAGCACGCAACCTCTTCCTAACCAACAGCAAAAAGGTAAGTGTTCAGCTCTATGGAGATTCTTGTATTGAATGGAATAAGCAAGCTCTTACCTCTTTGTTTCTTACAGCACTGACTATACTGGCGGGACAGTATAGGAGAAAGAACTGTATATAAGTAATTTGTATACAGCTTTTCAATTGTAGATGTGTTATTTTGGTGTGTTTAATAAGCAGTAGAAGAAACAAGCCACATAAATTTCTTAAGTATTTTTGGTTTTCATAACATTTAGGTTATTAATTTGTAATTAACTTATCTTTGATACAATAAACTAAAGACTTTGGTATGCTTTGTTGGCTTTTGAACTGCCCATCCACGAGTTAGAATTTGTTGTTTTAAGCATTGTTTAAATCAAAAGGGCTCTTGGAAGTATTAAATGTATTCATGATCTCAACTCCTATATAAGTTTAAAAATAGAAAAAAAAAATCTGCTTAAATGATTGCCAAAGAAATTTATCTCCTCATCAGAGTGTTCTCTGAGAAGTGTCATTGTTTCTACCTAGGAGGCTTTATTGTAGGAACATTTAGTAATACTTTCCTGAGCATTTTTCAAGTGTTATGTTCAAGTGCCTGATTGATTTATATGGCTAATGAAAAAGTAATCAAGTATATGGCTGAGAATCATCAGATGTAAGATGATGTAGGAAATTTACATTCCATATATGCATTATTAAGAAAGGGAGCACTTTCTATGCAAGGGATGCAGAAAACAGGACCTCGTTCACTGTAGGTAGGTTCTTCTGTGGGCATCCTTACTAGAGACTGAATTTCTTTTTGATGTCTGAGCAAATAGTCTGTGATTATTGTGTTTGTAGGTATCACAAATTGCATATTATACGAGTGAGTGATGCAGCAGACTTAAAGGTTTTGAAATTGCACTCTTTTCTGCTTTGTTTTCATTTTGTTTGATCATTTGATATCTGTGTGATGGAATTGTTGATGTGCAAATTTTAGTGGTGAGAAGAAACAACTGTCACAAACATCAAACCCAGCAATTTTGGCCATTATGACAGTGACATTAATTTATGTGTACTAGAATGAAAAATGACATTGTATTATGCTTCTTTATGAGATGGTGAGAAAATTGTAGGTTACTCCCCCACTTTTCAGTGTATTAATATGTGAACGCAATTGTGTACTGCCAATATTGCCATTGGAGCAGCCTTATTAAAACAGCAAGAAAGAGCGGGTACCACAGAAAAATGGAATAGAGGAGTCAGAATTGCAGGTCTCCTGAGTTCCTTTCAAGGACCGATCCACCAGATTAGTCCTTTAAGTATCATGTCATACTGCAGCTGTCTCCACGTTTGTATGCATCTCAGGAAGTTTTTGGAAATTCATGTTCTCTCACACCATTTCAAAAACATTACTGCTGAGCAAAGTATTGTAGTTTTTCTCTTTTGAAAGATAAGACTTAGTTGTAATTAAATTTGATGTTTTGTATTGCTGTCTTTCTCTAAGTCTGCCCATTTTTCTTATGTATCCAAACCTTATATCTCCCTAGCTTGCCCATCAGTGCATGAGGGAGGTACGTCGAGCTGCTCTTCAGGCCCAGAAAAACTGTAAGGAAACTCTGCCACGGGCACGTCGTCTTACCAAGGAGATGCTTCTCTACTGGAAAAAGTATGAAAAAGTAGAAAAAGAACATCGAAAAAGAGCTGAGAAAGAGGCTCTGGAGCAACGCAAGCTGGATGAGGAGATGAGAGAGGTACAGCAAAACCACAAATTGCTGATAATTAATCTCCTGAGGAGACACAGAAGTGATTAAATGATTTGAGTTTCTAAATCTGGGCCACCAAATTCAGATATTTACTCAGTTTCAGTGGTGTTCCATCTATTTCTTCTGCTATCTTAAAATTCTTTACATAATTCTTCTGACATTAGCCAGAGGTGGTAAGAAGCCTTTGAACTACTTAAATTCTTTATAAATGAGTGAAGTAGAGGAAGGAATTAGACAAACAGCAGGTGTCTCACTGACACATACATAACTCAGTGTTACTAAGTGCCAGCCTTTTGTGATGTTTTGCTCATCATTATGAATCCAGAAGGCAAACCATCTTTTTATTCACTTTTTTTCCCCCCCTACTGTAAACACATCATAATTTGTACGTGCCTTCTGTATGGTACTTGCAGAAATTGTTAGCAGAACTGTTGGGGCATACAGAGTTGAGAATTTTTATGTGATCACTTCTGGGTTGGCCAAGTGACTGATTCATGGACTCTTTTAAAGAGTGGTAAGGTTATAATTTAAGAAAAAAAAACTTCCTTGCCAAAGCTCTCTGGTGGAGTTACAGTTGTTACCTTACATGTGCAGTGATGAGCTGAGGTTGAATCTTCAAAATACCTTATGGTTAGTTTAATGCTTAAGCCATTAGATCATGTTTTTATGTATAGTGCTTCTCTCAATTCTTGAAAATTTGTAGATACTTTGTGATGGTTTTAACTGGTGTAAATTAATGGACAAATTTTACTGTATCATTTTTAAGCTAGAACCTAAGAATGAACAGTTTCTGCAACATCCTGCTGAACCCTGGACAATGATAATATCTCAGCAGTATGCATTTCTCGTGTTCTTTCACAGTTCTCTGTACTATTAAAAAACAGAATGCTGGAGTTACCTGCTGTGATTGTCTCGAGGGTTTTTTTAGTTTCTTGGTTCATCTACTGTAGACCTCTGCTGCTGTTTAGTTTTGTAAATGTTTTCCAGTGTGCATAAAACTTAAAAAACAAAACAAAGCAAAACTTTCAAACTTTCTTTCAGGAGATTATGGTATTCTTTGCCATGTTTGCTGAATTTAAAAGAACATTTCATTTACAGCAATTTTATATTTTAATATAGGTGTTTGTGGTTAGTGATGTTTCTGTTTTCAACTAATATTATATAATTTCGATATCAAAGTGATGTATAATACAACATAGATTAATTGTTGATATTTTATTAGATTAAAACTTTTTTTTCTTGAACTATATTTTGTTCTGTTTTTACCCCCTTCATTTTTTTTTTTGGAAATGCTCTTTTTTTAGGCTAAGAGGCAGCAGCGAAAACTTAACTTCCTGATCACACAAACTGAATTATATGCCCATTTTATGAGTCGTAAACGAGATATTGGACATGATGGAATACAGGAAGAAATCCTACGCAAACTGGAAGACAGCTCTACCCAAAGGCAAATTGATATTGGCGGAGGAGTAGTGGTCAACATCACCCAGGAAGATTATGGTAAGCAATTCATCCACAATCCTTCTTTTGCACTCTTGAAATTTACTGTACTATGTGCATTCTTATGCAAATTTACCATTTCAAGCACAAAATTATCCTGTAATTACTGTAATTTATGTGATATGGCAAGGGGGTTGGACCCCATGATCTTTCGAGGTCCCTTCCAACCCCTACAGTTCTGTGATTCTGTGATTTATTTTTTTTTAATTTGGGTGGTTAATTCTGCAGAGCTCTAATGTGAAGATGTTGTTTTCAGATAGTAACTATTACAAGGCACAAGCTCTGAAGAATGCTGAGGATGCTTACCAGATTCATCAGGCCCGGGTATGTGTTTTTTGGATCCATGAAGTAAAACAGAAAGCAGAGTAATTGGTAGAGGCCCCAAAACCAGGATCTTTAATAGCAGCCAAGTCAAGTAGATAAAGTTTAGATCTCGGGTACCAGATCTAAACTTGGTTCTGTTGCCCCTTTCTGTGCTTAAACAGGTAGAAAAACAAGAGAGAGAGGTTTGGGATATGGGAGCAGGTTCATCTTGTTTTAAGATACCCTTTGTCTTAATGTGAAGTGTAAAGCCCTTTACTGTACAATTTCTTGTTAAGTTAATATGTCCATCATCTTATGCATATTTTCCTTTTCCTGTTTAGACCAGATCATTTGATGAAGATGCAAAGGAAAGTCGGGCAGCTGCTTTACGGGCTGCTAACAAGTCTGGTACTGGCTTTGGAGAGAGCTACAGTTTAGCAAATCCATCTATCCGTGCAGGGGAAGATATTCCGCAGCCTACAATTTTCAATGGGAAACTGAAAGGTTACCAACTGAAAGGCATGAATTGGCTGGCCAACCTATATGAGCAGGTATGTTAGTGCCTCTTGCAAATTTTTAAAAATTCTAGAAGAATTTATGTAACTTGGTTAAAAAAAAAATACCGTTTTTAAAAATAGACCACATACTGTATTTGTAATGTCTTTAGAAGAAAAGAAAATGTTATGTAAACCACTTACCAGTATTCCTTAATTATTTAGGAAGTAACAACCTTGAATGGGACATTAATTTTGAGATTCTTTATGTGGACGTTTATACAAATGTTTATTACTTAGGTTATACACTGAGGAGACTTCTGCTGCTCCATGTTATATACAATTTCATGCTTTGGGCAGCTTGTAAACTGCAGGCAACGTGTTACACTTGTGTATATATCCAGTTCACAATATGATCACGAAATACAGATGGGCTAAGGGAAAAAATATCAGACCTAGAAATGAGTGAAACTGTGGTTGAGATGAATTATCTCTCAGTAGAAGACCTAAAAGGGGGTAGGGTGTTTTAGAGTTGTCATAGTGGGGCTGCTTATCATAAATTCAGTGGGAAGCATTTTTCAAATCTTTTATGGATCAAACAAAGTAGTAAGGTGTTAATTTATGGATCTTTCACAGGGTATCAATGGAATCCTGGCGGATGAAATGGGTCTGGGTAAAACAGTGCAAAGTATTGCTCTCCTTGCACATCTGGCTGAGGTAAGTGGATTACAGCTTTTTCCTGGTTCAGTATACTTGATAGAAGATGCATACTTTTCACATTTGGAATGAATTCTAGATTCAAAGATTCAAAGATAAATTCAAGATTCAAAGCTTGAGTGTCTTAAAAAACGTTTTAGCTATGGCCTTTCCTTTTGTTTTAAAGCTGTTCCTTTTCAAGGCTGTGCGTATATGTAGCTATATATATCTGTGTGCATATATAGAGAGAATTTTCCTTTGTTCACAGAGTAATACCTTTTCATACGCACTGATTGTGAAAGCGTGATGGCAGAACAAGTTGCATACTTAATGGTTCACTGAGCTTTACAAATCATAGACTTGTAAAAATGAAGCACAAATTCTGAACTTCATGGCAATTAGCATGCATTTCCATACTTTGCTGGATTTTATTTTTTTAGGAAACATACTGTTTCTTCTGTTCCAGGACAGACAAACAAAATAGAAAAATCAATGGGAGCTTCCTTCTTTATGCAGAAATACAGAGAAATCGACATGTAGGTCGATTTAAAAAAAAAAAAAAAAAAAAAAAAAGTCTTGATTGGCATCCAGCCACTTGCCTTAAATTGGGGATACAGGGTAATGGTACTGAGAGTAGAAGTAGCTGAAGTTGTGGCCAAATAAATGACCATTATCTGTATTCGTTTATATTCCTTTTGATACCAGTTTGATGGTACTATCAGCCATGATACTGGAAGGGAGTGCAGAGTCAAAAGCTCTTGAGCTCATATGTATGGAAAGGACAAAAGGTAGTTAGGCTTGTTTTCCTGGTGCACTGCAACTTGAGATTTTTGGAAGCCTGCATAGGGCTTTTAATTAATCTGTGTTTTTTTTTTTTAATGTGTCTATTGCAGAGAGAGAACATCTGGGGACCTTTTTTAATAATTTCACCTGCCTCTACTCTTAACAACTGGCACCAGGAGTTTGCCAGATTTGTTCCTAAATTCAAGGTAATAAGCATGTGCAAGAAAGTTCTTTGTTATCTCAAAAGCAAACTGCCCCTCTGTTTGTTTGTTTGTTTTTCCACATCTGGAAATTTGAAACTCTGTATTGGGGCTGATTCTGAATTTTTCCATCATCTTGTCTTTCTGGAGCATTAAATTATCTAGGGCTTGAAAATGTTATTTCTTGGATTGTTTTCTTTGTTCATTGATTTCTTGCATTTTGCAACAGCTTGAAGACACGGTCTCAGTGAGGAATTGAAGTGAGGTAGGGAGTAGATGTTCAGTTCTATAGTATGTGGGCCTGGCAGCAGACCCAAAAATGTTTCAGTCTAATGTACTCTCTTTAGGTCTAGAGCAGTATTTTCAGTCCTTTATATCAGCCTGAGTAAGATAAAGATTGTATGTACACAAAACTAGAACTCTGTAAACAGATCAGGAGAGAAAATGCAGTTATTATTAAAGAAAAGTAGAAGAACCATAGAAATGGAACTAGCAATGAAGAAAAAAGAAAGTAGAGGAGCACAAATGGGTAAGATCAAGAAGATAACAAAGGAATAAGTCAAGGTCTCCAGTTACACTGTGAATGTGATACATCAGTAATGTAGAAAGTAAGGAACAGTTGGTTACCGAAAAACAAGCTGCTTACCTATTTCTTAGTGGAAAACACTTGAGTGCTGTAAAGGAAGATTTAAAAGGAATATATATTACTGAAACAGTGACAAGATTTTAGATTTCAAGATGGACAAAGGCTTGCAGTTATATCTGCAAAGAAAGGATTACAGTTCAAGTGCTTGAGTTGTTGGCATGGCAACCTTTGATCTTAAGAGGTTTTAATTTAATCCAGTTTTAATTCTTACAAAGAATATATAAAAACAATAAAAACCATGTAGTTATGATTGTAAGTAGACAGTATACAAGTAACACCCAGGCTAATTGTTTGAATGTATTGGCTACTTAATGAGGTTGAGGAAAAGACTTGGAAGTATTGCTGTAAGTAATATTTGATTTCTTGGTCTGGAGTGTTATAGGATTTACCTCTTATGAAATAGCTTGCTGTGCAGGTCACTTATAAGACTATACTGTTGGTTATGGTGGTGTAGACTTCGAGGTATCTGCCCGAGGAGAATTTGTGCAGAATGTTGTACAATAATGGATGATTTGAGTGGCTTATATTTTGGCATAAATTGGGATCACTCAGACTTCAAAGAAAGAGATGAAGAAATAAAAAATATTTAATTAGTGAGGAGTGACTTTAAAATCAAAATAAAAATGAATTATTCATGTATTTGCATAGCCCAAAACAGTAGGGACCCCAGTTTAAAGCCTGGAGTGGAAGACATTAGAGCAGTTGGCCATTCTACCTACTTACTCTCTGTCATTTCCTCCAACTAGTATAGGTGAGCAACTTTTATGCTTTCTCCTTGGAAGTGAAATACAGAAAACATTTAAAAAACGCAGCCAGGATGCTTGTAAATAGAGAACTTTTTTAATATAAGAAGAATGTTTTTCTTTGCTTCTGTTATTGTATAGCTGTTCTGCTGATTTATTGCATGATTTTGCTTACCTTATCCCTGGAATGGTTCATGTTTTTAAAAGTTCTCTAAACTTGTGATTGTTATTTGCTTATAAGTTTTATCAATTTGTTGAACCAGTTTTGTTCTGCTTTCTAATCATATAGTGTAATCAGGTGTGTAGTCAGTTATACTTAAAGTAAATCACAGTGAATTAATTTCTTCAGGTCCATAGCAGAATATGTAAAGTAAAAGGCAAATCACTTGTTGATTAATTTGATGATTTTTTTTACTAGCATCTTTATTTTGGAAACGTTGGAAGAATATTCACTTAAAGGCACATTGTGTGTAGTAATTCAGAGGTTGTCTGTTGAAGGATGGAGATGTTTCGCAGCATCAGAAACCACCATTCCCTACTTTTGCTCTTACTTGAATGTAGTCCGTTCATCAGACAGAAGATGGCAGTATAGTATGATTAACTAGTGACTCGGCCTGGTTTCAGTTCACGGCAAAAATCTGTTCCTAGCGATAGGACCTGTAAAATTCTGAGTAATAAATTGATGAGCAAATTCTTCTTGCGTTAGACCAAATATATTAACTTCGATCTTAGAGTCTGGGGACAGTTTTGAAGAACAAAACTGACAGGATCAGTGTGATTAGAGAACAGGAAATGTTAAACAGGAGAGCAAGCCTACTAGTTGTGTAGGGTTAACTGAAGCAGACCTCTTTCTTCCATAAACTATGTATAAGTTTTCATTTTTAGAAAAATCAGGTTAGAAGTTGTAACATTCTTCTGGGCATTTTTATACCAAACTGAGAATCTTCTCTTTATATCTCTATATTAGGCATAAGCTGCTTGATATATTTGCTTAGTATGATACTTTAAGTTTTGTTTTGCTTTGTTTTAAGTATTTTTTTTTTCCTGCATGTTAAGAACATTTCCTTTTGGTTGTTTTGGAAAAAAAAATAACTGTCCTTATATTTCGTAGGATGCATAGTATAAAATTCTAGAGCAAGTATGTCTTTATTTGAAAATAACATGTTTATTTTTGTACTCTTATAGGTGCTACCTTACTGGGGAAATCCCCATGACAGAAAGGTGATCAGGAAGTTCTGGAGTCAGGTAATACTGGCATGCCCACATGCTTGGACCAATTTTTTTACTTGTGTAAAGTGAAACAGAAACTATTACTACAACCTACTAAGCTAAACAATGTGTGGATAATAGAGTTCTGTATCTATATCTATGTAGTGACATCTTTGTTAAAATAACAAGGTAGACGGCTTCTCTTGTATTGGAGAACAGTATAGTGTAGGGCAATTTAAGGTCATATGAAGTTAGTTGAAGAAAATAGGTCCCTACAAATGAAGCAGGCAGTTCCAGTGTCAAGAACTCTTTACACTATTTAAATAATCTAACTCAGTGTCCAACTCTAGCATCCCTGCAGGCCGGTCAGATTGTTCCTGATTTAGCATGGGTAAACAGCATTTTATAGGGTTCAGTGCCTGGGTCTTGTCTGACATGTTAAGAAGCATCTGAAATTATTCAGGAACTAATGGGCTGAAGTCCAGATGTACCAGCTGAAAAGTGTTTTTGTAATTACTTGAAGTCATATGGGGAAAAATGCAATGATAATGAGAAAATATTATGCAACAGATATCTGAAATTGCAGTATATGCAGGTGAACTCTTCACAATGTATTTACATTACATGGACATTTGTTTCTTATTTTGTGGTTATAGAAGACATTGTACACTCAGGATGCTCCTTTCCACGTGGTGATTACCAGTTACCAACTGGTTGTACAGGACGTGAAGTATTTCCAGCGAGTGAAGTGGCAATATATGGTACTGGATGAAGCACAAGCACTCAAGAGTAGCTCCAGGTAATAAATGAGCTGGAAATAATCTTTCCTCTCTATGAACCTTTCAAAGGAATATCAAGATAACATAAAGATTACAAAAACTGTCAGAATTTAAAATCGACGTACATGAGACGTCAAGTATTTAACCTAGTTAAGTATTTGTGTAACTCCAATGGTGGGTGACAGTGAAATTATCCTCGATTTTCCTCTTCCAAATATATAAAACATTTTAAAAGGTAATTATGGAGCAGAAATATGCATAGAGTACAGGACAATGAAACAAAAAGGTGTTAAATACTATTTACTTTCTTTCCTGGCTACTCATATAATTCTGCCTTGTGAACAATCTGTAGTCTTTGATGTGTTTTACTTCAGCTTATTCCATTAAATGTGGTATTTTGATTCCTTCTTCAGTGGCATTTCCAGACACTAGTGAAGGTCAGAACCTAGTGAATACTTTCATCTGCAATAAATCCCAATCTTAGTCGCAATCCTCTGTGCCAGAAAGTTTTCTCTTTATTTCCAAGTAATAGATTTGTGCATCTTTACTTCTCTCATTGCTTTTTCTTAACATTTCCCAAAGTTGCCACTATTCACATCAAATCTCTATTTATGTTAGTTGAGGACTGCTTTGTATGCAGACTTGTTCAGACTGAAGTCTGCCTCTTCAGCATTCTTTGGAAATTGCTCCCTAAGATTGTAAAGTACAGCTCAGCACTCCTTCTACAGTCACCTATGGACTTAGTGTTGTAAAGTGTGAAAAAACCGTTTCTTTTGGAAAGTTAATTATTCTGATGACAAGACTGTGATTTTATTAGTATCCAAGCATTTGTATTAAAAGTGAGTTAAAGACATACTTAAATAAAATAAATGATGCACATTTCTTTCTATTTTGTATAAGGCTATTTCCTCCTGTAGTTGCCTTTTGAAAGACTGGGTGGTAGCTTTGGTAGTTTTACCCAGTGACCTCCAAAAAAACATGTGGGAAGGTTACTAGAAGCAGTTGTCTTAAAATTTCTTGCATTCATGTTCTTAAAAAACAAACAGAAAAAAAAATCTAATTATTTCCTTTTTTTCTCAATTTTATTCATCAGTGTTCGCTGGAAGATCCTACTACAGTTCCAGTGTCGAAATAGATTGTTATTGACTGGGACCCCAATCCAGAACACAATGGCTGAGGTATTCAGGAGCTCACAAGAGCTGACTTTTCTTTATCATGGGAGTGTATCCTAAATATCTGTGAAGAGTTGAGAAGCATTTGTATGGTTGTGGGATCGTGTTTGTATCTCACCACTGGCAAAAAAAAAAAAAAAAAAAAAAAAAATTGAATCAACTTTGGGAGGGGAAAATTTGGAAGCATGCCTGGCATTCAAATAACAGTAAAACTCAAGATAGCTGATGGTTAGTAATGCCTAGATTACAGGATAAAATTTAATTCTAGTAGCTTTTTCTTCTGTTGGCTGAAATCATTGCCTTATATTTCTCACTGCTTTCTGATGGTATTGATATATCTGGCAGGGGAGAATATGGCAGAGGTGAGAGTTTGCCATGTCTTGTGATCTGCTAAAGTGACTCTCTTGCACTGAGAAAGAGCTGTAAGAGATTGGGATCCCCAGTTACCTTGTCCACAGTTGGATGACTTTTGCTGATACATTATTTTTTCCTTTCCTTTCTAGCTGTGGGCCCTGTTGCATTTTATCATGCCAACTTTGTTTGATTCCCATGAAGAGTTCAATGAGTGGTTTTCTAAGGACATAGAGAGCCATGCAGAGAACAAATCCGCCATTGATGAGAGTGAGTGCAGTGTGGGATTACTGTAGTTTGTATATGAAAAATCTGTGGCCTTTCCCAACTACCGGTGCGTAAACTATCTCTCATTTTGTGTATGAGGAGTGCCTAATAAAGCAGATGGTACATGAATTGGATTGGAACACTGTGGATTGATGTCCATAGTTCATGTTGAAATTTTTGTTTCTGACTGTAACGCATCATGTGTAATGAATAGAAGAATGTGGTGAAGGTTTTGACTTGATACTTGTCTCTAATACTCCTCCCTCCCAACACAAGAGAACAAATATTTTAAATGTTTGTAAGTTTCTATAGAGCACATTATCTAACAAGCCTTGCAAGTATGTTACAAGCTCTAAAAGTTATGGTAGAAAGCACTAAACACCTTTTGAACTAAAGGAGACAAGTTTAAAAATCATTTGCTGAAAAAAAAAAAAGAAAAGGATTTACAGTAAATTCCAGGGGATAATTATATTGAAAAATCTAGCTAGATAAAATAGGTGATTTGTAATTGGAGTAGATAGAACCCAGCACAGTTGAAACTTGCCGCAGAAGTAAAGGTTTTAAGAGTTCTTAAATACCCAAAACTCTGTGCTGTAAGAACTCATATGAGGGGAAATAGGTGAGCAGTAATAGGCTTCATTTGTAGTAGAACAAAATACAATTTCTTCTTCAGAGAAGTAATTCTTCCTGTTTCACTATGTTCCAGACCAGCTATCCCGCTTGCACATGATCCTGAAACCTTTCATGCTGAGAAGAATCAAGAAGGATGTGGAAAATGAACTCTCAGATAAGGTGAGAAAAAGCATTTATCTTTAGAGTATTTCAACTTTATTTTCATAGCTCTGTTACCTAGTTTTTATAGGCCCATTTGTCACTCTCCATACCTGAAATTTGGTTGTAGACTTTTCGCAGACCTTACATTTCTGGCATCACATTCCAGCAATCTCATTAGATGTGAATGTAACTTAAGAACCCCTTAATTAATTATTTTTATTATTATTATTTTTTTTTATCTAGGGAAAATATTTTGTTCAGTTGCAAATAAAAAGTCTTTAAGCTGGGTTGTACTGACAGTATCATCAGTAATGGAAGTAAAGGAGATTGATACAGCCGTGATTGGCAGGCCCTTGTGAAAGATTGGGCATGGATTTAAGATTGTTTCTGCTTGCTTGTACTGAGCAAGATATGCATATTGGCAATATCATATTCTTCTCTCTTAGTGTCTTAATTTTTTGTGGATGTTAGTGATGCTGAATGGGCTTGTGGATAACTTGTGCCCTGGTTTTGGGACTTCTGGCAGAGAGACATCAGCTTTGTTCTGATGTACTTGTTAGTTTCAGAACTGGAACTCTTCCCACAGACATTGTTATTACGTGATGTCTTAGTTGTCTTTATCATAGTTTCCTGACACCTGTTCAAGATGACTCCGAATAGGTAGTGTTTTAACAGTGGAATAGCAGAATTGGACAAAATTTAAGCTGTTCGTCTGCAGATTTGATGTTTTCAGAGGTTCTTAAGACTCTGTTGATTTAGTGGTGTTCATGTATTTGTAAAGGTCTGTTTCCTATCTGATTACCTAAGGCTTCCAAAACACAGTTGTTGCATAAGTGCTTCCCAGGATGGATCCTGAAATGCAGATACAAACACAACTGCCTATATATATATATATATATTTTTTTTTTTTTGAGAAAGTTAAGTTTTCTTTAATATGCATTTTGCCTGCTTTGTTTGTACTGATGTGGTCATGTTCCATTTCAGAGAGAGAAAAAGCTAAAACTTCATTACTATTTTGCAGATTGAAATTCTTATGTACTGCCAGCAGACAAGTCGACAGAAGCTGTTGTATCAAGCTCTGAAAAATAAGATCTCTATTGATGACCTCTTGCAGTCCTCAATGGGCACTACTCAGCAAGCGCAGAACACCACTAGTAGTCTCATGAATCTAGTCATGCAGTTCAGGAAGGTAAGGCTATTTTAAGTAATAATTAAAAAGGATATTCACTCATTAGCTCAGCACTAAAATAGGGCTTCTAGAAAACAAACCAAAAAAAAGCATGGCGTATGCATGCAGATTTGCATACAGTTCAGTTCTCTTTCTGGTGCGGTGCAGTATGATGTTGGAGTAGAAGAGCTTCTGCCAAATTCTGCATGCATCTGCTAACTTTTGGTTCCAGATTGGTTGTTGAAGTCATCCACTTGGGAAAAAGAGGTGGAAGCTGTGAATCAAATAGGAAAAGATATAATTCAGTATTCAATTTGAACAAATATACTAAAACAGCTGTGAAATTCTAGCCAATATAAACGTGATCAATAGTCATAGCTGATTTGTGATGTAAATGCTACATCAGACTAAATTCATCCCTTCCTAATGTTTTCATTTTCTTATAGGTGTGCAATCACCCAGAGCTGTTTGAGCGACAGGAAACTTGGTCTCCATTTCACATCTCGCTAAAGCCATACCAGATTTCAAAGTTCATCTACCGTCATGGACAGATCAGGGTCTTCAACCACTCACGGGACAGGCAAGCCAGCTCCACTTCCTCTCCAGCTTAATATATTTTATAGTATTATTTAGGTTTATTTTAGCTTTGTAAGCACTGATTAACTTCCTTACCTGAGGTACTTGAATGGTGTTAGCCAAGCAATGCATTCCTGTTTTTCTTTCGTTTATTCAACTGTTAAACCTCAGATATCTGATGATCCTTCTTAGTGGAATCCTGAGCATCAAATGTCCCTTTGATTGAATAAGAAAGTAAGGAAAAGGAATTTATGGTTGTTGCTGATGATGTGTAATAGAACTACCTTTAATAGAATTCTAGAAAAGCACTGGTTTCCCTTCAGTGATTTTTCATGTTTAAGGAAGCTATCAGTATCTGCCTGCTGTGACATGATATGTTGCGAGCATCTACTTGTGTGTTGACAGCTTTTAATGCTTACCTTGAATGAGTAGAAGCTGCCTGAGTGAAGGTTGCTGTTTTCTCTGACTCTGGCAGTTCCTCATAAATGCTATTTTCATTAAATTATGAGAAATGCTCAGGGCAGAGATGCGAAAGTCATGTTTGAAGGTGAGACTAACTATTCTACAGCATAAAATGCAATCCCAAAGCAATAGTGTTTCTGAGCATCAGATTAACATTAGTGCACGTGAACTGATGATGCCAGGCAATTCCAAACATCCAGAGTGCTGGAATACTTATCATAAAGAACTGAATTACTGGTTACTCTGCATTTTTTTGCTGTCTATGTGATTGAATGTTGTATGTATTAACACCTTCTGAGTGTTTTTGTTTGTTTTGTTGCTTTCGTTTTCAGGTGGTTACGGGTTTTACTTTCGCCATTTGCACCAGACCACATCCAGCAGTCTCTCTTCCATAGGAAGGGTAGGTTTATAGTCCTGAGAAGTAAGCTGGGTTAAACACTCGTATGTGTGGTGTAATACGTGTTATTCTAGGGGAGAGCTGAAAGGCCAGATCAGTCTGTCCTCTGAGATAATCAGATTAGAATTTGTTAGAATTCTGTTAGCCTTTGTACTTGAAGGGAAGTTCGCATGTATATTTCATTTCCTCAGTAGGGAGAGGATGGAAGCAGGTGAAAGAACATTCTACAGACAACTTCAGTCACTGCTTAACCCTACTTCAATTTCTTGTTGTATTTCCTCTTGTCTTGTTTTACCTTACTTTAAGGGAATAATGCTGCCTCTTTAGTCAAGTGTGAGTTTTTCAGAGATTCAGAGAAATCTTGGATTAATTTTAGTACAATCTATTGTATGTTACACTGCCGATTTCTTTCAATTAAAAAGTAGGAGAATGTAAATGATCTGGGACCTGATGAGCAGAAAAACACATAAATAGCTTTTATTGATAAATATAATCCATCGTTATAGATTTTTTTTTTCTGCTAAGAGTGAACTAGATTGCTCAGCTGCTTTAATGGGGAAAATTTGACGAGAAAAAAGCAAAAGAGATAATGGCTGCATTGCTATGCTGAAGTCTCTTAGCATGGATCTATTCAACTGTGCAAACATGTTTTCAACTAAGAAGAGACAGATGCAAAAACAACAGGAGTCTGCACTTGTCTATAACTAACTTTAGCATGTTTTGGTGATTATTCTGGTCTACGTTTGTTTTGGTATTCATAATAGACTTTTTCCTGAGTACCTTCTTTGGCATAACATAAAAGGAAATGGAGAATAATTTTGGAGATACAATTTTTGTGTAGAAGTTAAACATAAAAAGGTATGAATTGTAGTGGGAATACAGGACACATAGATGGGCCTGAAAAGCTTTTTTGATTAACAGTGGAACATTTCCCTGCTTCACTGCAGTGTTTCCATCATCTTCACCATATCTGATCCATTCTTATACCCACACTCACTCATGATGCCTTACAAGTTCCTACATCTCCTTCCCACACGTTTGACTCACTGGCTCAGTGAAAAGGAACATGTTTACCAGGCTGTCCCGATGTTCGTATCAACTGTCTAGGAGATATGTGATGGCATTAGCAAACATACAACTGTCTGTTGATTTCTTGTAGGTCAAGTAAATGTGCTTAGTTGTTGCATGCATTTCTGGCATAGAATATGTCTGTCTGTCTTTGTAAATATCCTTCTGTTGCCCTTACTGGAAAATAAACTGGAACTTAGAGTCAGGGGAACAGCAATTAGGATGAAATTTTCAGTATTTCTAAAAGATCTAGGTTAAGTTAGGCTCTCCTGTTTATTTGCTAGATTTTTCTTATTGTAGAAAATGTGTATGTTGCATAGAATTTACCACTATTGAAATATACTCATTACTTTCAATTATGAGTTTCTGTGTAATGTCTTGGCCTAACTCTAGTATTTTTGTGACATAGGCATCAATGAAGAAAGCTGTTTTTCTTTCCTCCGGTTTATTGATGTCTCTCCAGCAGAAATGGCAAACCTCATGAATCAGGGACATTTAGCCAGGTGAGGACAACTTTTTATCTTTTATCTCCCTTATTAATTAAAGGAATAGTGCAGGTGATGTTAGAGGCATCTCTCTAAATCTGCATTTTCTGTGCCTCCTAGTGTTTATCACCTATCTGTCATTAATATAATAACTTTTAGAGTTTCCTGCAGGCATAGGACACCATTATACGTGATATTTTTTATGCTTCTGTCAGAGAAATTCTCTGTTAAAATGATTTTACATTCCAAATATACAAGATGGTCAATGGACAAGGTAAGAGTTTGGTTAAGATCACACTGTAGGTTGGTGGTGTAGCAAGTTTGATAGGTGTAAAAAGCATTCAGTAACTACAGTAAAAAAAAAATCAGATTGAAAGCAAGTCTTTATCAAAAAATGTGTTTTCTTTAGGGCTTTGTAATATTGTTTCATCATTGTGATTATTTTGGACAGCTTCTTTTTCATCTGTGTTTTAATAGCAGTACAAAGTGCTCTTTATCTGATCTTTGTGATAAAATTCTGTCTTCGTTATACAGTTTGCTATGAATAATATGTACAATTTACAGAGAAGTCAGTGCAATTATAGGTAGTAATGGCTAAATCATGCTTGACCCTTTTAAATGAAGTGCTTCAAAATGTATTTCATCATTTAGATTCAATTAAGCCACTTTAGAAAAGATGAAAATAACAGTAATATAATTCAAAAATGTCTAGTAAAAAGTATTTCTCTCAAGTCAGAACATTGTAAGCCTGAATTTATGGAAAAAAAAATGTTTGTGTCAAATAGGATTATGTTGTGAAGTAAATTCAAGCCTTTCTTTCACATAACAGTGAATAAATATATCTACTGCGTTTTATTTCAGATGGTTAGCTCTTTACCTGTCTCTGAAAGCCTCATACAGGCTCCATCACCTGCGTTCTTGGATGGATCCAGAAAGAGAGAAACAGCAGGGCTCACATTGTCTAAAGAACAAGGATTTCTTGCTTGATGTAAATTTCCCACTGTCTTTCCCTAACTTGCACAGCTGCACTTTGCTGCAGGTAAGCAAAATCTCTGTGATCTGGGGACATTAGCAAATCCTCAGGTGGGAGGAATGCTCAGAAACTTTCCATCCTTACAAAATGGATGAAAGCATAAACTTTTGAACAAGATGATTTTATTAGTGTGCTCTCTTATCTGTTGTATCATAGATTCATTCAGGTTGGAAAAGACCTCTAAGATCATCTAATCCAACCTTTAATCAGATGCAGCTAATGAAGTTTGGGGTGCTGAACAGGAAAGTGCTTTGACTGCTGTCTTTCTCCTCTATAGTGATACATTTCAAAACTTGTTATGTAAAAATAAAGTAGCTGAATTAGAGGTCTTAAAATATTACTTCAGTAGGAGAACTAGATGCATGATTTATCAGGGATGGATTCTACATGTAAGCTTAAGATTTTGTTGTTTGATTTTTTCACATGTAAGATGCTTATTTTCAGTCTGAAATCAGGTCTTTTCTCAAATTCAATACCTTGTTGCAGCAATGTATTAAAAGATATGCAGATAAGCAGAGACTTCAGTAGTGCTTCGGAGTTGATGGACAAGCATTATCAATGGTTGTCTGTATATTCTGGTACTTGCTTCTACTGCTGGCTAGTAAATTCCAAATGTGTTCATCTTACTGTGTAATGCAAGGTCATTTTCTCTAAGCCTTTGCCTAGAGTGTGTGTGACTGTTTTGTCTCCTTATGACTAAATTGTTGTTGGTCTCCTGAGTTATAAATGCATCAACTTATTTCACAATATAAAAAGGAAGTTCACAAAAAGAGCAGCACAGGGTTGGTAAGCATTTGGGGTACAGTTGAAATTCTCCGTTAGTGGCAGTTAGCATACATACAGTTAAAAAAAATAATCTTTTCTGAAACAGTGAGATCTTGCCAATTTTCTCTGGGGAATATTGCTTCTCTTCATGAGCCTGGAAAGGGAAAGGAGATAGCCAGAATTCAATTGAATAGCGTGTAGAGGAAGTTGAAATAGAAGATGCATAAGCAGTAGGAAAGCAACCTTGGGCTTGGTGTCATGTTTTGCAGTGTTAACAGCAAAGCCAACAGAATGAGTCCTAGTTATCAAACAAAGAGCAAGCCAACTGAGTGTGTATGCCAGTTAACTCTGACTGTGCTGGTGTTTAAATATTCCATGATTCCTTATCTAGCTTGATGAAATGTCTACACTGTATGGATTTCATTGAAAGAAATATATGTATATATATGTATGTGTGTATTAAGATTACATTCAGGCATTCGTGTGCTGTCTGTAATGCTTGTATCTCTGAAACTATACTGTAGCTGTGCGCTCTCATGGGTATGGCCAAGGAAAACTTGGGTCTTGTCATAAATATTACTGCCCAACAGTAAAGGAGTAGTAAGTAGATGGTGTCATTGTATGCACTTACAGAAGGTAGCGTTCATTTTTTCATATGTAGAAAGGCAATCTAGGTCTTCATGTATCCTTTGGGTTAGTGTATGTAAGTATCAAAATGAAAATAATCACGTTTTCTTACAGAACAGAAGGTGGGTTTACGTTACAGATGACAGTTCTGGAATATGCAAATCTATCTTTTATTACTAACAATGAAATGAAAAGCAAGTGACTCACCTGCAGACCCACTTGTACCACAGCCTGGCAGGTCTTTATCATATAGTTTTGTTTCTCCAAATCACAAAGCCGATTACCTGTGTCTCTGGGAGTCCTAGTGATATTGCTGTTTTCACTCATGTGGCTTTTACACAAAAAACAGGCAGCTGAGGAGTAAAGTTCATCAGTTTGGGCAATACAGCACACTTGTGATGACCCTAGTAAATCTGAAGGAAGTTTAGCACTACAGTTAACATTCCTTAGAACTTTTCTAACCTTCATTATAGACAAATTACCACCTGAAGTCACTTTAAAATAAGTTAATATGTTTGCACAGTTGTTTGCACAGCTTACATATGTAAGATTTTAACATACACAAAACTAGAAGGAGAGATGAAAAACAAGTAGCCCTTCTCGTCTTTCTTTTAACAGCACACGTCTTCATGAGTGAAAATGAACTCTAATGTTTTTTATCTTGGCCCAAGAAAGTTTCAGTGTAAAGTTTTCTGAGGCTTCATCTAGGGCTTCGTAACATAGTAAAATTGAAAGAAATTTGCAGCGTAAAGTTCTTTGAGGCTTCATTTAGGGCTCTGCAAGATAGTAACATGTAAGGAGTGAGGAGGGGGAAAAAACAGAGGAAAAAGGAAATGGCATAAATCTGGAAAGGCTTTTCTTAACTGCTCAGATCAGCATTTCCGATATAAGAGGCAAACTACAATAATAAGTCAGCAGACCAAAAAAAAAAAACCACAACTCTCCAAAATTGAAGTAACATCTGTCTAAAGATAGTAGAATTTCTTCACGTAAATACAGAAATGCCTCACAATGTGAGGTCTCTTCATTCCCCTTAGCGCCTCCACATGAGTGTATTAATTTGTATATGCTGAGTTAAATTAACATGAAATCTACTGAGGTGAACCCTTCTCTCCTTTGCTTTCCATTTTCTTTCAGTAAAAACTTAGAAGTGTCAACATGCTTCGGACAGTTCTGGTAGCCATAGCCCATATTTTTGTGCAGCCCCTTCTGCACTGTAGGAAAGCTTCTTTCAACAATTACTTTGATTGCATAGTTGCAGTGGACGTGTACATTCATGTTTGTTTTAACAGTCCTCTTCGTAGGTGCTTGGCTTTGTTGTACTAAGGCATATGATCCGTTTTAGAGCTGTGCCTGTGTTCTCCTCTGTAACCTTATCCAGGCTTTTCCATGCGTGTGACTGACGGCAAGCTGCTTTCCACTGTCCCCGTTATATCTGGTGTCTGCTCTGTTCATGAATGCTTAATGGCTGAGTATGTCAGGGCATTCACAGAGGGATGTTTCTCATGATTTGTGCACAGGAAGCTGAAAAGTAGATTTATGCCCCTGTGCAAGAACTGCTTCTAATAACGTGTGTATATAAAAATAATATTTGCTATTTGGGGTGCATCCTTGGAAGTTTTCCCTTTGTTTCTTCCTGTGTACTTCTAGTTGGGCAGGAGCCATCTTTGACTTTTTGATGTTGGCTTTCAAAAGAGAATTAAATAACAAATTTGCATTCCTTTGCAAGGTTTGGAATTGCAGTTTGTTAGCTTCCTCTCTATCCATTTCTTGTTCCTTCACCTTCCAAGAAATGAAGGTAACGAACCCCTCTAACAACCACTGTCAGTATACTGATTCTTGCTCTCATAAGATATAGTGGAAACTTTTTGTGACTGCATGCAATGCTGATTCGTAGCATAAAATCAGCTACATCCCCTATATGTGGGCCAGGGAAGAAAGTGGGTTTAACTTGAAGCAGCTCTTCTGAGCCTGTCTAGTAGCTTGCTGTTGCCAAGGAAGGGTTTGCTAGGGGTGAAAAGGTTCACAAAAGTAACATAGAGTAGACAAGCAAGGGTTTGTTTTCATCTTGACCAGGTTTTTAATATGTAGACAGCTATGCCAACAAGAAGAGGGAGCTCGCAGGGAAGGGAGTTAACAAGGGAACCAGTTGCTGCTTAAGGCAGCGTTACTGGTAAAGAATTGCCAGCTGAGTAAGTGCCTGTGCTTGGGATCCGTTCACATTAACCAGTGTGGCCCAAGCTTTGACCTGTGCTTTTTAGCCCTGCTGAGTGTCAGTGAAAGTCTATTGTCAGCTTTTTCTGTTCCCACCTCTTATGTAGAGGAGCAGATGTTCAGTCAGAGCCGGAACTTTCTTTTTGCTAGACCACAAGTGGCACTGGCAGCAGCTGAAAGATGTGCCTACGTGCTGGGATTGACTGATTGTATTGCATAGGTGGTGCTAGCACATATATACAGTAAGAGTATTTGTCTCCCTTGTCAGGAGATTACAAAAGATTATGCTTGTCTCCTGCATACACTGTAATCCTCATTACCCTATTCGCCTTTTTTTTTTTTTTTTTTTAACTGTTAACTAACCATATCAATGTACAGGTCTGCCTGTGGTGTATTAATTTGAACTAGTGGCCTCACCTGCATGCTAGCCATGTGCTTCTCGTCCAGTGCATTTGCATCTGGAAATAGAAAGGGCCAAGAATGCGTGGTCTCTAGTAGGCTACTGCTGTGGGTGTTTGGATGTTTTCTAGCATTTTTGATGGATATACACATTCTTGAGTATGAGATGATAGACATATGGCTTGATGTTTAGAACTTCAGACCCCAATTTTGGAAAACTGGGAGACTCTGGAAAAAGTCTTATGAAATTAATTTTGGTGCATTAGGAGCTGGGGCAGAACAATATGGAAGCTTTAGGTGTTGCTTACATTTTACTTAAGTGAACTGCTAAAATTGTCACGAAGACAGCAGGTAATTTATCTCTTAATGTTTCTTTTTATTGCTTGTTTCCTCTAGAATTCAGAATAATGGTCTCGTGTTCTTGCTGTCATAGTTATGTATGATATAACAATTGGTTGATATCAATATAGAAAAGTTAGAATAAAAACTAAGTAGCAAGAATGGCTTAGTCTATAAGCAGTTTATTTCATTGCTTGATGTGGATATTTACAATAAAGAAGGAAATACAGTAACTGATGCAAGCAAAGAAAATCTAGTTTTGTTTTCTGTTACTTTTCTGTGTAGAGTAGAGCATCCTCAAATAACTCTTATTGATTTAAACTGCAACATAAATGAAATGCCCCCATTTGTCACTTGAGATGATCAGTGTGTTTTACTGTATGAAAAGGACATTGATCCTCTTGCAAATTCCAAGTTTTACACGCGAGTATGTTGATCTGTGTCAGTAATCATGCCAGCACTTTGGAAGTCTTTAAGATAAAATGCAAAGCCATTTTGCTCAGGAAGATAAGGAAAGGCTGGAAAAAATGAAAGTACAGAGACACCAGCCTAAGGTTACTTAGTGTCTTAATTTTTTTTCCTGCCAAATTTCATTTTGACCATTCTTTGGAATAGATAAAAGAACAGCCAGAAAATGGTTTTAGGGTCAGATCTATTAGAATATTCCTCTACTTCCTTCATTAGAAAAGCTAAGGTCAAAGGGTTCAAAAAAGGAAAAACTTGTTTCTAGTTCCAATAGAGCATAAAGGCAAATATGAGTATGAGCTATTCTGATTTCAGCCATTGCAAGAGTTCTGATAATTGCTCAGAGATCTGTACGTTGTCACTGTGGAAGATACATAGAGTTTCCTCTTTCCAAGAGAAATACTTGGTGAATGTTCTTTTCCTGTCTTTTTCATAGGTGGTTACAAGATTTGAGAGGAGTTTTTCGTTACAGACCTAATAACTTCTTAATTTTAATTTTGTTTTTAGAACCTTGTGTTCAGTAGCCACTGTAAAGCAGTTACTGGCTATTCAGATCATGTCATACATCGAAGGAGATCAGCTACCTCATGTGTACGGTGCTGCCAGGTGACTGAGCTGCCGTCCTTCCTGTGCATAGCCAGCCCACGGGTAAGTCCAAGTTAAGTTGTAAATTATGTATTTTCTATTGTGTTTTAAATCTTGTTAGAATTGTGTCTTAGGAACAGGATGATCTATTACTTTCTTTTGGTTGGGTAAAATTGTTGTGAGGATATCCTTTTGCTACCGTATTCTATAGTGCTTTTTTCATAGGGGAAGTCACTTCATAGGGGAAATGACTGCAATGGGTACTGAAGGGAAAAGGAAAGTTGTGAGATGCACCCAACAGGAGTTATTCTGAGATACATAGATTTCACTTTCTTTCCTAATACCAAAAGCAGTAAAATTGTAGAAGAGATCGTGAAGTAGATTTTTTTTTATCTCCATATAATCTGAAGGGGGTGTAGGTATGATATAAATTGATTGGGATGATTGTTTGGTCAACTCTGATGACAAAGGGGGCTGAGGACTTTTTTTGAAAAGGATGTTCAGTTTCTCTAGTTGCATGAACTTATGCTCCAAAAATGAAACACTAAATTGTGGTATATCAGGGCTGAGTTGCCATTTCCTAAATCTCCTGGGTATTAAGTGGTACTGCTTGGGATTATCTATCAACTATTAACCAAATTTTGAAATTACTTTAGCTGAAGTTTCCTTGGCTGACACAAGAGACCCTCATAAGTCTATGGCTATTGTTTTAATTCTGTGTTGCTAGATCTTGGCAAAACTGAACAAAATGTACTTATGATTCAAATCTGGGCTTGAATCTACCATTTGTCATCATAATAGATAAGCATATCTATAGAGAGTTTCCACCTTCAGAATAACCTTTTGTAAAAAAGGAGGTTCTGACCCATGCTCTCGCTAAAAGATAAATCACTGAACACTGTTTCTCCTAATCGCGTGGATGAACATTAGTTTTGAGGAAACAGCTAAAAGTAAGATAAACATGCCCTGGATGCCACACAGTGATAGATTTTATAGCATGCTGGGTGAGATATAAAGTTCTACAGGAGTGTCTCTGGCTGCTGGGCACATCCTTGGTCCTGTTAAGAACAGGAAAGCTGAAGCTGTGCACCACCAAGTAGGCAGTGTGTAGTTAGTTTGGTAGATTCCCCCCCTAGATTTTTCTTTTTCTTTACCATGTTATTTGCTGTTCTCAGCTTAGTCTGGTAAATTAAGTAATGTAAATGATAAACTCCAAATCAACAAATGATAATTTATATAATAGGCTTATCTTGCATTGCTTCATGTTCAAATAAAACACAAACTTTCTCTCTCCTGCAGGAAATAATTAATGTTACAATTTTTTTCCCATATACTGTCACATACCCAGGACTCTCCTGGTCAACCCTCTGCTCTTGAGGGAGAGCCCTACCTTAACTGAAAAGTGGGTGTCAGTGGGACTAAGAACGAGGACATCTGCTTCCAGTTACTTTGAAGCAGTATCAGGCCAATAAAATCCCTATCATTTAAAGAAGAATTTTAATGCTATTTGTATATACAAAACCAGGTCAATAGCAGAAGACTTTTATTGCGAGACCATCCAGATGTTACATTCTTTAACCAGTACTGATGTTGTTGCTGCAGCTTGATCAGATGTGGCTGCATGTATGTGTAATATCTTGGTATCTGAAGAAGGGAGGATGGCATCTAGGACAGCTTATCACCTATATACTGCTCCTTGAGCTGAATTGATATCCTTCAGTTCTAGGGGCCAGGAACCCAATTAACTTTTTCCAAAGTCTCATACCGTCTCCTGGTCACAACATGCTACCTTCAAGGTTCAAGGACAAGCAGTTACTCTGAAAGCAAATTGTAGAAATCCCTTCTCCTTCAAATTTCGATCCTTTGATTTGTCACTTTTTGTGCTCAAAATCGAATTACTTTTGAAGAATGCGTTGAATACTGCCTATGCATTAGGCAAGGAAGAGGGGCTCAGAAGGCTGGGTTTGAAGGGGAAGGGAAAGGCGAGCAGAGATCTATCTGACATTTATTCAACTGAATAAAAGTTACTTGTTTTTGTCTTGGCTGGTGTAGAAAAATGATTAAGTGCAGGCATGGCTTTTTGTTTCTAGGAATACAAAGGCTTAATTTTACGCTTGTTAGAAACTTTTGGCAGGAGTGCACAAGACTTGAAACAGCAGAAAGAGCACATATGTTCTCAGAAACTATAGCCTTCTGTTGTTGTTTGACCTGTGATGAATTTTGGGAAGTTAATGGAGCGAATAATAGAAATAGGAGCGTGTGTTTATGTAGCAGCTATCGGGGTGGGAGGGACTAGTGGAGAGGGGGTATTTAACACCGTAGTTTTCTTTCTATAGGGGCTGTTTTCCTGAGTGCAGATAGGCCTCAGTTCCCCCAAAATAAGTTAGAAGATGGATCTTGTATTCTTGTTAGGAAGCTGATTTATTAATTTTAAAGTAATATGGTTTGATTTAGGTTAGCAGTTTAACAGCCCAGTGTGTCACAGGTATTGCAGGGAGAAGTGGTTTGGGGAATCTCATAATGTCCGAAGGATTAACTGTGCGTGGAGATAAATGCAGGAAATGTTTTAAAATTACTAAGCTACTGCATTAAAAGTGGTAATACATTCATATATCCCTATCACCCTAATTTGGGATATATTTCTGAGCCATGACTTGCATTCTGTGGATTTGCCAAGAATATGTTGATAAAGGATAGTTTAGTACTAAGGAGTGTATCCAACCTTTTATTACAAGTAAAACCACAAAAATGAAACTGAAACAAAAAAAAAGAGCCATGGCAAAAGGGCCATGGTAAGAGTAGGAACATGAACAAGCTTAAATGGAAGACTTTTTTGACCTGTTTCAGAATGTTTTGTGTTTTTTTTTTTTTTTCATGTAAGGCAATGTAAAAGATGGAGAGCTCCGAATTAGTGTATGTGTGCATTAAAAAAAAAGTGGAGCTGACAGTGAAGATGGTCTGATGTCCTCAGATGTTAGTCAGTGTCACACAGGTGTTATTCCCTCCTGTGTGGGAAGTTTTGTTCATGTTAATGCAGAAGTTGCACTGAGGCAGAGTTCATCTCAAGATTGACTCCTAATAGTTCTTCCTTTAGGTGAGGTATTATAGATTGCCTGTGCTTGGAAGAGTGTTTGTTCCAGTCTATTTAGTAAGGAAATACAAACAGAAATTGATGATGGTTAAGTGATGGCTAATAGTGTCCTTAAAGGAAACAATGCAGTTCTCTACCATAGTTTGCAGTGGTCATCAGTGTTGAGGCAACAAGATTTGAACTGAATTGTGAGAGGTTTTGCCCTCTCACACAAAAGACAGTCCTATGCTTTGACTGCAGGTGGCAGTACAAGATAGCATCAGCTCCAGCACTATCTAGCGAGTGGTGGAAATGTGTATAAAGCCTTACTTAGCGCAGTGCCTTTCACTTTGCAGTGTTGCATGCGACTGCATGTAGACCTATAAGCCATCCTAGTATAAAAATAGCTCTTGGTATCTTGCAGAACAATGGCTTTAGAATTGTTGCTAAGATTCTGTATGCTTTTTGGGTTTTGTTTCAATATGTCCTATAATTGTGCTCACGAATCTTTTTAAACAAGAGAGTGACCCTTACAAAGGTAACTGTTAGCAAGATGAATTTATTCTTACGAGAAGAGCTCCTGTAAACCAGGAGTAGACCACAGGCTTTCATCAAGAAGATCTTGCTTAATGTCTCTTGCCTTGTGTTAGCTGGTGTATGTCCAGAGAGGAGTAGCTAGCATCTAAGACAGCAGGCAGCCTGTCCTGAGGTATGGGATGCTTCATCATGCAGTTCTAAAGTACAGTATGAAAAATTGTTGCTGTTTCACTGCTTAGCATTTAGTTAAGCCATTAGAAGCTTTTTATTGACATGCTATAATGTTATGTATATTATTCTCAATATGTAGCAGTCAGTTGCATCATACCAGAGTAAGCTTGAAGAAGAAATTCCTCCCCCTTCCAAAACATAAAAGCTGCAATAGTAAGGTGCTTCTTTCACTGCACTTAAAGTTTCAGTCTCTGCTAGGTAAATACTTGATTGTGAAGGGCAGAAATAAAAAAAAAAAAAAGGAAAAGAAATATAGGCAAAATGCAGCAAGGATATTATTCTTTTACTGTCAGCTTTGCTATCAGTTGTGTAGGAATTAGCACAAAACACTGTATCAAAATGCAAATGGTTTGTCTTATCATTCTTGAGGCTTTTTTTGTGGGGTGGAAAGATGTTGCATCTTCCTTTATTGTAAACCAGTTTAAGGTTGTTTTCTATTTGTATACATCAGTAATGATTTGGCTTTTAAAATTTGAACCGCTGGGAAGGTAACTGAACTGGGAATTTGGGGAAGGGGATGAGGACAACCTGAATAAGAATGTCAATTATGATTTTACTCATAGGTAACAGCTGTGCCACTAGAGTTCTATTGCAACGATCGAAGCGCAGAATATGAGCGCAGGGCACTAAGGGAAGGAGGAAGTCTTGAAGCAAAGCAGTGTGTAGTCAATGGAGCCCCTGAACTAGCAGCTGACTGGCTGAAGCAATGCTCCCAGTTCTTCCCAGAATATCCAGGAGGACTGTTGGGAATCAGGCCTCAGAACGGCTGGTCTTTTATCAGGATACCAGGTAAGTTTGGAGGTTATCATGGCAGAGGGATGAGATAAGTAAGGCCATCTGCTCTTCGGAGGTCATGCTGCTTGCTTACTGTTTTGTGTTTTGCTTGCTCATCTTAAGTGAAAATTAACCCCTGTATCGTAAAATACACCATGATTTCACATCCTTTGTCAGCAGTAAACCTCTCTTTGCATGTCAGTCTTCAAAGCCTCTTGAAAGAGGTAAATTTGATAAATAAAGTGCAGTCTACTCTCACAACCAAATACTACCTTGAGGTTGGAGATGAGAAAATTGCAGGAAAAGTAATGATCATAGCTTGCCTCCTGGTGTATTGGAAGACTTTTGTATTGATCAAAGAACTTTTGTTGGTTTTCCTAGTGAAAGGATAAAGACTGTTTGTAGCAGTCTGCCAGGAGCAGGACAGGTATGGGCACCAAGTTCGGAGGAAATTTTCTTAGAAAACAAGATGGGGGACTATTGAGTTCCAGTTGAAATAAAGATGACTTATTCATACTTCCTAGTAAAGTGAGAAAATGATACCATTGTGTAAATGCATGACACTTTTTTCCTGGAAATAGGCTAAAGTAGCTAAAGATTTGCTGGAATTTGATTGCCAGTACTGCAGTGACTTTCATGGACTGGACACGATTTAGTTTTTGGAAGATGGTCCTGAACAGTGAACAGAATTCTGCAGAAAGCACTAGAGATTTGAGAGATAGCCAAGAGGAAAAACAGCTTACACTGCCAGATCCTAAGTTATTCCCAGACCCTTTTGGGTCAAGGATGTTTGGCAGGGGAAGTTAGTACAGTAAAAGAAAAATGGCCTTTTGCTTGCTACAGTCCGGTTTATGAAGGTACCTCATAAGTACACAGAGTTATTTGAAGAACTTGCACATTTGTATCTACCTAGTAGAGAAACCATTTTTTCAGTTTGCACTAGATTAATGTTTAATCATTGATCTGTAGTTTCCTTTCTTCAGGAATTCATGGAATTGTTTATCAGTTATTAGAAGATGAATCACTGCAGCAGAAAGGAGGGAAATAATGAAGGGATAAATTAAGACAGAAGATATTAATAGAGAATTGAAGAAAAGTAGCCAACATAGGATTAGAGGGCTGCTTTTCCATGAAGAGACTGATAACTTAGTCATCAACAAAAATTTATAGAGGAATAAAGATAGGGTACAAGAAACTTACAGGAATGAGTGAATATGTGCAAGTTTTGACAAATTGTTTTCAAAGCACAAGGAAGAATCAAAAGAACATCATTTGGATGAGTGTTTTATGTAAGCTGGCTTCATTTGGGAAGTGTTGGAGCTAAAAGTGGATGAAAAAAAGTAGTTTCATACAACTGTATTTTAATCAGGTGGAAAGTTGCATTAAAACCTAAACTTACACTAAGAGGAGAGGGCACATACCACAACAAGACAGCTGTGTTTATACGTGCAGGAGCAGGCATGATGCATTACAGAAAGTGACTGACATGCTGAAGAAGCCATTTGCAAGGCTGAAGTCTAGCAAGTGGAAAATGGAACTGTAGGTGTGAAGGTCCATGGTAAATAGGTGACAGGAACAAAGGGGAAACCTCTCTCTCCTAACCCTGATCTATCCTGTCCCAGACTCGGCGTTCCCAGTACCCTGGCAGCAGGCTCAGCTGCGATCACTGTGGGAATCTCTGGAGGCTTTTCCTGTTCTTTGAAAGAAAAATGGTCCTGGATTAAATGGCAGGAAGTGTCTGAGTCCTTTTAGCATCGATAAAAAGCACCGGCCTCGCTGGCTGTTTACTGTGAGAGCCAGCTAGCTCCTCACTGACCCCATTGTGCTGTGCAGACTGTCGGGAGGGGAACCAGGGGTGTCAACTGGAACCCAGACTTTATCTCTCTTTCCTCTGCATTTTGCATGTCCAGAGGCACTTTCTCATTCTCCAGAGAGCTGCGAGCCCAGCTGCAGTCATCGGCCAGTGCTCCTGACTGGGGTTATTCCAAGTCATAATCATTTCTAACTGTTCTTCCCATGCCGTAGTATGTTCTTGTAGATAATTATTGTCCATGGCCAGAGGCAGGAACGTTTTTCAGATTAAAAACCATAGAGTATGATTTCAGAGTTACTGTCTTTTTGGTCTGGTTGTCATTTGTTTGTCATTTGTCAGTTCTGAAAAAGATAACAAAATTGCATCCTGGTGACAGTTTCTTTGAGGTGCAGTCCAGGACCTCATCTCCTGACTGGTTTAAAATTTTAAAAGTTCCTTTGATGATGCTATAAATAAAGAAATAAAATATATTGTTATTGGAAGCTTTCACTGATGATTAAAATGTAGAATTGCAAATTTTGGAAATCCCATTTAATAAATTTTTTTCTTTCCACAAGGTAAAAGGGGGTGAGAAATAGCAATGATAAAAACTAGGGATGGATGACACTTTAAAAAAAATTGTGGTATCCTCTGAAGACAGAGGAGTGAAGTAGTACAGTTTTTGTTACAGCTTTACAGAATTTGTCCTTTGAAGCACTAGGTGGCAGGCTTTAAGCTTGCAAAAAAGTCAGTTTGGAAAACACAATGGTATCAAGATAGCACACTTAAGTTGCCAGGCTAAAGTCAAACGTTTTTCTCTTCCAGAGATGACAAATCTTTTTTTTTAGCTTTGTTAATTTTGCTTTCCTCAGAAAAAAACTTTCTCATCGGTGCAGCTAGCTCTGATGCTGAAATGTTGTACAAATTATGAACTATTAACTAGTTGCAAGCTTTTCAGACTGTAAAACCATCTACAAATAAGTTCTTCCCTTGTAATTTGCATTTTATTGCAATTTAAAAATAGTAACTTACACAATGGAGACCTAAGGAGCCAGCAGCAAAGGACACGCATCATTTCCAGTTACCAAAACTTAATTCTACCTATTCATGCCTGTGTGAGAAAAACTGTAGCATTTTGCTTTCGGAAACTTAGTATGTTAATCTGAGTCAGTCTAGTTTGATTTTTGAACAGTCCCTGTTTGTTCTGTGTTTCCTTCCAGCTTTTGGTTAATAATCATATTCATTTGTTTATCTAGACTTTCCATGTTGCTTCACTTCAAAATAACAAGTTGACCAATCAGAATAAAAACAAAATGTCATGGTTTTATGATTTAACGGAAAGAATAACATTTTATGAGATGAATAAGGGTTCCTAAATAACCCTAAGTCATTTCCATTTTTGTGTAATTGCCTAAGTTCAAAGCTTAGTTTTACTTAGAGACACGCATGAAATTATTAACTATTTGTCTGCAATTGAATATGAGTTGTCTTCTAGAGATGAGTGTGTCATATGCAGTTTCACTTAATAGAAATGCCAGCTTGACTTGTGGTCTTGAGTTTCCCTTACAGTGTTTACTTGGCTTGGCTCTCCAGTTGACTTATCCCTTAAGGTAGTTGCTAATGATTCAAGTAATGGGGTACTTGCTTCTGGCAAAGCAATAAGATCTCCATCAAATGAGATCTTTCTTTATGAAGGGAGAACAAATCAGAAGAAAACAGTGCATATCTAGACAGGCAGTGAAGCACAAATGTTTTCTCAATTCAAAAAGCAGTAGTTCTCATGTCCTAATCTTCTGAAGCATCTGCTGATGTCCTAATATAGATTTCATTAATTCTAGTGTCAGGCCTATTATTTATATTTAAGTTAAAGAATTGAATTTTGAAAGAAATCTTGATTGAAATGCTAAAGTGTTGAAGAATCCGCCATGTTTCTGCATCAAACTTTTCCTCGTTAGTTTCTTCCTCTATTGGGAAGTTAAGAGGGGAAGCATGTCCTGTTTTTACAGTTGTAATGTAAATTACTGGAACCTGGGCCTTTCTCTGCTAGTATGAAGTTCTGTTGTTGAAAACCTTTGTGCAAAAGAAGAATCTTGGGTATTGCCAATTGCTCCTTGAAAAATTGAAATAGATGAAGTTTCAGTTCTCCCTCACTACAGGAAAAGTTTTTAACACACGGAACTCTTGAAGATGTTTTTTTCTGAACACTTCTAATTTTTTGTTAGCCTTTCTGAAAGGAGTCTTAAACCTAGGTGTGTGATTTCAAAACAATCATTTGAATTAAGTATAGAAGCACCTTTCTGCTATTTCCTCAGTAAACCTGTGGTTGTATGTCTGAGGATCAAACTTAGCCAGCCCTCTGTGCCATATCACTGCAAGTGGACACAATGGGACTTGGTTGCCTGCAATGCTCCTGAGCATTTTTAGGAGCACTGTTTTCCATTTGGCATCTGTACTCATCTTTTCCATGAGCATGAACTTGGTTTTAACTATGCTAAAATGCATGGTGCTCAGATGGACGAATTAATTTTTGCATATATGTATATTTTAGAATATTGTGCAAGTCTGTTCAGTGCCTTACAGCAAGTTGTATTTTCTGCAGCCCACCAATTAATTTATTCTGTGCAACTACAATTGTGCAGAAGCATTACCTGCTGGATATTTGAAAATATTTGTACTCTGTACTAGCCTGCCCGATCTGCAGTTGTCAACTTTCTGTTTTGGCTGTAAACCTAAATTCAGACATCCCAAAGAATAAAGAATCATTAGTGGCCTTTCCAACAGATAATTTTTTTGGAAGAAAATTTCCCTTCATTCTCTTTCAACCATAGTGTATTGTTTACCAAAGTTTATGTACAGAATGTACAAACAGGAAGATCTCCTTCCTGAAAAATACTTCATGAGCAGCGCTGAAATAGAGAAGACACAAAATATAATATCTGCAGAGACTTACAAGTTTGCCATCTGGAAGCATTTCTTAAACAGAAAAAAAAAAAAAAGAATGGCAAGGAAGAAAACAAAAAATGAAGGCAGTGCTGTGAAGGGGCAGTTAATTCGCAGTGACCTAGAGAACTGTTTTTCACTGTGTTAGTGATGGGTTTGGTCTTGAAACTAGCTATTTGAAGAATGAGCCTGAAGTTTATCAACAGGTAGCAGCAAACGTCCAAAGGACAGCATTTTAATGTGTGAAATGTCTTCAACTGTCAACACATGTTGTGGTTGTTGGTCTGCTTAGAATGAATCCTTAGGAGAAAGAAATGACTGTCGAAAAAGGGCTAAGTTCGTATTCATGAGGAGATGAATCTGTGATGAGATTGTGCAAAGTAGGTATATTCATATGGTCCCATCCTTGCAAACAAAAGTTACTGTTGACAGCATGACTGTGGGCGTCAGCCAGGAGAGATGTTGATGTCTCTTTCATTGCAACTCATTGCCTTAGTAAGTGCTAGCAAAACTTAGAACTTTACTTGTTGCTTGTAGCTATTTTGGCTTTATTACTTACATGCTTTTCTTCCATTTCTCCTTAGATAAAGAGAGTCTGATCACTGACAGTGGAAAACTTCATGCTCTTGATCTCCTGTTGACACGGCTGAAATCTCAAGGACACAGAGTACTCATCTACTCTCAGATGACACGGATGATTGACTTGCTTGAGGTAGGAGAGCTATAGCCTACAGGAGACAAATTCTGAAGATGCAAATTTAGCAACATTGTTTTGTAGGAAATACTGTAAGTTGGACATAGCAAACCTGACATAAAATGATTATGCTGAGGGATACCCAGTAAATGCATTAATATAAAAATACAAGAGCTACCATACAGAGCTAGACTGAAGGCCCAGCCTAGTGTCATACTTCCACCAGTGTACAGCAGCAGATGGTGTGGGGAAGATGTATATGAATAGTGACACTTCACAATTATTCTCTAAGTGTCCTGTTCAAGGACTTTCTGAGCCAGATGTAGCTTCTGTATAGTTAGTAATCCTAAATGGATTTTTCTTCCATTAAATTTTCAGTTGCTTGTTGAGTCTTAATAAATGTTTGTTCTTTGCACTGTCCTGTAGCAAGGCATTGCTTAATGCTTAATGGCTTAATTACACTCTTTTGCTGGTTTTGAACTGCTTCCTTCTAGCTTCTTTTGATGCCCATGTGTCCTTGTATTGGAAGGAAGAGGGAGAGAACAGTGATTAATTTTACATTGTTCATGTTGCTTGTCATTTTACAGACTCTGTTTCCCTCTGTCATCTTATTCCAGTGCAGAAATTCAGTAGACTTTAATAATAAGTTCACTGACATACATGATAGGAAAGAAATTAGGATTTAAGTCATTACTCATTATTGAAATACAGTCAGTCTGCCTCCAAAGAAAAAAATCACTATTTGATTAGCAACCACACCATATAAGAGCTAGTCTAAAAAGATATTAGTGGGAAGATTATTGATTTGGTTTCCTTTTGATAGTACTTTGAGTGCTTTGAAAGAAATGCATTTCTTTCTCTGGCATTCTCTTGTGTCATGCCTTGTGCCTTACCAGTGAAGAATTAGTCATAGTAGCTTTTATGACTATCTGTTTTTGAGTAAGCAAATAGGAGACTTGATGTATGTTAGCTTCAAAGAAGCAATCGTGATAAAATTTTCTGACTGTGAATACATGGCAGGTAGGAAAATATTTCCGTCTGGCAGTGTAATTTCAGCTGTGCTAAAACTTCAGGATCCTGTTATCCTTCAGCCCTTAGTCCTAACTGTACATAGGCTGCCTCAGCAGTGTTCTGTATGGGATGTTGTCTTCTCCACAAGAAAAGAGAACAAGTGAAAAGCCTGAACTAATAGCTGCCTAAATCATGAGTCTCATGTGGGTAGGAGTGTATTTTAAGGTCAGCAATTAATAGTGCAGTAACACATCACAAGCTGAGTTTTGTTTTTGCTGCTATGAGCAAAAGCAGAACTTGCATGGTTACAAGCCTCCATCTCAGCTCATTCCCTAGTATTGCTTCTTATGCCTCTTTTTTGGCCAATGTTGGTCATGGTGCAGGTTTGTTGACAACTGCACTACAACATGAAGCTCATAAAACTGAGTATTTAGTGCCTCTGTCTCTTCTGTTAACATTCCATTTTAAAGGCTTGGGAGCATATCCATTTTGCTACTATTGTACCTCCTAAATGCTCAACTTCACTCATTTGATTTCATTACCCAAATAAGCCACTTACTAAGTCTGTTTTACCCTCTCTACCACCATGTAGCAAAAACTGGAGCTAAGCAAGCTAAAAATCAAGCAAGGACTTGTAAAAGTTGTATAGCAGTAGGTGTTTTTGATTTTGTTTTTGTTTTTATGTATGACCAATGATGTTAACAAAATACATCCCCTCAGCCTGCTTGCATATGTAAGAACATAAGCTGCCCTATTTCTTTTGACAGCATTTTGACTGTGTCAGTGTAACTGCTATCATATCATACTAGCCTAATCTGTGCAGGGCAGGGAGCACAAGGCATGTTGTTTACAAAGTTAACATGCTTGTTTGATTTAGCTTCAGCTGAAGAAGAATTACTGCTTAATTCAGGCATTATGAAATGGCAGGTACAAATACAAAGAGGAAAAAAAATTCTTTCAACAAAAAGGGATAAAATACAATTTCATTATTGTTATTTCATGCAGATGTGTATTTCATCCTTTTCTAGATTAACATCATGTTTGTTTTTGTCAATGTGATTGCTTTCTTCTGTATGGAAGAGTAATTGTCCGTGATTTCAGTGGGAATCACATTGAATTGATATGGTATGAGCTCAAATTATACTCTGCATGAAGTAAGTTTATTAGTTTGGACTATGAAATAAGATGAAGGTAAAACATTTTATAATTTTTGAGAAAATATCAGTGTCAAAGCCTTGAAGAGCACTTACTTTAATGGTACCATATTTTTACCATAATCAGTTCATTGCTTGTTAGTATAGGTTCTTTGTTGCCAGGGTTACTGATACTATTTTTCTTAGATTAATAAATCTGGTGACTTGCTGACCCCTTACACTATAAAAGATTGTCAGATAGAAGTTCAAGTAAGTCTAGTGTAAGTGTTCCCATGTGACCAATAATTGACTTTTTATTATTATTTCTGTGAAACACAGTGGTAGCCCATATTTGGTTTTTGAGAAGGAGTAGTTGCCAGCTTGTACCTTTTCATGTGCTTATTGTTAGTTCTTCATTTTGTCTCAGTTGTGGTAGACTGCAAGATACAGTGCAGTAGTGGTGTGACGTCAGTCCTTCCAAGGATCAGATGGTGGCATCTTTTTCTATGTTTTCTTGATATTTTGTTCTTCATGGGAACTAGAAAAATGGGTAGTCATCAAGTATCTTCCTGAATTGCAGTTAGGGACCATGTATATTAGTTCTTAAGTAGGTCATTTGCCTTCAGAGTTCTCTCACTTTTTCTTAAAGCTAAAAACATCAGCTTTCTTCAAGTGATCAAAACACTAAACTACTGGCAAGTGTAGTATAAGTTGTATTTTTTTTCCCTAAAATGAGAGAGTATACTGTTAATATTTGGAAAAAAAAAAAAGAAGTTATTGAATAAAACTAGCTCACAAAAAAAGGATATTTCTTAGAAGCACTGTAAGAGTACTGTGAAGTATCCTTTTTGATCATAGGAAGGTGGATAGAAGCAGACCAGAACTTGTTGAGCAATGTTGAAGATACAATTAGCTAAGATACTAAGCTAGTTTCATGGCACATACAACCATGAGTGCTGGTATTACAGATGTAGGAGGATAGCTTATTCTTTTGTAAATTTTGTGTTAGTGGAAAAGTCTAAGATTTGGGATAAGGATAAATGAACTTGACTGAATAGAAATTGTTGTTTTCTGTTTATGCTGAAGCTTGGTTTGAAGATGCCCATGAAAAGGTGGTTAATAGTGAGAAGAGGGAAGACTAAAGATGTTGAAATACTGAATCAGCATAAAGACAGATAAAGACAGTAAAAAAGAAATTGAAAGAAAAAGCCCTTATGATAATTGAAAAATGATTAATCAGATTTGGAGGAAAGGTCACATAGTACCTAGCTGACAACTGTATTGCTCTCTCTGCTTTTAGCTGGTAGCAGAAAGCTGTTGTAGAAATGAAATAAATCGATAGTAAATTAGGGCTTGAGTGCCCTCTAGTTAAGTAGCTGTTCTCTGCTTTAAAATTCTGTTGATGTGTTACTAAAATGCTACTAGCCATGAGCTCTGCTTTGTAGAGGGGAGAAAAAAAGTGACTTTTTGCCATTTCTGCATTGTTAATTTTATTTACTTATTTTTTGCTTTCATCGTCTATGCATTGAAGCTTCTCTCCAGTACAACACTGAAGTATGGCAGCTCTTTCACCCCTTATGCAGTAGAGAAGCAGAACAGAAAAGAAACAGGAGCCCTCAGGATAGGTTAAAAAAAAAAAGAAAGAAAAAAAGAGAGAACTGAGCATGGTACTGTCAGAAGGTTCGTTAAGGTGCAGACATTGCCATGTCTTCTCACTGAACATCAGTTCTTCATCTGCTGAACGTTGAGGCTTGGAGCAAGATGAATCCCATACTTCTTGTTGCTAAAGCACCATCTGTTTCCTTTCTCTCTTCATTTGCAGTCACAACAGCTCGAAGAGATGCATGAACCAGTAGGGTTAAATCTAACAAATGTGACCAGTAGGAGTTGCATCTTGTCAGCCAAGGCTCAGTGTTGAAATATCAGAGGATATCTTTGCGAAAATACTCTAAGGATATGTGTATAGCCTAAGGAGCTTTCTGTGTAGTTCAGATTTTACTGGTAATTGCATGGTTACCAGAAAATACTAAGTATTTTAGAGCATGAAAAATTGGGAAAATCCTTTGCCTACAGCAATCCTGGTTGATGCCATTTGATTTGTGTCCCAGGCATTGGTTTCAGTTATACTGCTTGGCACGAGCTGTGGGCTAACACCAGTGTTTCAAAGTGTTCCTGTACACAGTGAGGTTCACAGGCTCTTTATTAGTGAAATAAAGCCTGGGCAGACAGTAGTGCACAGTACCGGGTTTTTAAAACCACCAGTCAGAAGGTTCAAAATCGACAGGCAGCAGGTATGTTTGCTTTGTTAGAAAAGGTTTGCTCATATAGTGAGAGCTCAGGATTTGCTAAAAGTTCAGACTTTGTGAAATCAAATTTCCTACGTTAGTGATTTTATTTACTTACTTATTCATTTATTTGTAGAAAATGGCACGTACCATAGTAACACTGTGCAGCCCAGCTAATACATCTCTAACTCTGAAATGACAACATAATTTATCTCTTACCTTTTGTGAAATGCAAACACTGACAAATTATTAACAGTAGCTTTAATTTCTCAAATCATTATGAAGTACTACTTACAGAAGAATTTATTTATTTATTTATTTCTAATTTATTGTGTGAATAATTAAAATCGAGCAGTTCTTAGACCAACTATATTTTTCTCATATGTGTTCTTTGCAGGAATATATGGTATATAGGAAACATACATACATGAGATTGGATGGTTCTTCAAAGATTTCTGAACGAAGGGATATGGTAGCAGATTTTCAGAACAGGTAACATATTTTAAAAGATGTTTTTGTACTAAATCACATGTATAAGTTGGTATAAGATTTAATGTAAATAAATGAAATTTGCCCTAAAGTATCTTGTATAATAACTATGATCTGAAAGTTTCTTGGTGGTTTGCTGAGTGTTGATACTCATGTTGATATTAAATCCATTTGTATTTAGAAATTCATCATTTCTGAGACAGTACAATAGCAAATTTTATTGTACCCATGATTGTTGCCATTCCAAGTATGCTATTGCTTATAAAGAAGGTTGACAGAAACAGAGCAAAAGTTCTTTAGTTATTACATGTTCTGAAAACTGACACTCTGAAGATGAAATTGAAAATACTGCGTATGCTAGAACTTTGGAAGTGACCTACTTTGCTGAAAAACACGCTGTATCACTTAAGCATGTTTCACAGAATAAAAATAAATAAGTTTATCTTTAATACAGTTGGATTTATTAAGATAGCTTAAACTAATATATGTATAATAGTTAAAAATGGGGGGGTGGTTATTAAATAGTAAGACGTGCTAACCTGTTCAATTTAGTAGAGCAAAATGGATTCTTTCAATTCCTACTGGCCTGCCAGGAAAGAAAACTATGTAGTCATCTTGTTACAAGTTCAAATATTTCAGTATAACCTTGTCTCTATTGGGGCACATTACAAATAAATAATTAGATTTATGGTTATTAAGTTTCCCTTTAATCATGAAATACAGCTTGGTAGGATGTCACTTTGGTGTAGTAGTTCACAGTAAGGTTACCCTTCCTGAATGCGGAATGTGAGCTTTTAAGGAGGTCACTTTTGTTTTTCAGACAAGCTAGGTTCACAGATTGTTGTTCACTGCGAGGTGAAAGCACAGTGTTCTAGACGATAGTCCTTGCGTCACCAGTCCCAAGGTATCACAGCAGAAGACAGGAGGAAGAATGTGTACAAAACCTTTCAGGCCATTCGTTCATAAGGGTTGAAGACCTGAATAACTGTGCTGCAATGAAAAGGCTTTTAGTGAACTCCTTAGAGCAATAAAACTTTAGAAGAGTATGAGCCAAGTACCTGGAGTGAGAGGACCGTGCAGTGCCTTTTTCTCTGTTCCCAGTTGTCAAAAACAGGTTCCTTGCTGGTTAGGATGTCCTCCTGGAATGCTGACACTTCTTCCTGTAAGGTCCTTCAACCAAAGAAGTCAAAAAACTTGTTTTTATTAATAAAAAGAAATTTGTTTTTATTAATGAATAGAACAACTAAAGAAAAATAATCATTTCAAGAGGAAATCCCTTTGAGATATAGGTCAGCCAGTATAAACAAGAATTCCTATTAAAATGTTACTCGAGTTCCTCTTATACATGATTTACTTATGAGAAATGTTTTCAGGAAAAAAAGCCTGACTGAGACTAAACTATCCTGCAGGATGTCCTAGTAGGATGCTGAAAATATGTAACCATCGAGTGATAATTCACTCCTGTAGTCTGTGCCACTGTCCTCTTTCTTTCCTTTCCATATGGCATTTCCAGAAGTGTTCAGGTGACTGTGTGCACGTTCCACTATTGTTGTAAAAGTCAAAAGACTTCCTGGCCAAGGATTGCTTAACTGTGCATGGGTACCTGCTGTCGCCTTCAGCTCTGCACCTGGAAGATAAAGTCTAGAGAATGACAGCTTGGTTTCAATTCCTCTCGGATGCCCATAGCTCAAGATAGAGTTTTGTACAGACTGCCAGAAACCTTCCTTTTCTAATTTCAGAGTTCTTGGCTTTTATATTTATAATTTAAATCATAGAATCATAGAATATCCTGAGTTGGAAGGGACCCTTAAGGATCATCAAGTCCAACTCTTGACACCGCACAGGTCTACCCAAAAGTTCAGACCATGTGACTAAGCGCACAGTCCAATCTCTTCTTAAATTCAGACAGGCTCGGTGCAGTGACCACTTCCCTGGGGAGCCTGTTCCAGTGTGACCCCCCTCTCTGTGAAGAACCCCCTCCTGATGTCAAGCCTAAACTTCCCCTGCCTCAGCTTAACCCCGTTCCCGCGGGTCCTGTCTCTGGTGTTAATGGAGAAAAGGTCTCCTGCCTCTCGACACCCCCTTACGAGGAAGTTGTAGACTGCGATGAGGTCTCCCCTCAGCCTCCTCTTCTCCAGGCTGAACAGGCCCAGTGCCCTCAGCCGTTCCTCGTACGTCTTCCCCTCCAGGCCTTTCACCATCTTCGTAGCCCTCCTCTGGACACTCTCCAACAGTTTCATGTCCTTTTTATACTGTGGTGCCCAGAACTGCACACAGTACTCGAGGTGAGGCTGCACCAGTGCAGAGTAGAGCGGGACAATCACCTCCCTTGACCTACTAGCGATGCCAGTAATTACTTTGGTCCTCTATTGGCAACTTCTTGAGGGAAAAAAAGAATCTCTTGTTGGACCAGAGTAGGTTTTTTGAGAGTCTGTTTTTTACGATACAACCTTGCCAGGTAAAGACTGGTAATTAATACCTTAAAGCATGAGTCCTGAGAACGTAGTTGGTTCTACCTGACCTGTAAGAATATAGATTCCAAAACCTTTCTATTTTTTTTTTTTTATGTCTGAGTTGTACTAGCATATGCATAATAGCAGGCGATATACCTGTACTTACTACAGCAAGGGTCAGGTTACCTTTAATGAATAGAAGTTTATTATTTAAGAATAAATTAATGAAGACCCTTAGATTAGATGAGTGGACTTTTGGGGACAGACTGCTGACACATAATCAAGATGCCCCGTGCTGCTTATTCAGCAGGAATTTTTGGTCTCTTACTAATTGTGCATGCATTATTGTATGGACAGCGTGGTACCAAAAGGATGTGGTATTGCAGTGTCTTCTCTTAAGCATTTCTCTTGATGTGTACTGTCAAAGAACATCAACCTCTTTGGGGTCCCTTTACTACTGCTTTGTGCCAACCTGTAGAGGGACCCAAATGGTGTTAGACACAATTACATTCTGCTGATCCCACACCACTGGCACTAGTGAAGTTCACAACCTCAGTGGAAGTCCTGATTTTGCTGTTATCAATTGAATTTTGATCAGAACTTGGTGATACGTCATATAGACCTGTCTCCTTTGTTTTCTGTGTGTGCCGTGTTAGAGCTGCCATTGAGTTTGAGTAACTCTGTTCCCTTTTCTCCAACTCCTCAGACTGCAGCTAGGACTTAAAGCGCTTTTACAGTTGCTTGCCTAGTGTGCCTCAACTGCCTCAGTTACGTAAAGGATTATTATCTGTAGAGGATTATTCCAAGTCAGGTATTGGGACGCCTAGTATCTCTGTTAGTAGTCAACATTCCTAAATCTGATGCCAGCAAGTCTAACCGTTGGGGCTAATATGACTGCATGAGGCTTTATGGAACTTCCAGTGAGGTGTTCAGAGATATCTTCCTTGAACTATGCCATGGAGTGGTGATCCATGTTGTGTTATGGCCTGTTCTACTGGGGGCTGTGTTCACTGAAGCTACTGATCTGTCATTGACTTTCATGCTGTCTGAGGAATTCCAAAGAATGTAAATGTAATACAGTTAAAATGCCCAAGGTGGGAAGGACAGCCTGTGTGCAGTAATAATGGAATTTACTTACAGTGTGTCTCAAAGAGCTTAAGTTAGAGTGAAATGAATGACTTTTCCTATTGTGCAGTATCCAACTATTAGTAATGTCTCACATAGTCATCTTTGAAACATTCTATAGTAAATCACAATTTCATTACTATCATTTCATTGCTATCTTGAGATGAATCAATTTATTTTCATTTTGCTGATAAGAAAATTGGACAAAAGAATAAAACTTCTAATGCAAATCAGCACAGTTGTGGCCGTAGTTGAGTTCTTAGACTGAGGGATTTCTGTTTCTGCTGACAGACCCTTGTCCTTTTAAAATGTACTTCTGTGTTTGCCAGCTTGCTTTTATATGAAGGTTGTTCATTTTTTCCTCTAAGAGTTGTTTGTTCTGTTCAAAGCACCAAATTTAGAACAAAAATTGCATCTACACAGTTCCAACTTTATTGTTCTTTCTTTATCAATTGTATGTTGTTAGGGCACAACACTCAAGATTTTATTTTATTTTATTTCTTAACATCGATCAGTTCTGTGAAACAATAAATTGTTCTTTGTCTATATGAAATCTTAATTTCCAACGTGGGCAAGATAAACAAGCTCTGGTTTGTTTTGATAGAGATAAGAAGCTGCTATTGCGAACTGAATGCTTGTGTGTTCAAGCAGTCCTCATTTGTGTATTAACTTCTTTCGTGTGTTTTTCTCTCGATCATGAACAGCACAAAACATTCTGAAGTGTTCGAGTAATAAAAATAGCCCTGATCACTTCACATGGGTCAAAAAATTTACTTCTGTGGTTACTTCTTGTTCCTCATGCACAAAATAATTTTATTTTTTTTAAATCTCTTTCCTCACCAGGAATGATATTTTTGTGTTCCTGTTAAGCACAAGAGCTGGAGGCTTGGGCATTAACCTTACAGCTGCAGATACGGTAGGTGAAGTTTCATAAAGTAACACAAAACACAAAAAATCAGCTTTCTGATACTCAGATTTCAGTTCTCCTGTGCTGCCAAACACCATTTTTACCAAGCTGCTCATCTGCCTCCCAGACTCGCAATATATGTGGGAAAATGGATGTTGCTGTGTGGAAGCTAGAACTCTTATATCTATGCTGATCAATATTAGTGCTTCCATTCTCATAATGAAATTGCCTAGGCTTGTTTACTCTGCTTATATTTGTAATACAATATTAACTTGGTGATAAAGTTGCAGGATATTGAGCACCCGGTGTACAGTTTTTGGTTGCTGTTAGATACCTTCCTTCTCCCCACATACATCAGCAGCAGAGTCTAGAAAGAAGTTGGGTGACTAAAGGGGTCTACAAATGCAATGACACTTTCATACGAGTGCTGTCTCTTGCATGGCTGCTTACTCCTAAGGCGCAGCAGCAAAGGAATCAGTGAGCACAGGTATCAGCCACCTTTTTTCTGTGCACAGTAGAATGAAGTAATGGCAGTTGAGTTGTGCTTGTATTTCTAAATGAGCATCAGCTAGTCAGGAAAGATAGATTTATTCCTTCTCATGTGCCTGAGGTGTAGAAGCATCCTGATTTAGGTGATTGCAAGGATTTGCACTGTTGAGCACTTGCACCAATCTCTGTGGGAGGGAATACTGACCTACATGAACCATTTATGTTTCCAGTAACTGCTGTTCCTGTGCTTCTAACATAATACCTTACGTGCAGGCAGATTTGAACCCAAGACAGACTGTAGTGCTTAGCCACACAAAACCAAAAATCTCTGATTCAAAACTATGATGTAATTCTTTAAATATCTTTAAATGTAAAAATCTCTTGGTATTACTTAAAAGAAATCAGAAGAAAGCTACCTATAATAGCTTCAGAGTTGTAAACTTTTCTTGATTGAAGTTGCTTCAACATGGGGGAAAAAAAAAGATGGAAACACAGGCATGTTTGTGCAGGCTCCTTGCATTAGCATTCTTAGTTCTGTGGTTTTGTAGCTTTCTGAATACTTCATCTAAAATGGTTTTAATGTTTCCTTTTTATGTGTACTGTGCATAAGGTACAGTTAGAATGATAGGACAACCTGAATGTGATGTGGTATTTCAGGTTTTTTTTGGTGAAAGCACTACAGTTATTAGACTAGACAAGGCTTTATTCAGATCTTGGAAAAAAACAGAATATTACTTTTTGTGTGAAATCCTGATTTGATGGGCTTTTTCTTAAGGTAAATAACACCAAAAGTGGCTTCACAATGTAATTAGTTATAGACTTATCAAATGACAATGTTAGACTATGGTGATAAACTCCAGAATTTGGTGCCTCTAAAGCAGATTTGTTGAAGAAAATATTTAAGACATTCTGTTGAAGTTGAAACATTCACTGTCAATTAGTTTGAATATATTTGAAATGCATTGGGAAAGATTTTAATGGAGTGGACAAAGCTAGGTGAATGCAGCCTACAGTGGGCAGGTGATTCTGTGAGGTGTGTAGTGGAACTTTTTTTATCATCTTGTTAGTTTTTGTTTTTTTGTTTGTTTAATCTGCAGGTACTCTAAATATATGGTTTTATTTAATCATTTATGTTCTGATTTTCTTTTACAGGTCATCTTCTATGACAGTGATTGGAACCCAACAGTAGACCAGCAAGCCATGGACCGGGCACATAGGCTGGGTCAAACAAAACAAGTCACTGTGTACCGGTTGATATGCAAAGGCACCATTGAGGAACGTATCTTACAAAGAGCTAAGGAGAAGAGTGAGGTAGGAATAAAGAAATCGTCTGGAACAAGAAGTTACAGAAACTTTTATCAAAAAATGTGTATCAAAATGAGTAAATAAATTATTATATATAAATTATAAATTACAATATATAAATATATACACACTACATATATATACATTTTTTTATATATATAGTGTGTGTATATATATACACACACACTTTTAAAACAATTTATATACATACATATATATATATATATGCATGGAATGCATATAATAGAAACCAAAAGGGAATGTCTTTGTTTAAACAAACAAATCTGTTGCTAGCGCAGCATCATTACAGCTGCATTATATAAACTGGGAAGAAGCTAAGTATTTACACAATGACTTCATGGAAACTATTTCTTATGATGCAATGAAACTACTTGGGACTCTTTAAAGCTAGAGCTTGCGTCTTTGCTGTGTCAGGGCAATACTGATTCCTCTAATGTTATACTGTTACACCACAGCTGATTTGTTTGAAGAAACTTGAAAGGTAATTAAAGGACAGTTTTTGAGCTGTGAGGGTTGCCAGAAGGGCTCATTTTCCTGCAGCATCAAGTGATAAATGTATTAGAAACTTTAAACCTCATGATACTTTACTGGCAAGAAAAAATTAACCACAGTTGCTTTAGTAGCAATAGATATACTATACATGAGGCTCAGATGTTGTGTGCACTTGGGATTTCTTTTAGCTTTTGTCTTAACTAGATGCTGGTCATAGCACTGAAGCAACTGAAGCATCTCCAGCTGAATGCATTCATGTTTCCCTTATTGAATTTCATCCATTTTGATGTGGGAGACTGCACTTAGTAACCTGATACCAACCTGAAAATAAGTGTAGTTTTTTGGGGGTGCTCCAAATCATCAAAAATGGCTTACACTAAAGCTTCTTCTTTTTTGCTGAGTTGCACCTCTTACTGTTTTGTTTGTTTGGTTGGTTGGTTGGTTTATTATTGTTATTATTTAGGAATTTATTTACTTTTTTAGTGTAGTTGAATTAATCAAGTTGCTTGTGCTGAGTGAATTGCTTAAACTGAGACACTGACTCAATATGGAGATTTAGTTTTCAGTGAAGGAGATTAAGTATGTTGTACCTTTTAAGAATGTGATCTGCATGATCCTCTATACAGATTACTTGAAAAATAGGACTGCTAATTTATCCTTTATAGGGGTACTGCTGTAGTTTTACTCTGAGTTCAGCAATGTATTAAGCAATAGATATTATTATTATGTGGTGCTTTAGAAGTATACAGCTTGGTACAATGGATGACAATTTTCTCCTTTCTAGCTCAGTTGCTTCTCATTTTTTAATAATTACATTCTCAATAAAATCTTTCCTTAAATTTTGCTACTAACTGTAGTATGACAGAGAAGTTGAATCAATTCTGACTACACACACTTGCATTTACGTCTTTTTTTGGCTGGCTTTCAGTGAAGGATAATGAAAATGGATCCTTTGAGTAATTTATTCTTTTTTTCCTTTTTCTTTTTTCCTAGATCCAGCGAATGGTGATTTCAGGTGGCAATTTCAAACCTGACACTTTGAAACCAAAAGAGGTGGTCAGCCTTCTACTGGATGATGAAGAACTAGAAAAGAAATGTATGTGAAATTCGTGTTGTAGCGTTTTCTCCATCTTCCACTTAGTTTTTTCAACCATTAGTTTTTTAAATCTGTGTTTTTATCTCTACAAACACATGTATTTCTGATAACCACTTCCGTTTCCTGGCTCATTTTGTATTGCCATTCCTGTTAGTACAAGCTGGTTTCATATCACTGCTGAGCTGAGGGGTGAGGTTGTGCAAGAGAGACATGATGATGTGATAGTTTTTGTTGGCACTTGTTCAGGATCATTACATTGTTCCTGAATGACAGAGCTTAGACAAGAATTAAGTAGGTCACGACAAGAAAAGTATCAATAAAAATGTTGTGTTGCACCGCAGTTTTGAATCTGTATTAGAGGTACGCTTAATGATATGTTTGAAAAAAACTTCAACTGTAAGGCTTTTTAGTAATTTGGATGAAAAGAGTTTAAATATAGCAGTTCTGCTTTGAGTTTTTCATCGTGCTTTAGTTTCAATATAGGAGGCTTTTATTCACAATTCTGTTATAACCAGAATTTCTTGTAAGGTTCACAAAAGGGTATGAAGTATCTTTCCAGCAACAACAACTTTGTGCTTGTTTTCTGACAGTGCGTCAGCGTCAAGAAGAGAAGCGACAGCAAGAAGAAACAAATCGTGTGAAGGAACGTAAACGTAAAAGGGAAAAATATGCTGAAAAGGTACCTTGATGCAGAGAGGTTGCCTGTGTCAGTGACACAGAGAGCCTGAAAAACTTTAGGCACGCTATTATGTAGTATTTTATGCAAAGGCAGTCGAATGAGTAAAGTGTTCTCTTCACCATTGAATGTCAGTCTGGCACTTCCTACACGGAAGAGGGATGTTATAAAATAAGTAATGCACAGTTCCCTGTATTTTAGTATCATTTGCAACTTCAAAAATAAAGAAGTACTGCATATCCATACAACACAGTAGATCATCAGTAGTCTACGGACAACAATTTGGGGACTCAAATTTGAAAAAACAACAAAAAAAAACAACCAATTGTTCTATGGCATATAAAATGGAGACTTAATTAAGATTTTGTTTTGCAAAGGTGAAAAAATAATACAAATAAAGAACCAAACATAGATAAATCCCAAATAGCTATGTGACTTGTGCAGAAAGACAGAAGATTAGTTTGTTTGTTTGTTTGTTTTTAAAAATTATTAAATCTTTTTTATGGAAATCCAGAATATTTGAGTATTGGAGGCTTTGCATTAATTATTTTTTTTATAATGATAAAGAATTTTGAGCTTACTCCAGAAGGCAATGGAAATCAGAGTAATTCTATAAAAGTAATTCTACAGCACTCAAACTATTTTACAAAGAAGAGAAAAAAACTACTTATATCTAAAGACAGCCTTTAAGGGTTCTGTTACTTTGTCCTTCAAAAACTTGCTTCGGATAATTCTGTACATGGCATTCCTTTGAGTTACAATACTGCATTAGACATTGAGATTTTAATTTGCATGTTCCGCTTCGGTTTTAATTGCATTTTTCATTCCCTGTATTGTTTTATTTATTTCAGAAGAAGAAGGAAGATGAGTTGGATGGGAAGAGAAAGAAAGAGGGCATGAACCTCGTGATCCCGTTTGTTCCCTCAGCTGATAACTCCAACCTGTCTGCGGATGGGGATGACTCCTTCGTTAGTGTAGATTCTGCCATGCCCAGCCCTTTCAGTGAGGTGAGACTGCCTGCTTCTTTAAACTATGTGCCGTTTCAGTTGTGATCTTAGATCTAGTAGGGTTCTTGCTTTCTGACATTTCAGTTAATACAGAATTCAAGTACATATGGAAATGAGATGTCTGAAAGGTGAACCAAGAAAGTGAAACTAATTTATTGAAAACATAGCAGCTGCAGTAAGCTGCCTGCTGGAACTCCTCTGTTGATATGCCATTATGCATGTCTTCACTTTCTGTCTTTGTCTTTTCGTAAAGCAAGTTCATGCTCTGAACCTCTTGCTTTTGATTCTGAATTAGTGTGGCTTTTAATCTGGAATTTAAATTGTAAGTTTCCAATGGTACACATTATATTTTCTTTCATATTTTTAATAAAGAATTGCGAACAATTTTTGGCAGCATATATATTTTGTTATATGCCATATTGACTAAGATTACTATATTGTATTGTTCCCTTGCTGATAAAGATTTTTATTGGCACTAGTTAACAGGTTAAGAGTCCTATTGTTTTCTCTCTTGTAGTCTGAGAAAAAAAGCGCAGTTAAACCGCAGTTTTCTTAAGTCTCTGCTGAGCCTCTCAGTCTCCTGCTGATAACATTTATGTTCATCAGTTGAAATAAAGTAGTTCCTGGAGGTCTTTAATGCTGTTCAGCATGTAAATAGAGGGTATAGTGTGACTAGGCAGGATATGTATCATGCTGTAAGTCTTGGGGAAAATGAGAGAGATCAGAACAAGTACCAATTACTTGCGATTGTGTGTCTTCCTATGTTTGAACCCTTCCCTTTCCTAATGTGAGAAGCTAACGGCTTTGTTCTTCGTCATGTTTAGATATCCATCAGCAGTGAATTACATATGGGCTCTATTCCTCCCGATGAGAGCAGCAGTGATATGCTTGTGATTGTGGACGATCCAGCTTCTTCAGCACCTCAGTCAAGGGCAACAAACTCTCCTGCTTCCATTACTGGCTCTGTTTCAGATACCATGAATGGTCAGTACTCTTGCCTTGACTTACTAACACATATTAAACCTTGACTTTGTATGTCTGGTTGGTATGTGTTCTGCATTTTAATCAGATTCTGTGTATGGTTGGCAAGATGAGCAAAAAATAATTTATTTCATTGAGAAATAACTTCTGATTTGATAAGAAATCTGTTTATAGTCATTCATCACACTTTCCTTTTTCCTGTGTTAGTTACTCTTATGAGTTTTTTTTTCCCTTGTTCCTATATTATAGAGTGCTCATATTACTGAGCTACAGACATCCACAGAACTTTTTAAGTTTTTCCTTGAATTTGCCATAGGGCTAATAATGAGTTCTCTATTTCCACTGAGTGATTAAAGCAGCTATAATTTTAAATAATGGTAACAGTTTTTAGTTACTGTAACTTTTTACTCTGAAATAAGGAGAGACCTAGTTCTTGATGAGTTTCTTTACAGATAGCAAATGGAAGGAACATATATCTTCAGTAAGAAAATGCTTCATCCTAAGTAGAACCCCGAATTTTTGTGGATCTTTTTGTGGATTGGATTCGTAACAATAATGACAACGAGGTTAATAGGATGTGATTAATGAATGGCCAAGTTTTGTATATCTGATTTCTTTTTATAAGATCAATACTTGCTAACAGTGTCTGTATTAATGTAAATGAACAGTATCAATTAACAGGAACAGCATGAATGTAAATGGCAAGTCGTTACGATGCTGTATTTATTTGTGAGCCATCTGACATGCTATAGCAGTTACTGTTTTAACACTTTTTTTTTTTTTAAGGGGTTTCAATGCAAGATACACCTCTCACTGGGAGAGGCCAGTCAGGTCGAAGCCGCGGTCGCCCTAAAGGATCAGGTGGTGGATCAAAAGGCACCGGGAAAGGCAGAAGCCGGAAATCGATAGCGGGAAGCGCGGCCGCAATGGCAGGTGCCAAAGCAGGGGCAGCAGCAGCCTCTGCAGCGGCATACGCAGCGTACGGGTACAATGTCTCTAAAGGTATGTGGGGAAAGGGAGGCAGCAGGCTACCCAGAGCAGAGCCAACCACATGAGTTTGGACGATTGCTTGTTTACAGCCTGTCAAAAATAGATGCAAGTATTGCTGGTATTGCTTGTACAGTATATTCTGAGATCCAGGCAAAGCGCAATGTGACACGGTACTGGTGTGAGAGGATAGCCAGTTTCACCGCAGATGACCTTGAGAGGCTAATCTTGCAGAATTTTCACCTGCCCTTTAAATTATCTCATACCAAATACTTCTCTCTTGTTTTTCATTTTGGTGCCCAGACAGATTAGATAGTGTTGTTTATCCCATGGGTTTGGCTGTGTCTTTCCCATATTGCTGATATGGTGAAGTTACAGCATCAGGTTTAAAATGTTCTAAACCAATGGTGATGGAGCTTCAGCTTTACACCACGTATAGTCATCCCAGGATATAAGTGCGAGATGATTTGTATGTTTAGGCCATCCCTCTTCATTAAAATCTCATAAATCATGAACGCAGTGTTGTCTTGGGACTAAGTGTTAGTATATTGTAGCCATTTAATTTATTTTTTTTTGTTGCCTAAGTGCTGCAAGTGGAGTGATATGCTCACGTGGAATTTGATTCTCTTTTCCATTGCTAGGCATGTCTGCAAGCAGCCCTCTACAAACAGCAATTATTCGGCCTTCTGGACTTGCAGATTTTGGACCTTCAAGCGCCTCTTCTCCCTTGAGTTCCCCTTTGAGCAAAGGAAACAGTGTTTGTGGCACCCCCAAAAGCTTAAACCTGACCAGCAGTCTCATATCAGAAACTCCAATTCGGAAGCAAAGCAAAGGTGCCCACACCTCAGGTGGTCGGTAGTAATTTTGAACCCCCAAAGCTTGTCTGAACTGTGTTGGCTTTCAGAGTAGACCACCCTGCAAGGTGAAGGCATGCAAATGAATGCCTTGTTGCTATCAAGCACCTGTGTGAAAAGAAAATCAAAGCACAATGGGAACGGGTGGTTTATGTGAGCACTTTGATTATGTGTATCCCAAAAATTATCTTTGCAGACACTGCAAGAAGGATGGAAGGGGTGTCTGGGGTAACTGAGGTGGTCGGATGGTATTTTATTGACACATCTGACAAAGATTTCCCAAGAAAGCATCCAGGTACTCCATGCAATATCCCAGAGCTGTGTGCTTCAAGTCACATGAGTGTACTCTCTTGTAGCTTGAAGTGGAACCCAGCTGTAGTTTTATCCTATGAAATCAGTATCTGAATGCCAGGGCTCTCCTGTAGAGTCAGAAGACATTTCTGTACTGGGAGCTGGTCAGCATATATGCAGGGGTAGCTGGGGGCTAAGCTGGATGATGTGTAATCAAAAGATTAATGGATTCTTCTAGTGTGGGCCTCTGAGGTTTTTGTTTGGTTGATTTTGTTTTGTTTTTTGAGAGTTTGAAATGCAAAGGAAGGTATCTCAGGTGGTTTCCAGGGAGTGGACTCTTTTCAGCACCATTTGTTTAGAGCAGGTTCAGAGCCAAGGTGTGACAGGAGCTCTGGCAGGCCTGGTGAGGGTAACAGCGCTGCCTCTGCTTCCTGCAATGAAAGAGGCTCCAAGCCACTGGCTTGATCTGTGTTTCAGAGTTCTTGCCAGCTCTTGCTGTGTTAAGAATGATTTTTCTAATTTTTGATACGTGCTGAACTCTTAAAGGCTTAGAAACACAATCAGGCTCTACTTGTGCAAATCTCAAGAGCAGGGAAATCTGCAGGGTCGAGGAAGAGTTTGCCGCTGTTCCTCTCAGCGTGCCATAGCAGAGCGTGGCTCTGCAGCTAGCAGTGCTGCGAGGGGAGCAGTGAGAAACAGCACTGAGAGAACTGTGCCATTCCCATCTCCAGCCAAATCCTGGGGAAAAAAAAAAAAAAAGTCTCATATCCCAACCATCCATTGACCATTCTTCCAGTGTGTTTTCCCTTCATCTCTGTGATCATCCCATGTACTAGCTTGGTGGAGCTCCCTGTGGGTACCAGTAGCCGTCTCCTGTAAGGCTGATAGAAGGCAGTGCTGCCAGTGCCCGTCTGTGTTCTCATCTCCGATTGCTCCTTCCCCTTTCTCAATGCACAACCCCCTCTGTAGCCCCTTGCTTTGCTGTAAGCGTTGTCTGCATTGCACTGAGATTTAGGTGTGGGACATTCTGTCTGACACACTGAATTAAAAGGCTGTTCTGGGGCACTTTCAATCCCTTGAGAGAAGCAAGTTATGAGTTGCAGGTCTGGGCTGTGACAGCAAAAGATGACTTTTTTATTATTATAATTTTTTTCCAACCCCAAATCCTTTGCCTGGCGTCCTACAGTGTGGAGCAAGTGCTTCCTGTTGGCTCTGCCTCTAATTTGCACACCTGAAAATAGCAAAACTGAGCTTAGTTAGATTGATTTTTAAACAGATTTGCAGGGGATAATTGAGGGGGGAGATGGTGTTTAATTAACTCATGAAGACTTCCCCCTTCCCCTCGTATTCACATGTATATATGATATTTAGAGGGAATCAGACAAATGCCAAGCCTTTTTTTCTCTTTGAATGTGCTGTCTATTTTTATAACTGAACTTGTACATATGTATAAAGAGAGACACATCTTTCTTTTACTAACTGGAGAAGAAAATCTTAAATAAAATGGAGTGAGATAATTTTATGTAAATCAGTGTCTTTGTGGTTTTTATGCATATAGCTAGCTATGTGACAGGGTTAGGGAACAGCGTGGAGGTTCCACATCTGCAGATGCATCTAGGGACGTGCTGCTCAGTGTAATGCTCTCGGGTATTTACGCTCTTCTGAGTATCACATTCTGTAACCTTTTTCAATTACAACTGTACAAGTTATCACATGTTTGTATTCACTGATTATCCGGTAATTTACTTTGGAGCAGGTATGCAGCAGATCACAAGAAAATAGAATAATTGCATAATGGTATCTGAATCACAACAGTTCAATTCAACAGTTGATTGCTCTGGGACATCATTCTCTACAGATTTTCCATTTTTTTCCTTCCTTTTTCAGGTTATTTTTTAAAGGGTATTTTTTTTGTGTGTGTTATTTTTGGTGTTACTGTCTTGATTTTCAAACTGCTAGACTGTGTCAATTTGTTGTAATCCAAAGTTGAGAAAAAATACATTTGTAACTTGAAAAGATTGGAAAAAAAAAAGTAATATTCTGTTGCACGTATGCTTTTGGAAGATTAAATTATTGGTATTGTAAAAAATGATAATAGCATTTGAAAAACTTATTTAATCTTCAAAAGAAGCACAGAATGATCTCACAAATTGTGGGGAAAGTAGCAGTAGCCTAGCTGCATCAGCAGCAGTAGCCTAGCTGAAACATGCATCAGGCTAACAAATTCAGGGAGACCTAACATAGCAATAAAATAAATGAGCTGCTAGATCATATCCAGTTTAATATCTGTATAATGTTTAAACAGATACATTCTTTTTATTATGCATCATAGAAGATCTGAGATATTACTCAAGGAATTAGGAAGTGTTCATGTAAAGGCTGTTCTACTCAATTTCTTGATTTGGGGAGTTTAGTGCTAGAAAGACAAAGACTGGGAAATATGTTAAGGGGGGGGAGTTTTGTGATCAACGCTATGGGGAACACTTCTATCTAAATGAGTAAAATGGACATGCACACTGAAACTTTATTTTTTGGAGTTTCAATCTGCGAATCTTTTCACTCAGGACATGCATTGTGCACTTGTCTTATGGATTAATGGCAGAGAAAATGTCCTGTCCTCTGAGGGACTGAAGTATTTGCTACTGGCAGAAACAGGATACCGAAGTAACAGAGTTTGCAATCAAAGTTGGAATGGTGAAATAGATGTCAGCATCTTTGGGGGAATGTTGGGAATGTGTATTCCTCTTGCTATTTCATTATTGCTTTGGTATCTCACTCAACAAATTACTGCAAAACTGTTAAATGCAGTTCTCTGATTATTCATACAACCCATTTTCTCTTCCTGTCATGGGTTGAGTATGCTGTCCTCATGTCAGCCACCGATGATCTCTTCCTATTCACCAGAGAGTTAAAACAAGACTGCTGTAGGAGGGTTTCCAACAAGAACTGTTTTAATTCTTAACTTCAGGGTATTAGTAATGCACTGACCATACATGGCGTTATTTCTGTGCCTTTTTTTCTGTTGTGTGCTTTCCCCACCGCAGTGTCTCTGCTCTTTGCTGTAATGTTCTGTTCCGTGAATGCCTTCTGTCTGCCTAGGGCTATATTTTGCTTTACTCCCATTTTCCTGAAGTATTTCCTTTAGCAGCATTTCCCAGAGTGTGGGGGGTGGCACACAGAGCTCAGTGGGAAAAGATCTGTGCCAAACGAATAGGAAACTTTGCTTGTAGCTGAGGAATAGCTGAGTTGCAGCTGGGAAGGGGACTAACATGACTGATAAAATCACTTTAGGGGCAGGATGTGGATCAACATACTTTGGGAAATGCTGCCCTATGACCACTGCTCTGCCAGTCCTGATCTACAGTCTGTAGGGCAAGCTGGTCTGCCTCTGCTCCCAGGCTCCTCCTCCTCTCATTTCTGCCTTTTTTTTTTTTTTTTTTTTGTTGACTGTTCAGTCTGAAACACGTTGCAGCTTGACATGCCTACATGTATAAGGCTCATTGTTCTCCCCTTACTGCTCAAGAAGAGATGGCTGTGCACTCCGTGCTGCCCTTTGGAAATTTGCAGCTCGAGTGGCTGGAAAACACATTGTAGCTCCCTACCCAAGGAGAGATGCTGCTTGGATGTTAAGTATAACTGCGATATATAAACTAAAATAAAGACAATTGCATCTTATACTCCTAGGCATAAGCACTAGCTGAATTGTGAAGGTTGGTTGGTTTTTGTTTGTTTTTATTTGCAGCATGTACCAGGTGTGTAGTGGTGAATGAGAGGGGAAGGGGCAATTCATCATTCCTCCTAAGAGCATCTTTACTGGGGTGAAACATATGGGCCAGCTCTCAGATCCAACCACCAGGTCTGTTCTGCAAAAACAAGCCTTTCTTGTAGCTTTCAGATTAGTATTCTGAGAAGCCTGCACCAAATGCCTTCTGAAATGGAGAAATGCATGACAAGATGAGTTGGGTTTCCTCCAGCTTTGCCCTCCTCTTAGCTCCTGCCTCTTCCCTCAGGAAAGTGAATTTACTGCAAAGCTAATAGGTCTTCCAGGCATTTTGGACCAAACTATTTATATAATGTTCTTCTAGTGGCATATGAGGGTATTAGTTTGCATCCCAGGCATGAGGAAGTGTTTCAGTGCTCAGGTATGAAATGACATCTCCTTCCTTCCTTAGCTGATGAGCATCACTGATAGAATGAGGCATGGGAGGAAAAGACTTAAACACCACTTTTCATGTTTTCTTGAATTTCCCATGGGCTGTCTCTTCCTTCTTCTGCAGTGTCACTGGTTGTGTTAAATCCTCAGTACTGTGACACAACAGTAGCAAGGTGTGATGTGAGCTTCTGAGCATCCAGGGGTACAGTATCCCTTGTCAGCTCTGTGACATTTGTTTGCATGAACCTGTTTTTCCCTTCTTGCTCCTTAGCCTTTGCTAAATTTTCTCAAGATCCGCGTGTTGTCTTCATTGCTTTTGGTTGACAGGAGAAATGTTTCTGTTTAGAGGTGTTAATTTTTAAACGAATGACCCTCATAACCTTGCATCGCATTGTTGCGGGAACCGTGAATTAAGAGAAAGCTGTGCATGTAGTTTGCAAGCGCTGTGACACTGAATAAACCTTCACCAACTTTTTCAAAAGCAACAACAAAAAAGCCTGTAATTGCTGCTCTGAGATTAGAGGAGCCCATTTGGAAATTTCCTGCTGCTTTGGGCTGTCACACAGACCTGACGTGGGCTTTCCTCTAGGAAGGGATGAATCACAGGCAGGAGTCCTCTGCACTGCGAGATGTCTGACACCCAGGTTTCTTGTACTGTTTTCTTCTCATGTTGTAGTAGAATTCAAACCTAGAAATTTTCATTTGTATTCAAGCCACTGAGTGAATTTCAGAATTTTATTGCCAGTGGGGACCAGAAATTTTATGATGCTCATTCTACAGTTGTGTCCCTGAGTAACTCCCCATCTAGGGAAGCACTTTGCAGAAAGAGCATTCGTGTTAGGAGCTGAATGGGAACATCTCCATCTTCCTTTAATTCAAGTAACTTTTCTCGGTAAACAAGCCTAAATTCTCATCAGAGGAGCCCTAAAAGCCACCCCACTTCCTCACAGAAGTGTGGCTGCATGGGCTCAAAGATCTGACCTCTTTGAAGAAGTCACCTTTGGTAGCGTTATCCTCCCCATGGTCAGTCTTAAATTGCAGCGCTTTCCTGTGGTTCACTCAGCCTATGCAGGGATCTTGGTTCCGTGTTTTTGTTGTTGTTTTGTTTGGTTTTCTGTTGTTTTGTTTGTGTTATTGGAGAGTTTTTGTTTGTTTTTCATCCAGGGAAGAGTCAGCAATTTTTGCACTTTTGCACTTAGTTGGCTCGGTGTTGCTTTCTATTTTTTTTTTTCTGTAAACCGCATTAAGCCGTCGCCACGTGACTGCCTGCCATTAGCTGCGTGCTGCCGGCGAGTCAGTGAGATGGCACGTGCCTCGACACACCCCTGCGTGCCACTTCATTGCCCGTGACAGAGCTCCGTGGTTTTCCTCGGCAAGCAGAGGAAACAGAAGAGGTGTTCAGCCTCTGGTATCTGGACAACCTGGGCTGTGTGAGAATCCTGAAAGCTCGTGTCCAATCCCCCTATTTTTGGTTACTCTGTGCATCTGATAGGGGCTGATGTGACAGATCGTCTGTGTCTTGGTCCTTCTGCCTCCTTCTGCTCCTTCTGTAGAGTCTGAGTGCCTGTTTGTGTAGGCAGCTCCTGCATTCCTACAGACCTCTATTTTAACTTTGAACCCATGTTTTTCTTTGATTTAATCTCATTTATATCCATAGCATTACAATATTGCTTTGACATAACACTTGGCATGATGGAACACTTGAACTAGATCTAAAGAAGAATAAGGGTACAACTTAAACCTCTGTTTTTTAAGTGCTTTTGAAGCAGTAATTCAACTCCATGATACCTGCTCATCTAGGTGATTGCAGTCTTACATCATTCTCTTCAGAGTTTGAAAGAGGTTACTGTATCTACTCTTAGTCAGAGTATAATGTGATATATTTAGTTTGGTTAACATGGAAAAAATAATTGCTGTCTGGTTTTTTAGTTATTTGTCACTCAGCTCAATTCCTATTGACTAGCTGAAAACCTACTGATGTAATGCTGAATCTGGGAAGCACAATAGGTTTCTAAACACAGTGTTGATTTGGGACTGGAAATCACGATGATTTCTGTGGTCTGCTAATCCCCAAGTGATTTGTGTGTTTTTGAAACATGTCATCATGAGCTCTGCTGAAGGAGATTTGCTTCCCTGGCTTTGATAACTTGCTCTTGCCATATGCAATCAGAGGTATGTATTGCGTAATGAACGTAATTTGGTTACAGGGCAGTTTGCTATGTTTCTTTGTGTCTGTCTGGAATCAAATAACTAAATGCTAAAAGCAAGTGTTGGCCTGGTAGAGTATTCGCAGACAGATTAGAGAGCCCAGCTCTTCTTTGCAGTGATATAATTGATAGCAAATGAGAGAAGTAATGAGGTTTAAATTCGTAATT